GATTGGCAGTGGCGACACCCCGGGAATGTAAGTTATCACCTTGTCGATTGAAAAATCTGCAAGGATGAAAAGGTAAGACACGGAAAACCTGTAAAAGAGCGGAGTACCTTGCACTGGTATGTCACCATGCTCTAGCAATTTCGGTAAATGGTACTCGAGAAGAAGTGAGTGAGCAGTCGAGGTCCAAAAAGTAACATTGAGTATCCCGACCCTTTGAGCCACATCTCTGGACCACCTGTAAAACAAGTCCGAGATGAGGCACGAAACTGGAGGTCCCCTCTTCGAGATCTTGTCCACCAGCAGCTTCTCGACCGGACCTTCCATATCCTCCATGGACTTGAAGAAGATTAGCCGGTTGTCCTTGTAGAAAAGGTCGAAGTCCAATGGAGTACCGGGAACCGTCTCGAAGCGAATGTCAAGGCCGTCTTCACCGTCTGTGACATGCTTCATCCGGCTCTGGACGGCCTCCGTGTTGATGAAGGTGATGACGAAGCCTCTGGAGGCGAGAGCTTTGCAAAGGTGTAAGAGAGGAGAAACATGACCTTGAACTGCGACCGGGAGCGCAACCGCATGAGGCCTGCTATCTACGAGAGAACCCATTTTCCGCTGCTGCTTGTTCTTGCCCTCGGGATTTTAACTCCTCCACAAAGAACACTTCAGAAGCTTCAACGATTGAAGCGACCGTCTCTCGATGAAGCTTCTGATTTAAAGAGAGACGACCGAAAGTCAGTACACAGACGTCTAAACCTCTCAGTTGTTAGCCACACCAATCTCCTGTCTACTGGTTGGTGTGTCCCATTAAGACTCGCGGGCACGACAAACTATCATAAACGCTTGTAAATCAAATACAAATATCAGACAAAGCTTAGTCGTGTAGCCAACATACAGAAAGGAAGGTGCCGCGTTACTCTCCTGTTTTCTTCTTGGAAGAGACCGGAAACTCCGAAAAGGCTCACATTATTGCCAGCTTATGGAGAGAGACTGAAACAGCTTTTCTACAATGGCCAGCAGTCAGAAACTCAACCGTAAGAAACATAAAGACGTACCAGACAACCGTGATTCAGCCGACAATCGGAGCAAAACAATGGTGTAAAGGGCTCTGCTTTAACCAACAGAGATGTCGAGTTTTCTCGTGTTATCAAACTATTCTTGTAGAAATGTTGTTGTACACTGCAGCCACAGCATTGGTAGCACTTGAAGCAACAATGATCTCCCCAATATGAACATCAAGTGGAACCTAAGAAAAAAGCAGAGAAGTCCTCCAGCTTTAGGGCAAACTAATCCCGACAGAGAACTTAGAAAACTGACACGACGTACCAGAACGAAACATGTTGGTCCCAGAGCAATAGTCGACACAATCACGGGGAAAAATTCCAAATGAGAAAATTATTCTTCATTACCTGCCAGTGCATCATGCCCACGACCATGATATCCAGTTTTCCCCACAAGACTCATCTGTAGAGAGAGAGTTTTTCTTTTCAATTCACAGGGGTTGGTATTGTAAATATATTGTGTGGAATTATTCCAACATTGTTACATTGTTATTATAACACTTTTACATCAGCTTTATTTCACTTCATCTCAGTTGCTTGCTGTGTAAGAAATAAAAAATGGAGAGTGTTCTATAAGAAATAAAAGTGGAAAGGGAATGAAGTAAATTACTTGTGACATGGTAACCGATACTTGTTTTATGGAACATTAAAAGCTTTGGCACTTTTGTTCAGTTGCACAATTTTTGAATCATTTAGGGACAATAGTCTTCCTTTTATGTGGTACCTGTAACATAATATGAAGTTAAAATTCAAGAAAGAAATGTAAAGTTTGATACCTTGTCCGATTGCACTTCCTCTGCTTCCACTTTCGCATACCTTTGGAGTGTTTGTAATTTTCTCTTCCAGCATAATATTCTCTTTTTCATGCACACTAGAACATTTCTGTTGAAAAAAGAAATAGTTAAAAGTAATTGGAACAAGCAATTACCTTTCTTTCCTTGTCGTGCTTCTAGGTTAGCATTCTCTCCAAAATATCTTTGGGAAGCCAGTAAGTGATTCACTTATGAAAACACAAGAGACAGATAGAACCCTCATATTTATCATGGATGAACTTCATGATAGTAGCTTTTGTGGTGTTGTTTTTTGACTTGAAATTATGGTGTAGCAACAAGTCTTGGTATAGTTTGGCCCATTTATGAACTAGTACAATGTTGGATTTCTGGACGTCATGTTGCATCAGCCAATACTATACTAGAAATTTTTAACCATAGCTACTGTATTGTCAATCACCGGGAGGTGGAAGCTTGTGAAAAATCCACTCATATGTTGGAACTTCTTCATCAGTGAAGTCATTGCCATCTCCATCATCACTGGCTAGAATGATTTTTTCAGGTAATGCATGAGATGGACTTGGCTTTTTCTACATTGAAAGGAAAAGTAGAGTTCAAAGAAGAAAAAATATATCTAGTTTTTAGCATCAATATAGCAACATAGAATTTTCTTTGTATGCTAGTCCATCCCAAACTTGATCAAGTCTTGTGGCTCCATAAGCAAGGGGCTTTCACCATTAAGCCTTAACTTCCGTATAGCCTCTAAGAACTACTGCCCATTATTAATCTCAGCAACAAACTTACAACATCTTCATTTGTCCACTCCTAGACATCACACTCTTCTACTTGCAGCAACTGTTGGATGGAAAGTCAATAGTGATCATTAGCAAATACGCTAACCTTCCAAGTTGTTCATAACATATATCTGTGCCAGCTATGAGTAAAGGAAATAAGATGAACTAGAATCTCCTGCACTGGCCAATCTCCCTCTTGCCTCCTTTTGTTAGTAGTACCATCCCTGTTGTTACATCTGTAGCTGCCACCAAATGGCTTCAAGACCTTCTAGCTTCAACCAATGCATGCTTACTCGAAAAAAAACTTAAGCTCGAAATCTTGTTGTATCCAAAATAAGGATTCAATCTTTGCTTTCCAAGTCGTGCTTTCATTCGTGTGATCTTCTCAAACTACTACACAATCCCCTACTTTAAAGATCTCCCCAAGCGAAGAACAAGTTGCTCTAATTTTCTTTTACATCTACTAATCTGCCTTGCATTCTCCCTTGGCCTCCAAGAACCATGGCCTAGGTGCTTGAATTCTATCCAACTCTCTGGATTCATGTCTATGCAAGGTGATCAGGCTCTCCTCTCTTCTAGTTACCTTTCTCATTGTGATCCGATGTTTGGCGCCTTGCTCCTCACTCCTCGCTCGCAAACTCTTTAACCCTTGTTTCAAACATGCAATTCCAATAGACGGCCACCATCTAATTATGCCAATCCAATGACCAGGAAATACCTTGTAATTCATTCCCAATACCCAGATATAATTTTACAACAACATACCCAACCTTGGAAAATGTGCCAGGTCCCATGCAATCAAAGTGGAAAAAAAATCGTATCAATTTAGGCAGTCCACTGAGATTCCGTACTGAAAGAAAAAGATGCCGACTGCTCAATTTTGATTTAGGGTTTATCACGCGCCTGCTCATCGCAGGGATCGAAAGAAGGTGAACAAATGTCAACGGCACTAATCGCTGTGTAAGTTTCTTCTAGCGTTTCTACCGCTGCTAGATTCTCAAGCAACCAAACAAGCCTGTCTTGCAGCCTTTGCCTAAAGATTCAATCAAGTGTGCGAGTCTCGAAGCATGCGAAGTTTTGCTTGCGACCAGCGAGATGACCAACACAAATTTTAATCCATTAACATTCTGAGCTGAAAGATCGAAAAGTCTCACATGCCGCCTTGTTGAGGTGCAAACCCGATCCAATCAGATTGAATATTACTCTGACACTGAAGCAAGAGACGTATCTAAAAGCATTAAGGTAATGTAATGCATCAAGGAGACAAGTCTGCTTAATTTGAAACTCCCCCTGAGATCAATTCGCATGGAGTTAATTGCTCTTTCACAGAACCAGCTAGAGAGATTCAACAGTCAATTGAGCCGCCCAAATGGTGGCCTCTATCTATGTACACACACGACTGTTCTGAAACCTTGGGTTACACTGTCGTCGAGGAAGCATTCGAGCTGCTCCTTTTATCATGAACGATTGCGATCAGTGAGACAACGAACGCAATATCGACTCCAGGCGCCACGCTTATGGTGTACTCAGTGCGGCCCCATAACGAACCACCCTTGGCCTAGGTGAAATACATACGATCAGTTCATGCGAAGTCAGATAACCAAAGCAATCTGAATTACCTGCTCTTGGTTGTGGCCTCGAACGATATCGATGCCCCGGCTGAAGCTGTGTCCCTTGATTTGGTAATCCGGCTGCCTGTTCTTGCCCGGCTCCTTGTCCGACCCCACAAACACATCAATCGACATGCTTATCTGAAAGATCGAAGAGCTCCTCAGCATAAACAGCATGCGGTCCTGTTGTGCATGATATCCATACCAAATACCTCTCACTGGTAAAAACATCTGCGAGCACAGATTGTCAGGATTTAGAGCTTCAGGAAAGTGATGGTCTTTGCCTGTGGCCGCAAACGAACAAGTGGAGCATTTGTAGTGAGGTCTACGATATAGTGGTCGCGGTTCCAAACAAAGGAGGGGTGCTTGACCTTGAAGAGAGGCCTACCAGTGAGATCGAGCACCTCCTCATTTCTCCAGCCTCGTCTGTAGACGAGCGCAACCTCCTCAGACTTGCAGAACTGGCTGCTTACAACCGCCATTGCCATGAAATGGAGAATCGAAAGATGCAGCGGTAATCCTTTATAGGGTGCCGCCGACAACGATGGGCAGACTTGGCAGACTGTGGCACCGCGTGCTTTGAGTTACGTAAAGTGAAAGAAAGCTAGACTGGGTCTAAGTTGACCACGATTTCGGGGCTGCGCAAGGAACTGCTGTATTTGGGAGGACAATTAAAACGATAGTCAACTCTAGTCAACTTATGATGGCCAGTAGTCAACTCAAGAAAGACGTAAGATACATACCAGACTACCGTGATTCAGCTGACAATTCATACAAAACAATGAAAGAGCTCTGCATTTAAAGATTTAACCAACAGAGATGTTGGGTGTCACGTATGCACCCGCTGACGCGAGTTCTCTCATTTTATCAACTATTCTTGTAGCAATGCTGTTGTACACTGCAGCGACATCGCTGTTAGCACTTGAAGCAACGATAGGCTTTCCTTCATCTGAAGTCTCTCGGATATGAACATCAAGTGGAACCTGAGGAAAAAAGCGCAACGAGATTCCTCAAGAGAAAACCGGATATATTGGATTATACCTTGCCAAGGAAGTCGATTTGCATTTCTTTAGCGGTTGTCTCACATCCTCCGTGCCCGAAAATGTGTGAGCTTTGGCCGCAGCCGGGGCAAATAAAGTAGCTCATGTTCTCAATTAATCCCAGAATCTGGAAAACAGAGAACTTACAGAAAAATGGGTAGAACAATGGAACGACTTACCGGAACGTGAACCTTCTGGAACATGTTTGTTCCTCGTCTTGCATCCAACAGAGCAATATCTTGAGGCGTCGACACAATCACAGCACCTGGATCAATCAGGAAAAGCTGTGAGAGGAGAAGATCTCGAACAAGAAAAACTATCCTTCATCACCTGCCAGTTTCAGACGCTGTGAAACTGATATCTGCGCATCACCAGTGCCTGGCGGCATGTCCACGACCATGATATCCAGTTTTCCCCACGAGACACCTCTCGTCAGCTTCTCCAGCGCGCTCATGACCTGTAGAGAGCTGCAAAGACAGTCATTTTGCTCGAAAGAACAAAAACCTTCAAAGAAAGAACAAGGAGACGATCATACCATCGGCCCTCTCCAAACCACTGGCGCATCTTTCTCCATCAGAAATCCCATCGACATGCACTTCACACCATAGTTCTCCAGCGGGATCATCTTGTTCGCTACATTTTTTCTTCTCAACTGGATGTCATCGAAAAATGGAAAACTTTCTTACCGCTATCGATCTTAGGCTGTCCACTGAGATTCATGAGCAGTGGAATCGAAGGCCCGTAGACATCAGCGTCCAAAAGCCCCACCCGGAGCTTACATTTCAAAGCGAGCGCTACCGCCAAGTTCACTATGTAAAAACAAAGACATTCACTCTAAAGAATTCTAAGAACACGAACCTGCCGTGGTGGATTTCCCGACTCCTCCTTTCCCTGAAGCCACAGCGATAATCCTTTCCACTCCATCCAGCTGGGGCTTGCTCAAGGCGCCAGCGGCCATCGCCAGAGCTCTCCTCGCCATTCTGATCCTTGATAAACCCTAAATCAAAATTTAGGGTTCTTGGAGGAAATGGGCAAGCGCAAATCCGCCAAGAAGCCGCAGCCCAGCAGAAAGATGCAGGAGAAGCTGCCATCGGTGTTTAGCTGCCCGTTCTGCAATCACGAGAGCAGCGTCGAGTGCCGCATGTAAGTGCCGCATTAGGGTTTTTAGAAGCGCTCCCTCATCTCTTTCCTCTCGCAGGGATCGAAAGAATGCCGTGGGCGAAGCGTCGTGCAGGATTTGCCAGGAGAAGTACTCCACTCAAATTGACGGTCAGTGTCCTCTTTTTCTTTTCGATTCCCAAAACCTGACTGACTGGATCTTTCGTTTGCATTCTAGCTTTGAGCGAGCCAATCGATGTGTAAGTTTCTTAATCTAGCGCTTCTAGCCCTCGATCTTTCTCACTCTTTTGAGATTTTTCCAGCTATAGCGAATGGATCGACGAATGCGAGCGAGCAAACACTGCCTCGTGAAGGAAGGTTTGAGTTTTACATATACATAGCGTGTAAATACGCACTCTTCCAAGAAAACCAGTGTGTAATGTGCAGTCCAGGAATACATTAGCTTGGATTTTTTTCTCTTTGTCGTCTAACGAGTACTGTAGACTAGAAGGTAAAAGGGGGTCACATTTTCTTTGCTTGTAGGTTCCTTTGCGCTCAAGTAAACGCTATGGTGGAAAGGCCTCGGGTTGTGGCTGTGCCATTTCCTATGCAAGGCCATATAAGCCCGCTTCTTCAGCTCTCGTATCAACTGGCTGCTGCTGGTATTGACATCACTTTTGTCAACACTTTCAGAAATCACGAGCGACTTGTGGGATCCAGAGAAGTCGTGTCTAAGGTACTTGGAACTGTTGATGTTCTTGAGCTGCTTAAGTTTTCTTTTCCTCTTTCTCTCCCCAGGAGCATTCTTCCGGAGTTATAACTTTCATGGGCATCTCCGACGGCGTTGCAGCGAAAGCCTTCGACGGAGGTTTCAACGAGTCCCTCAATGCGTCCCTGGTTGCCTCCGACGAGATGGCGAAGCCCTTTGAGGAACTTCTCTGGAAACTGGACGGTGTTAGCTGTGTGATTTCGGACGCTTATCTTGGATGGGCTCAAGCCGTCGCGAACAGATTTGGGGTCCCCAGGGTTGCACTGTGGACGTCCAACGTTGCTTACTCCCTTGTGAATTATCATCTTCCACTGCTTGTTGAGAAAGGCTATCTTGGAGTAAAAGGTAAGAAATGACCGCATTGTTATGCATATCTGACGCTCTCCTAAACAGATCCTTCTTCTGTTGGTTTTCTCGACAACCTTGTGACTTGCGTTCCTGGGCTCGAGCCAATTTATGCCCGGGACCTTCCAACCGTTCTTCGCTACGACTCTGGGGAAGATCCCGGCTTTGCAAACAGGATTCGCAAGATTCAAGCTCTGAAACATGCATCGTGGGTGCTCGTCAACTCCTTTGAAGAGCTAGAGAGCGCTGGAGTTGAGTCCATGAGGCGAGAGCTTGGAACGCAGAACTACGTGACAGTCGGGCCACTCCTGGTAGAAGACACAGAGGGCAGGAAGAGTCTGTGGAGCGAAGACGAGGCATGCTTGAAGTGGCTTGACTCTCAAAAGCCAGGCTCGGTTCTCTACATTTCTTTCGGAAGTATAGCCAGCATTGCAGGTGCTCAGATGAGAAGCATTGTGAAAGGGCTGGGGGACACAAGGCAGCCTTTTCTCTGGGCAATGAGAAAAAACTTGCTGGTTCCGGACTCCGACTACTCAGAGAGATCCTTCCAGGACTTTATGGAATCGACCAAGGCACAGGGGCAGGGACTGATCGTTGAATGGGCTCCGCAAGTGAAAGTTCTCCAGCACCGGGCACTAGGTGGCCACCTATCACATTGCGGATGGAACTCGGTACTGGAGAGCATGGCGATGGGAGTACCGATACTCGGCTGGCCCTGCGTCGCCGAGCAGACGATGAACTGCAAGAGAATTGCGGAAGACTGGAAGATTGGGCTGAGATTCAGGGCCGACGACGCAAAGCAGCAGCTTGTGAGCGATGAGGAAGTGGCAAGAGTCATCAAAAAGCTGTTTTGCGAAGGCGAGGGGCGCGAGATCAAGAAAAGAGCCAGAGGGTTCTCAGCCATTGTGAAAACCGCTGTCAGCCCGGGCGGATCGTCGCACCGAAACTTGGAGAGGCTTGTCCAGGCGATCAAATTCGGAAAGCTCGGCAAGAACGCTGGCTAAAGTGATGTCCGTACGAGTGAGTTTGTGGGAATAGGATACTGCAAAGTCAGGCTTTCTCAGTTGACCTCTGGCGATGGCGCTGGCTAGAACAAGATACGAGCGTGCTCGATGGGGTGGTCGTCGGGACACTGCGGAGAAGTCAGTTCACAGCATGAGCAGCAGCAGCCTGCAAGCGTTTTATCTCAACACTTTGCAACTAGAGGCGGATGCAATCGAGTTTGCAGCTGGGGGGTATGGAAGCATCTTCAAAGGGACAGTGGCAACTGGTTTTCAGATCCCGGAGAGACTGGAAAGAGGCCGGTATTTGCCTTACTACGGCCAGAAGACGGATGAAGCCCCGGATTTCTCCAAGCTGTCCGAGAGAGTTCTTGTTGCTGTCAAGAAGATCCGGGAGCCGGAGAACGACGACGAGGTTTTGGAGATGACCAGGGAAGGAATCAACATGAGAGTTGTCCAAGGGGCAAGAAATGTGGTGACTGTCTACGGGGTTGCTTACAGCAAGGAGCTGGAATGCGTCTGTCTCGTCATGGAGCTTGTTCAAGGCTCGCAGCTGGATGCGTTTCTCAAGGCACACCATCCTCCGGTTCCAGACGCAGCTTGGTGGAAAACGAAGCTAGAGCTGTTCATGGAGCTCGTTATTGGGCTATCGGTTTGCCATCAGAATGGTGTCTACCACGGAGACTTGAAAGGCAGCAATGTGCTCGTGGTGGACGAGTCTCGGGTTCCAAAGTTGATAGACTTCGGCTTCAGTTTCCGGAAACGAGACATAGCTTACCTGAAGGAGACGATAGGTGGTTCACCGTTTTGGGTCAGTCCCGAGCTTTGCGATCAAGACGAGCAGGAGATGCTGCAGGAAGTGATGCGGAATCCTTATCCCTCCGACTTTTACTCTCTCGGCATGGTCTTGGTTGAGATGTTTCTCGACGGGGAGGTACCGGAAGAGCTTTCATCGGGCTTCATCGAAGAGAAAATTTGTGGAGGATTTCCCGTGACTCTGGAAGTGCCACCCGGTATGGAAGCTTTTGAGCCAGTTTTTACGAAGCTTTTCCAAGTGGTAGAAGGCTGCTGCATGTCAGATCGCGACGAGAGGATCTCGTTGCAGCAGTGTCTCGCCGAGGTCCAAGCGGCCTACGATGAGCTTTGCAACGTCGGCTGCAGCTTTAACGAGGATTTTCTTCGGGATCCTTCCGAGCTTGCATCTACAGAGGCGTACACAGCAGTGCTTCCGGCTTTCAAAGCAAAGTTTCCTGGAGTTCCGGATGCCGTTTTCCTTCAACCAGCGGATAACATGGTGGTGGACACGAAGGCAAACACGCTGGTGGATTTGTTCTGCGACATGGATTACGGGGAAGGCGTAGAAAACATCGTCAGGCGGAGGTGGTCTATTGGTAAGATCAAGCTGGACGAAGAGGTTCCTCGTTTATGTCGTCGCTGCGTGCAAGCCGGGAGTCCTAAAGCACTGAAGGTTCTGTCCTCTCGGTGGAGGGAGATCGCTAAACAAGACGAATGGCTACTTCACGAGGCTTGCGAGGCGGACAGTGCCGAAGTGCTACGAGTTCTTCTTCACGACTTCAAGATGGACTATAATACTTGGCACCGGAGGTGGCCGCTGAAACCGCTGCACAAGCTTTCGTACCAAGGCAAAACAGAGATGATGAGGATCGTGCTAGACAGTGCTAAACTTAGCAGGAGAAGGGACTACGTGAACGACGAAATCGCGGGACGGACTCCACTATACTACGCAGTCGCTGGTGACAAGATAGACGCGGTGTTTTTCTTGCTGGAACAAGGAGCGAACTCGTTGGGCCAGGAGGACGAACTCACGAGCTCTGATTTTTTGGACAACCTGCTAGGGGCGGCTGCAGAGAGCGTGAGCTTAAATGTGATCGCAGTTCTTTCCGAGGTAAGCAGCTCGTTGAGGACTACAGGCACTGCGGTTGGGCTTGAAGGAAAGGCCGCTCAGCTTTTCCGAAACCACTATAGCAGCCGTCTTGCGTATCTCAAGATTGAAGGTGATCGCCTGCTCGAACTGAAGAAGCACTTGGCAGAATCAAGTCGACGTGGATTGGATCCCTTCAGCTTCGGGTGTTCCAGAGAGGGAAATGCGGAAGTTTTTGAGACGATCGTGTCGATCAAAGAAACTCCCAGGGACTTGTGGAGGAACTTGATTGGGTACGGAAGCAGGGAAATGGTGGCCTATGCGTTGGATAAGCTGGGATACTTGGCTACATTGGACTTGATCCATCTTGCTTCAAAGCAGGGAAACTTGGAAGTCATGGACTTTCTGACAGTGCTCATGGACAGACGTAAACGGGTTGGCGAAGCAGAGAAAACTCTCAAGGAGATGCTTGGCGGTTTTCGTGAAACTGAGGAACAAGTTCTAGAGAACAAACAACAGCTACAGGAAGATGACTTGCAGCTCGGTCAGGGGAAAGAAGAGCAAACAAAGTTTGATGGAATTCCCAGCAGCGAAGAAAAAGTTGCCAAGGACGATTTACAGGTACCAGAAGATGAGAAATCCCGCTTACAAGTGATGGAAGAGCTCGAGGAAGATGAAGTAGAGTCCAGCAGCGAGCTTGTTACTGACGGTGGGGAACTTCCAGAGTTGAAGTTCCGGAGGATGTTCGACTACGAATACTGGGACGTGCTCAACGAGTGGACCACGGGCAGGAACATGAACACGGAATGGATACTGGGCAAGTTCCATAGGATTTCTCCAGACTCTTGGATGGAAACATCTCAAAAGCTGCTATCGATCGCGGCACAGCTTGGAGACGAAACGATGGTGGAGATGTTATTGGGAAAGAAAGTATCACCGGATTTCGAAGAAGAGGATGGAGTGTCACCTTTGTACCAGGCAGTTCTGTGGGAGCATGAAGAGATAGCTCAGATGCTGCTGAGAGCTGGCGCAAAAGCGAACGACTCTTGTATGGACGCCGCGTTGGACGTAGGAAACGGGAGCTTGGCTAGACTGCTCATCAAGTTCGGCTTCGATACAGGCAGGAAGAATGGAAGCAACCAGACTTACATGGACTTGATCAAAGTCATGGACGCCAAGAAGGAGGAGTTTCGGGAGAGGTATGAAATGCCGTTTTTCGCAGCGACGTATGGTGAATTTCCATGACGAAGGTACTGGTCTGTCAATAGTGTCTTTGTCCTATGGCTGATGAAAATCTTCTTTTCCTTGTAAGGCCTGATACTATCATAGCCGAAGTCTTTTCAAAATGCCTCGCTAGAGCATCTGGCAGGATCGCTCTCATTCGGGAGCGAGCTTCCTGGATTTCTGCAAGCTCGCGTGGAATGGATTAATTTCTCGCGATCAACATGACCTTTTTACTGCCGAGAGAGTGTTCAAAGATTCTCGAGGTGATCAGTAAGTCTCTTGCAAAGTTTAGTGCTGTTCTTGACAGTGTTTTTCTTTTCTATTTTCCAGCAAAGCTCGATGCACTTCTGGCGACGCACAAAAGATCAGCATGACCTTTGAATTGTCGAGAGATTATTCAAAGACTCTCGAGGTGAGCGGTAAGTCTCTTGCAGAGTTGAGTGCTGTTCCAGACAGTGTTTCATACTTTTCTTTTTGTTTTCCAGCAAAGCCCGATGCACTTCTAGCGACGTACATAAGATGAACAGGATCTTTGATTGCCGAGAGTGTTCAAAGACTCTCGAGGCGATCGGTAAGTCTCTTGCAAAGTTTAGTGGTGTTCCGGACAGTGTGTTTCTTTGTCTTTTCAGCAAAGCTCGATGAACTTCTCGCGTCTGTATTGCCTAGAGTCTGTGCAAAGACTCTGGAGGCGATCAGTAACTCTCTTGCAAAGTTTAGTGGTGTTCCTGACGTGTTTTTCTTGTGTTTTTCAGCGCCGAGAAGACACGCCACCCCGTACAGATATCGTACGTGGAATATACCCAACTTACCGTTGGGCTATAGTGTTCTTCGCGGGTGGAATCCATTCGTTCAGCGAGCGAGCGAGCGATCGAAGGAGAGAGATGGGCGGCGGCGGCGACAAGAAGAAGCTCATGGAACAGGTATTCCATCTCAAGCTCACATCCAAGGGGCTGGTCCGGCAGGCCAAGAAGTGCGAGGCCGAGGAGGCCAAGGAGAAGCTCAAGATCAAAAAGGCCATGGAGAAGGGCAACGCCGACGGCGCGCGCGTCTACGCCCAGAACGCCATCCGCAAGCACGCCGAGCAGCTCAACTACCTCCGCCTGGCGTCGCGGCTGGACGCGGTGGTGGCGCGCCTGGCGTCGCAGGCCACCAGCCAGGGCGTGTGCGGCGCGCTGGCGGGCATCGTCGCCTCCCTCCACGGCGCGCTGGCGGTGGGCAACATGCAGAAGGTGTCGCGCACCATGGACGCGTTCGAGCGCGCCTTCGTGGGCGTCGAGGTCCAGGCGGCGTTCGTGGAGGGCGCCATGGCCGGGAGCACGTCCCTGGCCACGCCCGAGGAGAGCGTCAGTGGGCTCATGCTCCAGGTCGCGGATGCGCACGGCCTCGAGGTGGGCGCGCAGATGCCGCAGCCGGGCATCCATCGGGTGGCCGTGGCCGCGCCGCCGCCGCGATCTGGTGTGTCCGAGGATGAGCTCTGCCGGAGGCTCGCCCAGCTCAAGAACAAGAGCTGATCGCACGAAGAACGCTGACAGAATATGCTTTATTTTTTTAAAATTTGAACGTTAGTGCTTGACACGTTAGCCCTAATTGGACACGGAAGCCCTAAACATGAGCTGATGTGTTACATTGTGTGCCCAATTAGGGCTTATGTGTCTGGCTGTGAGGTTTATTCGGTGGGATATTCTACTGCCCCCCCAATGGCTATTGCGCTTATGAATGTGTGCCCTGGAAAATTTCCTGGGAGGAGAAACGAGGGCTCCCTTGACAGTGAGAAGAATGTCTCCTCGCTAGAGCTTGTAGGGAGGCAGCCATGGCCATGGAAGCGCACGGTGCTTGGCGCGCTTGTGGTAGGCTTTGCTTGTGTGGGGATTAAATCCCAGCATCATGGGCTAGCGCTGGCAACCACCACGAGTTGCGAGAGTGAGAGCTACTATGAAGGAACTCAAGCTCTCACGGGTACTGCGCTGGAGCTCAAACTCCACCACATTGTCCAGGAGGGACATGATTCAATCTCTTATGTCCAGGTGAGAACTTTAAACTGGAGATTGGTTTTGTAAGAAAAAACTTACAAGATAAGCAGGTATGGGAGGCTCTAAAATTTCTAGATGAAGATCCAAGCTCGCCAGATGACATGTAAGGCTTGCATCATTTTACTTAAGATTCTCACAGTGTTTTGACTAGAATCGAGATTTACAGCCAAAGAAGTGCTCCAAAAGAACTAGCAGGGAAGATCGATGGCTGGAACAGCTAAGTCTGCGCAATCAAATCTCCAGAGGTGTTGACACTATGAATTCTTTTTCCAGGAGAACATTTGTGGCCACGTTCTTATGGGCTCAAGCAAGGCCAGCCGGAGTTTACAGACTTACACAACTTAAGGCCAGCCGACACCAATGGTCTCTAAACTTCTTCTTTCCATTTGAGAAGTTTGTTTTTCCAATGATCGCAGTGATCGCGCAGTGAATTCGTCCAGAAGAAACAAATACTTTGGCGATTGCACTGTGGAGAGCGTGGGCGATTGTCTCGTCCCAGCAAATCGCGAGGCTGGAGCAGACACCGCCACCGATAAGAAATCGTGGCGTCCCCCCAAAGAGGTAGCCCGCAAACTCCTTGGTTTTGTCCTTGTGGTCCTTGCGATAGAAACAAAATAACTCTCACTATAGGTCAGAGGAGACATCGCCCGATCTGTGATGTATATGGCAGTGCGCTACTTTCCCTCTCTACGCCTCTCGAACACTCCGAGCATAGGTAAAAAGGATTCCTTGGCTGTGTTCGGAATTTCACTTTCGTTTCCTTGCTGGCCAGCAAATGCCGAAATGGGAGTCCTTTCAATGCTTTTGCGCTGGAATGATGCAGACCCTCCATCGCCCAGCGAAGAAATCCGTAACTCAAAAATCTGCCAAAGGTACCAGCACAACCGGAATCCTTTCGTGGACCACCCAGAATTCGCGCATAGAATATGGTAGAATTTAGGGTTAACAGAGGAGGACGAAGCATCTTATTCAAACGCAAAAATATTCAAATAGAATTTAGAGCTGCGTCTTATTTGAACGCAGGAATATTCCCTCTGCTCAAACATGCTAATTTAGGGTCTCCTTCGCGCCATTATTCGCACACACACACTTACGCTCTTGCTAGTTAAACTCTTCTGCGTCGGCAGTGACTTTGTAGCTCTTGAGCACCCACTTTCCATTCTCGTCTCGGATCACATCGTTGTTCTCCACCACCCACCAGCTATCTGGCACAGTCGGGTTCCTGAGAGCGTTGGAGAATTTGTTCACGAGCTCCAGCTGGTGGTGCTTGAGCGCCGGATCAAACTTGTAGTCGATGAGATGGAAGTAGACCTGGAGATCGTGGAACTGGCCGAGCGCCAAGGTCGGGAAGCTGAGATATGGCGAGTCCGGTGTGTTGAGCGATAGCTCGTCGTCGGTGTGGACGTATCCCCAGAGAATGGGAGGCACCAGCGTGACAACGTCGGGAAGGTTGCCGATACGCAGGATCCTGAGACCCTCTACGTTCTTCACCGCTGCGCGGAACTCCAAGTTGCCCACCCGCGGCGACGCGAAAGGGAACGCGGTCACTGGGATGGTGGCGCCGCTCAGAGGATTCCTGTTCTTCTTCTCGTTGGCGATGTCGTAGGCGCACACGGTGGCTATGGCCGCTCCCAGGCTGTGTCCCGTCACAGTGATGCTCAGCTCGTCGTCCTTGTAGAGATCGATGAGCTTGCACACCGCTTCCATGACTTGCTGCCTGGCCGAGAGCTTTCCCAGCCCAGTCGCGTCCGCCGCATTGATGCTCGTGTAAGGAACCACCCACCGGTTGCCAATCGTGATCTTGTTCCACGGGAGGCTGGAGTGGACGTCGCGCACCGCCGTGATGACTCCTCCAGCGATTCCACCGAGAAGGCCGAAGCCTTTGCGAGCCGGCGGCTGCTCTGCCTGTGCTGGAGTGGCGGCGGCTGTTGCGATCTCTTCCGGGGTGGCGTTCAGCGGAGGGAGACCGGACATGGTGTCGAAGAAGCTGGTCGGCTTGCTCGTCATGTTTGCCTGGAAGAAGTTGAGGAGGTTGCTGGCCCATTCGATGTCTTGCTGCGTCCCCCGGAACACGATCACGATGTCTCTCCTCCCGATCCTGCGGGTCTCCTCGTCGTCCGACACGGCCACGAATCCAAACCAGCTGGTTGCGGGGCCAGTGAAGTCGACGACAGCCTCCACGACCTTCCCGACCAGGCTCTCGAGCAGAGTGGTGCAGTAGAGGAACTTGTGGATCTTGTATCCAGGCGCGACGTGGACTTTGTCGAGGAGCTGCGACTTGCTGTAGCGGCTGTAGCCCAGGACTTTGGAACGAGGATTACTGTTGAAGGAGCTGTATACTGCGTCGACGAACTGGCCATAGCGGATGAGCTCCACCGCGAGCTCCTCGTCCAGAGGATCCAGCAAGCCCGCCCAGTGAGCTTCGCCTTGCAAAGCCCTCCACTTGTTAGCAAGCTTGGAGAAAGTAGTCATGCTATGCGAAACAATGCGCACTGCTCGAAGAACCATGCACTAACCTGATCTATATGTACATGTAAAAGTGTGGACCGTATCGTTTGCTTTTGTGTACGGTGTCTGAACCGTGTGTTGCTTTTGTGTTCACGTGAATAACGTGAGCACATGGTCGAGAGCTTACTCCACTATTAAGGATTGCCGCGCAAGAATTGTAAAATGTACAGGAAAAGGTTGATCACATCAATGTAGAGATTCACGGCTGCCCAAACGTACTCGTCGTAGTCAAAGCGTTGGATCAACAAATAAGTGTCATAAACGATGTAGAGGCTGAATATTAGCGCTCCAAGGAGCGTGTAAACGCTCGTCAACATTCGCACAATGGGAAAGAATGCCTGCATTGCGTTTTGGTGACAGGGGTGATGAACTTATGCTGAATGCGCGTACCTGGATGATTCCCCAAACTATCAACACCAGTACTGATGCAAAAAGCAACGGTCCCAAGAAGCCGAAATCGTATCCTCGATTCACCGCCCAAAATGTAAAAAGCGTCAAACCGATCGTAATTGTTGCGGTAAGAATCAATGCTTGCAATACAATCTCCCCTGTAGGGGAGAAATCAGGAAAAGTTCCGACTCAAGGTGAACACAAAAACATTACCTCGAGTATAAGCACACACGAAACCAACCGTTAAGCTTAATAAGATGGTGAAGAAACCCAGAAGGATGAGGTTGAGTGGATGCTTCTGGCGATAAATGTAGAGGGGGCACAACACTGCCAGGGAAAAAAAGTCAAAACTTGTTATGAGAAATCAAATACTTACGTATGAGAGCGAAAACGCCTAACGCGAGCGATATCCATGGGGTGTGTCCCAAGGCTCTGTTGATCGGCTTCACAGCAACAACAATGCCAGCAACAATCGCTGTAAGGACGAGCTGGCTCATCAGGATCCCATACACCTTCCTGATAAAACCCCATCGCAAATCCAAGTCGCTGGTGCTTCGAGCACTTTCGATGTCGCCGCTTCCTCCTGCCATGATTCAACTCGAAGCAAGCCCTTCCCTTTCCCGACTCGCAAAGATAGCTTGTCACTAAGCCACGCGGCAGCATAAAATCGCGGGAACCATATTTAATATTAAAAACGGCCTGTAAAACAAACTACGGGGTTAGTAGCGCGAACCCGTCTTACGATGGTGAACAGCAGTCAGACTCTTAGCATCCTGCAATGGAACAGGTTACGCACGAAAACGCAAACGCAAAATTATGAGACCTGTAACTCGCCATTCTCCACAACTGCGTAGAGCAACCAATGGTCTCCAGCTTCCATTCGACTTTGCACCGTGCATTCTAGCCATGCGATCTGTACAAAATAAAGAGATTAAAAAGGCTATCGGACATTAACACGAAATTTAGCTTTACCGCATCCGTCAAAATTTTACCACCATTGCTGGCCTCCTTTGTTTCGAGTGCACCAAACCGAGGCTCACCGGGCTTGAATGGCTTCAAAAGCTGCCGGCTGATAGCGCTGGATTTCCCTTGCCCGAGTACATTTAGTACAAAGCTGGCTCCTGGGAGTACCAAGCTTTCCACCGCTCTTTCTTTTGCAACCTACAAAACGACTAATTAAGCGTGAAAACTTTGAAACACATTCTTTACTTACCGCTACAGTGAGACCCGGGGGCAGAAAGCTTGCTTGGCTGACCCATGACGCAAGCATAGCGCTTTCGGCATCACCATTTCTTGCAGACAAAACACATAATGCACCAACAACTCTTCCAGCGGCCTGATAAAGGAAATGTAAGATTACCGTAAAGCAAAGTCTAGAAAAAAAAAAACAAGAAGACCTGCTCCACAGAAGATGCCAATACATATTGTTGTGCAACAGACTCTTTGGTTTTGAGCTTTGCCCGTTTCACGGTCTGCGCAATGTCTGTGCCGCTTTCTTCGCATGTCTGAAGAGTTGCCTCCGTGGGCTGCAGTTTCCAACAAGCTAAGAGAACTGGAGAGCTAGGAACTCATACCTTGAATTTGCATCGGATAGCCGGGAAAGCAAATGAGAATCCAGCATCCTTTAGTTTCTGCTCCATTTCGTCAACTGCTTCTCCACTCCATCCAAATGATCCGAAAACACCACATGGTTTTGTTCTTGCAGTGGTATCGCTTAGAATTGCTCCCAGAGCATTCTACAGTAAGAGTTAGACAATAGAAATTGACAAGAGAACATATTAACCTGAATTGGAGTAGGCATGTGACCAGCAAGGGTGGGACTCCCGATAACAAAAGCATTAGAACGTCGAACCAAAGCACTAACTTCTTCTATTCCACAATCTTCCGTATTCAAACTTTCGACTCCAAGGCCAGCCTTAGAGATTCCACGGCTGCAAAATAAACAAGCTAATCACAAGAGAGATGTGGACAGTTAGTATTTACCTGATGGCCTGAGCAAGAGCAGCCGTATTTCCATAAGCAGAAGCATATATGACAGCTATTAGGCCATCGTCAATCTGTTTAATTTTTTCTTGTGTCCACTATAAAACAACCGAGTGAGTTCCCAACAGATTTCCCTCACAAATCTTACCGCCCGGTATTCCCTAACAAGTTCCGTGACTGATGAGCGAACGATAGGCCCATGAAGTGGGCAGATTGCAGACACAACTAGCTCTTTATTTGAATCAGTTGTGGTCTTGGCCAATACAGCAGAGGCGCCGATTGAAAGATTCAGAGGACTCAATAAACCAGACAGGACATATTGTATGTCTGCCTGGTAACCAAAGAACAAAGCTTACAACGTGCAAAATGTTTCGAAAAGCGCTCACCTTTATAACGTCAACACCTGCTTTACCAGCATAGCTTGGTGGTGAAAACTGTGCCACAATCGGAAGTTTTCGAAGAGCAGCATCAGCCTATAGTTCTCCAAGATTCAGTTTGAATACATATATAAAAGCACGATCAATACCTGTTTTGAAACTGGTCCGAGCATGCACTCATAAAAAAATCTCCAGTGCTCTCCAAAAACTTCCCATCCTCCAACATCAAAATCGGTATCTGTGCAAATGTGTGCACTGCAACAACACGCTACAGATGCGCCCCATGAAACTTGTCATACTGGTAATGCCATACCTGAAAAGCTTCTGGGTGAACAAAAGCTGACTAGAAGGGTCGTATGTGCACATCCCATCGGGCCACCTTGGCGTTGGCGTGAGAATAAACTGCAACTCGTGGCCTGTTGGTTAGTTTTCTACTGAGTAGTAGAACTGAAATTACAAAAGCAAAAAATAAAGGTGAGCAGTGAGGAAGATACTGACCATTTCCAAGGTCTAAAGTCTCGCCGGACTTTACAACATTGATGGACAGCACTTTAGCCTTGTATTCTTCTGGCAGAGACGACGTAAGCTGGACTGCAGCTGGATTGGAGCAATACACCTGCAAGGGAAGAGCTGCAAGTCCCACGGCTTCATTACGATCCAAATCAAAAATAACAACCACTAACCATTTTCAGGAATAGCGTCGCCTATTGCGATCAGCGTCTGCAGTCGTTTGGGACTTATGTGACCAAGCACAAGGTACTTTAAGCTCTCCATGCTGATGGCTTGAGCCAGAGCATCAACGTGACCTTTCGTGAATGTTTGGTCAGGTACATCAATCAGTGCTGTGCAACTTTGGCCTTTGATAATATACGAGTTGTCGGTGGTGCCAGCCTTCAAACCATACTCCACCTATAACTTCCACATTAGCTTTCACAGTCGGAAAGATGGGAAAATTAAAGAGACACCAATTACCTCAAACTTGAGCCGCTCTAGGCTTTGATCTCTCAAGCTGAACGTGTCGTCGGTTAGTTGTACCAATCTCAAGTATGTTTTCTATATCACAGCCGAGCTTTAGTGGATGAATTTTTTTTTCTTAGCGATCCAAATACCTTCGATTCGAGAGGAGCTGGCTCCTGAGCCGGAGCTGAGACGACAGCCTTGGTCGCACGGACACAAACGCGCGAGAGTTTCCTACTGTGCTGCTGCTGCGCCTGCGCCGAAAGAAACGAAAGAATTCATGCGCTCCTCCTCTTGCGGGATCGAAATATTTCGCTCACCTCAACCGATCTTGGCCGCGACAGCAACGGCGACGCTTGCGGACATGATAGAAGCCTGGCATTGTGTAGCGCCTGGGAGGAGACGGCGGCCATCGCCGAGACGAGAACCAAAAACCCTCTTTATCGGATAAGAGAGAAAAGAGAAATGCACGGCCAGGATTTGACCATATTGGAAAATTAGGGCTCTTATGGCCAAAGCGCGGGAAAGTAACGCTACAGAACGATTCCAGTTGCTAAAACCATAGTAACGATCGCTTCCTGCAAAAAAAAAAAGCTCTGCCCCTTGGATCTGATCTTGCAGCCCCTCCTTGAAAATCCATGGAAGCAGACTTCTTCTTGAGAGCTTGGCAAAATCTGAGATATGGTGGATTTGGTGTGATTTCCACGATCATCGGGAACGCTACTCTCATCACCGGGACGATAACCACCATGAAGTCGTGATCGAGCAGCCTGTTGAGAGTTCCATGTCAGCCTGACGACATCGCAGATTGATGATCAGCTCGAATTCGACTCGCGAGAAGCTGATCACACCCAGATCCAAGAACGTTGTGCCGGAGATCTTGCCAGCGATGATCTTTGCAGTTCACACAAGCCCGTGACGCCAAGAACAAACAGGCTGTGCGATCTTTTTCCTGCCTGAAGTTTGCAAAATAAGGACAGAGAACAAAAAGATGGCATACCGATTTCACGAAACATTCGCTCCGATGAGCGATCTCGATGTAACAACACCGGCAGAGGTTCGCATTGGCTGGCCTTCGAAGTACACGACCAGATCTTCGCCGGTTGTCAGCTTTGGTTGAAGAGCTTCCCAAAGTTTCTTCTTTTGGAGCTACACAAGGAAGAACATAAGAACCAATGGGATGCTAATGTTCTATGATAGAAAACAATCCAATGTACCTGGTTGGGAGTAGCAGCAGGAGCCTGGGAGGATTTCTGGTCCTCGGATCCAAACCAGATTCGCTCTCCAGGAACAGACCCTTCGGGAGGAATAACAAGCTCGACGTTCTCGTGAGCTTTGTCCGAGGCCGCCAAGAGCATCCCATTGGATTTCACCCCTTTCATGTTTCGAGGCTTGAGATTCGCAAGAACAGCCACAAGCTTTCCCTGACAAAATTCTTCCTTTTAGGAATGCTAAAGAAATGTACCTTACCTGGAGCTCATCTTCCGGCACGTAGTTCACAAGCCCGCTACAAATCGTCCGTGGCCCGGACTCCTCCGCCATGTCCACTTCCTCCACATACAAAGAATCGGCTTCCGGATGCTTCCAAGCCTTGACGATCCTCCCTACCCTGATATCCAACGCATCCACGCCATTACCCTCCGATTCCGCGGCCCGAGCTCCTGATTCCACAACAGGAGCTGCTGATTCCGTTGGCGCTGGCGCTGGCGCTACCTCTGAGGACGAATTCGAGCAAAAGAATCCACGGATCTTGCAGATCGAGCGAGATTTCACCGAAACCCTGCCCCGGATCGCTGGAGCGAGAAGACCTAATCTCGCGTGGCGCGCAATACACGACGCTCCTCCCAATGCCGCCATAGCTACAACACCTCTAGAAACTGGACACGTGGCACTAGTGTGGGATGGCTTTTCCTTTCACCGCGGTTTTTATCCAAGTAAAGATAATGCGGGGTTCACGAAAGAAATATCCCACTTCGCTCCTCCATCGTTCTCCCGGGGTCCTATATTTAGGGCGCGCAATCGCCAGGGTTTGCCATCGTTCTTGCGCTCGTCTCCTCCCCGGATTGGAGCAAGCGCGGCTCTGCGTCGATCGAATCGGCGCGGCAATGCAATTCCAATCCCTGCGTTCCAGGTTTGCGTCGCGATCGCCTTGATTCTACTTCCAGGACACCAGGGATTGGATCGAAATTTTGGCATCGCCTGCGCCGCTGGCCATTTGGCGAGCGGTCCGTCGCCATCGCCGTGCATAATCGCGAATTTTTTTCTCTTTTCCTTCGCGACATAGCGATCCAATCCAGCTGCTGGTGGGTGAGTTCATCGTGGCTGGCAGCCCATTGCAATCAACGTCAGCAGGCTTCTTCTAGGGTATGATACTGGCGGACAAGTCAGAGATAAACAGTGGCCTCATGGTTTCGTCCAAACGGCAGTTCTAGGCTAGGGGCAGGCTGCGTGATGAGAATTCCTCCAGAAGAAGGTTGTAAGCGATGATCCCACTGAGAGGGCGTCGGGAATGGTGATAGGCTGCTCAATCCGGCTGGTTCTTTCCAGTCTTTTAGTTTGCAGTCTATGGGGACAATCAGGAGCTCTCCGGCTCTTGAAAGACAAGGATGTTCATCACGAGAATTCATCCTGGCTCCAACAGGTTCGTTTATTTGGTAGACTTCCTTTCTTCCAGTTGTTTTGATGGAGTCTTTTCTTCTCTCTTTTGTTCGTTCCAGGATCTCCCTGGAGAAGGAAACGAGCTTTCAATTGGTCCGTTTCCAATGCTTAATGTTTCCGGGTCTTACAAGGGTACTTTTTTCGTTGGATAATACTGGAGATCTCGTTTTTGACGGCAAGTTTGTGCAGGGATATGGCGAACACAGAATCCAGAAAATGGTAGCGTTCGATTCCCAGACTTTCAAAACTCGATGGGAACGTTTGTGGTCGAGCTTTCTAGTTCCACAACGGAAATACATGGTGTACACTACGTCCAGGTTTCTCGTTAGCGCTCTCTTCATATACGAAACGGCTTTGACTGATTGTCGGCATTTCGGCAGGGTCATATTCTGTTATGGGACGGGATGTACGTGAAAGGAAATGATCCTCAGCTACTTCAAATGCGAATGGAAGGAGTGTATGTGTGGCCATTTCGGCAATTACGGATGGTTTTAAGCAGGTGCGTTTTTTTTTTTGCTTTTTTCTTTTCTGGTTGTTCCTTTGGGTGAGACTTCACCTTAATCGGTGTTTGCAGTGCATCTGAAGCAGACTTTCTGAAAGTGGACGACTCGTTTCCATCAAATCCCTACCATCTGGTAACGTCTGAATGTGAAGCTGTATAAGGTACTTATGGGCTGAATTTCATTCAGCTCGGCATTTTCTCGCTGCAGGTTCTACAAGAATCTCCTAGATCTCATCCTCATACCAGGAAGAGAAATGGTAATTATAGATATTAGGGAGCATTGTGGTTTCGATATATGATTGTTTCCGGCACTCGGTTGTTCTGGTTGGCTCACTGTTGAGGTTTAGGTGCTGTAATGGAAATGAGCAAAACATGCAAAGTGCATTTGTCAACGCAAATCGTCAGTGCTATCGCAGGTATTTTTTATTTTTCTTATGTAGACATGAGACTTAACTTTAATCTTACAGACGACCACCATGCATACCAAATGCGTGGATCCATAGAGAGCCCAATGATCGAAGACGAGGGCGAATGCTTTCCGTCGATAGCGATCAACGCAACTTCTGTAAATGTTGAGGCGTACTATACCAAGGCCGTCAATTACACGTTGATGGTCACTTTTGTATCCTTCATTCCTTTGCTGTTTACCTGATGCAGCTGCTATCCTTGACGAGATGCCTTTAGATCTCCTTCTTGCAGGTTCTTTTCTTGATAAGGCAGATGGAGCACAGCAGTACGCAATCGGTATGAAATCTTTCCAAGTACGTTAGACAGATAGTCATGTATTGTTTGACAGGGTGCTGCAAAAGTATCTCTTTTAATGATCGGTCAACAAGCTATCATGGATGCGTACTTGTGTCTGCTTCATCTGACTGCAGGGATCCTTGTAGGTACGCAAGTCGTTCTATTTTGTTTATGTTGCTGGGTTTAGTATCTGTATAACTTTTGCAGAGTCACTGTTCAATGCTTTTGCGACCGCCGCATTCTTCAAGTTTGTTATATTTTCGATTTTTGAGATGCGCTATCTACTAGCTATCTGGAAAGCGCGGAGGCCGGCCACATCCGGAGAAGGATGGGAAGCCATGAGGCGCGAGCTGTCTGTCTTGTATTCTCGGTTCTGTACGTCAGCGCTTACTTCTGAATTTGGAAATGACGACTGGTGTTGCAGATGGATTTCTTCTTGGAGGAATTCTCATAATGTATGAGCTTCATTCCATGCTGAGATATATTTTGGTCGTTTTCTACGCGTTTTGGATACCTCAAATCGTTGCAAACGTTGCTCGTGATTCACGAAAGCCTCTTCATCCTCACTATATTCTTGGGATCACATTGACCCGGCTAGCTATACCTCTCTACGCATTTGGCTGTCCGAGAAATTTTATGCGCATTGAGGTTGATGTTGGATGGTGTATCGGTATTTCATCCTTCTTGCTACTCCAAGCGTTTTTCTTGTTGCTTCAACATTACTTGGGATCGCGCTGGTTCATTCCACGAAAGGTGCTTACTTTTTCATCTGTTTTTCTAGACTAAAAGTTGGTGTTTTCAATCGCCAGTTTCTTCCGGAGAAGTACAGCTACTTCCGAAGGATCGATCGAACAGCTTTGCAGATTGGACTTAATGGTGACAACATGGTTGTGGACTGTGTTATTTGTATGGCTGCTGTAGATATTGGACAACGCTCTTCCGATTGCATGGTAAGGCATTCAAGTTCTGCGCAGTCTCAGGCTTCACTTCGTTTCTTCAGGTTACGCCTTGCGACCATGTTTTTCACTCTGGCTGTCTCCAGCGATGGATGGACATCAAAATGGAATGTCCAACTTGTCGTCGATCTTTACCTCCGCTGTAATATAAAATTTCTTTCGCTCTGGTATGTGCTTGACTTTCGTGAGGTAAGGAGTGCTGTAGTTGGTGAGACGATAGATAGATAGATAGATAGATAGATGGAATTTATTTTCTCGATCTCTATCTATCTATCTCGCTTCCTTTTTTTTTCCCTTTTTGTCTCAGGCGAGAAACGCATTTGAAAGGTTGGTTCTCTTTTGTTTTATGTTGTTATGCTTTGTAATTCTTCTTCCGTTTTTTTTCTTTTTTCTTTCTCAGGACTGACACGGGCACACGAACAGGCAACAGGCAATTAAGTGAAATATTTGTAGCGGGCAGACAAGCTTACCTCATCAAAACGAGTGTTTTCACTCAGCCGGGTCTCTCGAATCGAATCGTCCTCTCCGAGTACAAGGCAAGCATTTCAAGTCAGTGGTTTTTTTTGTTTTTTTCCCCATCTCCATCTCATTTTTTATTTTTTTTCCGTGGAAGTTTTACTAGATTTGTAGCTCTAGGGAGTCATAGCTCTAGCTCTCTTTCGTCTTCGAGCCCTGACCCGACGACCATCGATCGTTGTCTGGTGGTTTGGAAGTTTCAGTCGCGACCGTTCTAATGCTGTGCTATTGATGATCTCAGAAGCTATGGTTTTAGCTCCAATCCAGTGCCTTTTCAACGCCAAATGTTCTTAAAGTAAGATGGCAGTGGTCTCTTTGCGATTGCGAATGGATCCCCTCCGTCCTGGCTCGACCAATCATTCGCTTAAAAGAAAAAATCGTAAAGAAAGAAGCAACTTTCACATTGTTTGTATCTATCAACTTGTTTGGTGATAAGATCCAGGATGTACAAGATTAAAAAACCATGCTGCCACTATTTGGACATTCCCCGCAATAGAAACCACGTACTGGAAAATCCATAAAAATTAGCATATGCCAGCATATGCCACATGGGCCGTGACGTCATTGTGGTCATGGCCATGACCATGGGCCCATTTTATTTCAAAGAGGAGAGCTCTCTGTGCGTTTTGTTCTCCGCTGTCCAGCGCTTTGTCCCCGCGCTTTGCATCGAATCCCTGCTCTTCTCCTCGACGATCCGCCACGGCCGCGTCTTGACGCCACTGTCAGCGGCAATGCAGCTTCTTTCCCCGCGCGAATGCGATTCCAGCGATTTCCAGGTCAGGCGCCGCGGTTTCTAGTCGATTCTAGCTCCGGAGAATGGGATTTCAGTGATTCTAGCCCCGATTCTATCTGTGAGGGAGGTTGTTGCGGGGATTCCAGCGGTTCCAGCTGCGAGCACGCAGATCTGGGCGAGCTAGGTCATGAAGAAGCTTAGCTAGTCTTTCCCCGGCTCGGGAGGGTGGGCAATGGCAGAGCAGCAGCAGCGCGGCTCCGCCGAGGAGCTTATCAAGGTCGTCAATGCCGTGGCATGGATTGGGGGCCGGACGAAGCTCTACAAGAGGGAGTGCTCCCAGCTCGTGAGGAGGCTCAGATTGATGCTGCCATTGCTCGAGGAAATCCGCGAGCTCAAGCACCATTCCCTCCCCGACGATGCTGTGAATGGTCTTCTAACGGCAACTCTCAAGGCAAAGCAGCTGGTTTCCTTGTGTCAAGCGGGACCCAAGCTGTACCTGGTACGTACGAAGAGATCTTTCGCGAATTCCATGTCTAGCAAAAGATTGATTTTTTCGTTTGTTGGTTCTCTTTCTTTATGCCTAGGTACTCGAGAGGGAGACACTGACTAAGAGGTTTCTCGAGATCGCGAGACTTTTAGCTGGGTCTCTGGATCATTTGTCGCTGGAGAAGCTGGATGTTTCAGACGAAGTCTGCGAACAGGTATTCTAGCATACGAGTTGTGAGCTTGTTCTCCTCATCGCTGTAATTTTTTTTTCTCAGGTCCAGCTTCTTCATTCCCAGCTCAAGAGGGCAAAGATCTGTGCCAACACCCTTGAAGCCCGGCTGCACGACGATCTCCTCAGTGTTATATCCGGCACTCCTGAGGAGGTGGACCAGTCGGCATTGCGCAGGCTGGCGGAAGGTTTGAATCTCAAAACTTCCGCGGAGGTACGAAAGGAAAGTCAAGCTTTCCATAAAGTGAAGGGAGAGAACGGGATTGATGAGAGAGTAAAGAGAGCTCTTCAGCTGCTCAGCTCTATCCAAACGCCCGACAACACTGCTGCTCCAGAAGATCTCTCTAGTCAGATGGCGCGCACGGATGCGTCAACCCTCGCTGTAATACCTGATGATTTTCGCTGTCCCATATCCTTGGAGCTCATGAAGGATCCCGTGATCGTGGCTACTGGACAGGTTCGCTTTCACGTTTTCTTTCTTCTCTCTTCTCATAAGCATGCTTGCAGACTTATGAACGAGCAAGCATCCAGAAGTGGCTTGACACGGGCCATAAAACCTGTCCCAAGACACAGCAAGTTCTTCCCCATCAGGTGCTCACGTCAAACTTCGTGCTAAAGAGCCTCATCTCCCAGTGGTGCGAGAGCAATGGCGTGGACGTCCCTCAGAGGATGGGGACCAGCCGAAAGAGCTGCGCGGCCGAGAACTCTTCTTTCCCGGAGCGAGCAACCATCGACGGGCTCGTCCAAAAGCTCGCGAGTGGCCAGCCCGACTTACAGAGGGCCGCTGCAGGGGAGATCCGGCTGCTCGCGAAGAAAAGCGCCGAGAACCGAGACTGCATAGCCGAGGCCGGAGCGCTCCGTCACCTGGTGAATCTCCTCGCAACCAAGGACCTCCGGACGCAAGAACACGCAGTCACGGCTCTCCTCAACCTCTCCATCAACGACAACAACAAAGGCCCCATCGTCATGCTCGGGGCCATCGATCCCATCGTGGAGGTGCTCAAGTCGGGCAGCATGGAGGCCAGGGAGAACGCCGCCGCGACGCTCTTCAGCCTCTCGGTGGTGGACGAGAACAAGATCACCATCGGCGCCTCGGGGGCGATCCCGGCGCTGGTGGAGTTGCTCCGGGATGGAAGCGCCAGGGGGAAGAAGGACGCGGCCACCGCCCTCTTCAACCTCTCGATCTACCAGAGCAACAAGGCCCGAGCTGTGCGATCCGGCGTCGTCCCCCACCTCATGGACTTGCTCGTCAACCAAAGCATGGCGATGGTGGACGAGTCGCTCACCATCCTCGCGATACTGGCGACGCACCCGGAGGGGCGGCTGGCGATCGGGCAGTCCGGGGCGGTGCCGGTGCTGGTGGAGCTGATCAAGACGGGGTCGCCCAGGAACAGAGAGAACGCGGCGGCGCTGCTCTATGCCTTGGGTGTCAACGATTCGAGCCATCTGGTGGCGGCGCTGGAGCTGGGAGCGGCGGAGGCGCTGGCGGAGCTCGCACAGAATGGGACTGCGAGAGCCAGGAGGAAGGCCAACGCGCTGCTGGAGCTGTCGAGCAAGCACCAGCACCAACAGCAACACCATCGCTGTTCATAGCTCATCCACGATTCTTCTTCTACGAGATCCAGCTCTTTGACACTTTTTGACTATTGTTTGACCTGGATTGACTGCCAGGGCTTGCGAGTTGCCACCTTTTGGACGTGTAACGATTGCCTGCATGGCTACGATATTTACACTGTTAATGTGAAAGTCCACCTGTTAAAAAAAGTATTTATAGTATTAACAAAGCTTATGCTACTGTTTGACCTGGGAAAATCCGCCACCTTTTGGACGTGTATGCCCCTCTATATTTTCACTCCTCAGTTATTAGAAAGCTCAACATTGTCTAAGAGACGAACACTACCAAACCATGCAGTAATTGCAAACACTGATGGCTTCGTAATTTTATCAACACTTTTCAGCGTTTCTTGGTCGACGATCTAAGCACAAAAACAATAGAAGAATTGAACAGCCAAGCAAATTTATAAATCTTACGCTTGCATAATCCACTTTGCCACCTGCATTGCTGATGGCAGTCACTGCCTGTTCTATAAGAACACTGGAATCCGTCTCGCCAGATCTCACAAGCTCTTCGGCCCTCTTTAGCGAATGGAAAATTGCCAAAGCCTGAGCCAAAGAAAGAGAGATTAGTAGTTAGAAGAGTCACAAAGAACTTTACATTTTTTCTTTCGGTGGCGGTGAGTCTAACGTTCCGGGAGCTCATTGCAAGGCCATCAGCTTCTCGTACAAGCGGGCAGCCGATCACCTCCACTCCAAAGTCTAAATCCCTCACCTAAGTTAAGGCAAATCTATCAAAATGAGCTTCAACTGAGAAAACAAAACGACGAAAGGAATGCAGGAAAACGAAGAAATGAATGGAAGAAAAGAAAATGAAAGAGCTTACCATTCGAGCCAGGACTCGCCATTGTTGGTAATCCTTCTTGCCAAACACGACCACGTCCGGCTCCACAATGTTGAGGAGCTTCGACACCACGGTAGCAACACCCCTGAAGAACAATGGACGGCTTCCACCGCAAAGAGGCCTTTCCAAGTTCTCCACCCGGATCCAAGTCTCGTGGCCGGACTCACGATTCTTCTCGGGTGACTCTCGGACATACAAGTCGTGTGGATTGAAAATGATGTCCACGCCAAGTGGCTGCTCCAAAAAGAAAAGCAAGTAAGAAAGAAATCCAAGAGAGATGATAATCCACCTTGAGCTTCTCGACATCGCTATCGAAATCGCGGGGATACACATCCAGATCCTCCCCGGGAGCAAATTGCCCGGGATTCACATAAATCGACACCACCACTTTGTCCGCTCGCAGCCTCGCCTCGGCCACCAGCGACAGATGACCTTGGTGTAGGAATCCCATCGTCGGCACCAGCGCGATCCGCTGGCCGCATTGGCGCTGGGACCTCGACCACTGCCGCATCGCCCCCTTCTCCCTCACGATCGCCATAGAACCCTAATTCTTAAACCCTGAGCTCAGGATTTTAAAACGAGCATATTCAGAGTATATTTTAAAGAATATTCAAATTTAGAGCATCTTTCCCCCTTTTATTCTCTTTGGCGCTTGGAATATTCTTCCAACCGGAGAGGATCTTTCACGAAAGATACTAGCGACCGTCATGTACGTGGCCGAGTTCTCGGGGTCCATCTCCAAGGCCTGCTGGAACACACGCTTCCCTCTCTCCACATCGTTGTGAACCTTGCAAGCTCCCAGCAGCGATCCCCATGCGATCTCATCCGGCATAAACGGCATAGCTCCCAGCAAATCCTCCGCCAGCTCCAGCTTCCCGGATCGACCATAGACATCCACCATGCACGAGTAGTGCTCCCTCCACGCACCCAGCCCAAAGTCAAACACCATTGACACGAAATGCCCCACGCCGACTTCCACCAGTCCGACATGGCTGCAAGCCACTAGAACACTCAAGAAGGTGATCTCGCTCGCCTTGATCCCCCAGAGTTTCATCGCGTCGAAGAGCTCCAGCGCGTAATCTCCATGCCCGTTGTGCGCGAGCACCGTGATCATCGCATTCCACGCCACAGTGTCCTGCTCCGGCATCGAGAGAAACATCGACTTGGCCTGCTCGATCCGCCCGTTTTGCGCAAGCCCCGCAAGCATCACCGTCCAGGACACGGAGTCATGAACAGGCATCGCGTTAAACGCCGCCAGCGCGTCATGCATATGCCCGGCCTGGGCATATGCGACCAGCATCGTATTCCACGACACAACATTCGGCTGCGGGATACAGTCAAACGTCTGCTTCGCGTCCGCTTGCAACCCCTTGTCGGCATACATGCTCACCATTGTGTTCCACGACACAACATCCCTGTCGGGCATCTCCTGAAACACACTCTGCGCGGACTCCAGATGCCCATTTTGGGCATAAGCCGACATCATCGCATTCCAGGCGACAAGATCCCTCTCCGGCATGCCGTCAAACACCGCTTTCGCGGTCTCCATGTCCCCCGATTCCCCATACGCCGACAGCATTGTCGCGCGCGACACGACATTCTGCTCCGGCATCTTGTCGTACAGCCCCTTGGCGGCGGTCAACTCCCCACGTTGACAATACGCGGCGGTCAGCGCGGTCCACGAGACGAGGTCCCGCTGTGGCATGAGCTCAAACATTCTTTTGGCGCTCTCCATATGCCCGTTCTGGGCATACGCGCCCATCATCGCGTTCCACGAGACCATGCTGTGCTCGGGCATCTTGTCAAACGCCGCCTTGGCGGCATCCAAATCCCCGGCCTGGGAGTAAGCTCCCACAATCGCGGTGTACGAAATCACGTCCTTCCCGGGCATGGTATCAAAGAGCTTCTTCGTTCCAGCGATGGTGGAGTTTTGGGCATAGCCCTGGAGCAGCGCGTTCCAAGAGACGACGTTCCACTCCGGCATTGAGTTAAAGACGCTCTTGGCAGCCGTGAGATCGCCGGTGTCGCCAGAAACCACGATCATCGTCGTCCAGGACACCACATTCCTCTGCGGCATCGCGTCGAAGGCCTTCTTCGCTCGATCGGCATGGCCGAGATCGGCGAAACCGGCCATGAGCGTGTTCCATGATACAACATCACGGCTGGGCACCGAATCAAAGAGGCTCTTGGCCTCGCTCATCTGCCCGTTTAGAGCGTAGGCCGTGATCATCCCATTCCACACCACGACGCTGTGCTCGGGCATCTTTCGAAACATCATCTCGGCCTCGTTGGGGTGGCCGTTCTCTGCGTAGCACATCAGGATCGTCGTCCAGGAGATGATATCCCTCTCGGGCATCCGATCAAACACCGACTTTGCCTCCTTCAGATGCCCACTCTGGGCATATGCCTGAAGAACAGTGTTCCACGAAATGCGATTCGGCCTCGGAATTCTCTCGAACATTCTCACAGCCTCGTCGGTTTCTCCGGCGTTTGCGTAAGCCGCCACCAGCGCGTTCCACGACACGACGCTCTTTTCGGGCATCTTGTCGAACAAATCTCGAGAGGCTCGCAAATGACCCTTCTGGGCAAGCAGCGTGATCATCATGTTGTGGGACATGACATCGGGTTGTGGCATGCTCTTGAAGAGTTCTTGAGCTTCCGCGAGATGGCCATCTTGCGCGTAAGCTTTGATTATGGTTCCATACGTGACGGCGTCCGGGACGGGGACGCGATCGAAGAGTTCCTTGGCATCGGCAAGATGCCCGTTCTCGGCATAAGCTTGGATCATCGAATTCCAGGTAAAGGAATTGGGGGTCTCGATGGAATCGAAGAGGGCGCGCGCGGCGACGGCTGCCTTGCACTTGCCGTAGGCCTGGAGGAGGAGATTGGCAAGGTAGATGTTGGATCGGTGGCGCTCGCTGGCGGCGATTATGGCGTGGAGGCGGCGCGCCTGCGCGAGATCCCTGGAACGCCCGCATTGCCGGATGGATTCCGCGAGCTCCTCGACGGAGCTGGGAGGAGAACGAAGCATCTCTAAGGCATATTCAACGGTATTGTCTTAGGACAGCGACACGTCAAGACATGTCTGACACGTGTCTACGCGGCGTGAGTCAGAATTTTTATTTAAAGTACACGTAAGCGTATATATAGTGTCACTGGCGTTTTAGGGCTAGCCATTAGGTTTTTAGAAAAGAAGGAAGATCCGGGAGCTAGAGTGAGCGCGATCTCTCCACAATGTCGTATGCTTACCTCTTCAAGTACATCATCATCGGCGATACCGGTATGGATCGAATTTCGTCCCCGCGCTCTTGTTCTCGCGGGATTTCGGTGTGGAATTCTCAAAATCCTCTTCTGCCAGGGGTCGGGAAGTCGTGCTTGCTGCTCCAATTCACGGACAAGCGATTCCAGCCGGTTCACGATCTCACAATTGGCGTGGAGTTTGGGGCGCGGATGATCACAATCGATAACAAGCCCATCAAGCTCCAAATCTGGGACACAGTAAGTGGCTTCTTGCTGAGAGGGTAGAATTTTACTCTCCTACATTTCCCTTGCTATAGGCAGGCCAGGAGTCGTTTAGATCGATCACCAGGTCGTACTACCGTGGCGCCGCCGGTGCCTTGCTTGTGTACGACATTACCAGGTAAAAGTTCTTCCAAGTTTTAAGTTTGTTCTTGCTCATGAAGTGTGATACAGGCGAGAGACTTTCAACCATCTCGCCAGCTGGCTGGAGGACGCTCGGCAGCACGCAAACTCCAACATGACCATCATGCTGATTGGAAACAAGGCCGATCTGGCGCACAGACGAGCAGTGAGCACGGAAGAAGGGGAGCAATTCGCAAAGGAGCACGGACTTATCTTCATGGAGACTTCGGCCAAGACTGCCCAGAACGTTGAAGAGGTACGTGGGGATTCCATTCTTCCAAGACGGAGAAGTTCTTCTAGATCATAGAAGTTCTTCCAGATGATCTATAAAATCCAATCCACTGAAAATCTTCTCTTCCTTCCACTTTGCAGGCTTTCATCAACACAGCTTCCAAGATCCACCAGAAGATCGAAGAGGGCGTGTTTGACGTCTCAAACGAGGTGAATGACGCTCCTCCTTTGTTTCTCTCTCGTTTTCTCGGTCGCTCATGGCGATTTGCTTGTTCCAGGCGTCGGGCATTAAGATTGGAGTTCTGCCAAATCATCCCGGCCACAGAGGAGATAGCTCGGGACCCCAGAGTGGAGGATGCTGCAGCTAAAAACGAAAGATCAAGCTATCAACCAAGAGAGAAAAAAGAAAAATTCTTTGGGATCAAACGACTCACAAGATAGATAGACTGTTGAATAATTCTTGGCGCTATTCCTCCTGTACAAAGCTTTATCGTGATGGTCTTTCCTATATCTTTCTTAACCATGTAAAGCAACCCATACTGGCATATTCTGTCACTGGAAGGAACATTTCGTCAGAGTGCCGTAGATGAATATTCTCCCGGCAACGGCTACAATTTACTTGTGGCCGTTCACAGTGGTCCGAGCTTATAATTCTATTGTGTGTGTTCTAGGGCTCCTCCTCGTTTCTCTCTCTCTCTCTCGCCATAGCCAGGGCTCCCATCCATCGATCGATCAGGCAAAGAAGATGCAGACGCGAAGCCGGCGAGCTCTTGGCGACATCGGCAATCTCGTGCGGCCTCCGCCGCAGCAAGGCGCGGAGCTGAGCAAGCCGCCGCTCACCAGGCGCCGGGCGCAAGCAATCAAGGCCGCTGGCGCCGGCGCCGCGGCAGTGAAGCCCCCGGTCCCGACGCTGCCTATCCGGAAGGAAAAGGAGCCGACGCTCACAGCGCAGCTCACTGCTCGTAGCGAGGTATGCTAATTTCCTTTGTCGCATCGTTTCCTTCCATGGATCTTCTTCGTTTCCTTTCTGCACTGGAATTTTTTCCTTCGTGGTTTTGCTGGATCAATGCTTGATCGATTCCTCGTTTTTCCTTGGCAGGCAGCATGCGGATTCGACGCGGAGATGGTGGACGCTACCTCTACGCCCGTCGCCGAGGAGCCTCTTCCAAACATCGACGAGCACGACGTGGGGAATCAATTGGCGGTCACGGACTACGTCGAGGATATCTATAGCTTCTATCGCAAGGCCGAGGTACAGAGCTGTGCGGCGCCCGAGTATATGAAGCAGCAACCGGAGATCAACGATAAGATGCGCGCGATACTCGTCGACTGGTTGATCGAGGTGTGTGAAAACTCTACTCTCTCGTTCTTTGTTCTTCTTTGTTGTGATAGAACTGTGATAGAGATCTCATGGCGTGATGGCTTTTCTTGTTCTTCGCAGGTCCATCTCAAGTTTAAGCTCATGCCGGAAACACTCTACCTCACGATCAACATCATCGACCGCTACCTCTCGCTACAGCAAGTCTCGAGAAAGTATCTCCAGCTCGTCGGAGTGACTTCGATGCTTATCGCGGCCAAGTACGAGGAAGTCTGGGCCCCTGTGGTTGGCGACTTTGTATTTATTTCCGATGATGCCTACACCGATGATCAATTACTGTCCATGGTACGTACTCGAGAATTTGGCTTTAGATCTGCTTCCTGAACTCTTCTTTTCTTCTTTTCTTGTTCTTCATCTCAGGAAAAGAAGATGCTCAACACGCTGCGTTTCAACCTGACTGTCCCGACGCCTTACGTATTCGTGGTGCGATTTCTCAAAGCAGCTGCCTCCGACCGACAGGTGAATTGGTCTTTCTTCCAGGCAAACTCGAAAGCTCTGGCTCACTTGCAATGAACAGATGAACTTGCTCGCCTTCTTCTTTGTGGAGCTCTGCCTTACGGAGTACGTGATGCTCAAGTACCCTCCATCGATGCTAGCTGCCGCTGCCGTGTACGCGGCTCAATGCTGCCTGGAGAAATCCCCGGCCTGGACCTCAGCGCTCCAGCGCCACTCGGGCTACACAGAGGATCAAATCAGGTACTTCTCTTCGCCCTGCCGGTGTCTCTCTCTTTTTCGAGTTCTTAGAAGTGGTTCTCTGTTTGTTACTTACTACAGGGAATGCGCCACGCATATGGCACGCTTCCACCAGAAAGTCTCCAAGACTCCCGAGGAGCACTTGTCCGTGGTGGGAAGGAAGTACTTGCACACGAAGTTTGGGACGGTGGCCGCATTGACGCCCCCGAAATCGCTACTGCTGCTCCCGCAATGAGGCTAAGTTAAAGGAAGGAAAGCTCCCCCAGTCACACAAGTGAGGTAACTCTCTCTCTGGATTTTTTTTGTTAGATCGAAAGACGTTTGAGAGCATTCCTTTTTAACGGTAATGTTTGCGACAGTGGTGACAGACAACGCTCGAAAAGTCGTCACACGCGAACGAGAGAGGAGGAAAGCTCAAACGAAGAACAAAAGAAAAGAAGAGGAGAAGCCGCGCTGCTAAGCTACTGGCTTGCTGCTGTAAGTAGAGAGAGATAGATCATAGATGATAGAGTGAGAGAAAGAAGATCATTGAGAGAAATCTTTACAGTCCCTTGAGCGCTCGCAAAGAGAGAGAGCATGGAGGCCATCGACATTGATTGTCATTTTTAAAAGCTATTTAAATCTATCTTATTTGTTCGCAAAGAAAGAGAGAGATTGGCTATGGTGGTGGTGGTGGCGCCGCTGGTGGCGCCGCCGCTGGTGGTGGAGGAGGAATAGTGGCGTTGGATGATGAAGGCACCGCCGCTGCTCCCGCCGCTCCTTTGCCGCTGCTACCGCCGCCTTTCTTCTTGGCAGGAGGAGCTTTGTTCTTATTTCCAAAGATGTTCTTTTCACGCGCGGCAGCCTCGGCGTACTCTGTGAAGCTGTCCCTCCGCCGGTGGAACTCGTAGGATTTCTTGTCAAGCTGAAAGATAGACGATGGATCGCACTGGTAAGAAGAGCTTTCGATCGATCGGATCGGATGATTGATCCAATCGATCGATTGAAAGCGAGAAATAAGCTAGGATAATTGGGGGAGAAGCGATGACCAGTTCTGGCTTGTACTGGAAATTCTCGTGCGTGAAGCTGATGGGTTGCCGCTTGGGGATCACGTAGCCGGCATTGTGCTTCTTCCAGAGATTCTGCAAGCGCGAGGATCGATCGATCCGGGAAGGGGATTTCCCGGACGATCACTGCTGCAGGGTTTTACAGGGGTTTTGGCGAGAGATCTAGACTTACGATGGAGAGCTCCCTCACGAGCTTGCACGTTGCCTCGTTGCGCGTCGTCCACGCGTTGGCGATGACCGGCTTGCGCTCCTCGCCCTTCTTCTCATCCCCGGCCATCGCGCGGGATTTTAGAGCTGCGAGAAGGCCACATCACGCGCCAACGGTCGCCACGCAGGCAAAGCGACGTGCCACGTGTATGCCAGAAAGCAGTACACGTGGTGGCCTAGCAGCCGTTGGATATTGATAGATTTGCTAGAACCCTAAGCCGCCGAGAGTGAGGAACCCTAGCGGCGTCGGAGCGAGTAGGCGAGGCGCGATCCTATGGTAAGCTCAGTGCGATCGAATCGGTCCTAGCTCGCATTTCTTACGCTGGCAATGCAGGCTCCAAAGCGGGCAGGAGGGAAATCGGCCGTGGCGGCGGCGCCTGAGAAGAAGAAGGTGAGTCGAGAGGATGGTGATTTTGCTGGCGCTGAGGGTTTTCTTCTCGGGCTGTATAGGCGGAGAAGGTTTCAAATCCGCTGTTCGACAGGAGACCGAAGCAATTTGGCATCGGTGGTGCTCTGCCGCCCAAGAAGGATCTCCACCGCTTCGTCAAATGGCCAAAGTATGTGAGGATCCAGAGGCAGAAGCGTGTCCTCAACCTCCGATTGAAGGTTCCGCCGACGCTCAACCAGTTCACGAAGACTCTTGACAAGCATATGGGTGAGATTTTACTGCAATCTTCCTCTTTTCTCTAGCTCTCGTGGATTGATCTTCGTTCTTCTGTTTTGGTCGTCAGCTACCTCACTGTTTAAGATGCTACTGAAGTACAGGCCCGAGGACAAGGCCGCCAAGAAGGAGAGGCTGCTCAAGAGAGCCGAGGCTGAGAAAGAGAGAAAGGCGATCGATTCGAAGAAGCCTTTGGTCGTCAAGTATGGACTGAATCACGTAACTTACCTCATCGAGCAGGTAGGAGTTTTCTCGTTTTTTACTCCTCCCTTCACATCGTTCTTCGTTTTTTTCCTCCACAGGGTAAAGCGCAGCTGGTTGTGATCGCCCATGATGTGGAGCCGATCGAGCTCGTGCTTTGGCTGCCGGCCCTGTGCAGAAAGATGGGCGTTCCATACGCGATTGTCAAGGGCAAGGCTCGGCTCGGTGCGGTGAGTGGTCTTCTCCCGGTTTCTAGCACTCCAGTTTCTCACACTCTTCCGTCTCAGATCGTTCACTCTAAGACTGCTACCTGCCTGTGCCTCACATCCGTGAAGAACGAGGACAAGCACGAGTTCAGCAAGATCGTCGAGAGCGTCAAGGTCTGGATCTTTTTCTCTCGTTTTGCTGTGATCCTCATCACCACTTCTTCGTGCTCCAAACAGGCCAACTTCAACGATCGCTTCGACGAGTTCCGGAAGCAGTGGGGCGGTGGCGTCATGGGTGTCAAGTCCCAGGCCAAGCTCAAAGCCAAGGAGAGGCTAATGGCCAAGGAAGCTGCCCAGAGAATGTCCTAGAGAAGAAAATATAACTTTGGCACGTACTTTTTTGTCCACCACCTTTTTTGAAGCTAAATCTAAAACCCTAATATGGTCTACTATGATTTATGATTAGGGTTCTTCCAAGATTGGAATCTACCAACCTTTTCCAACGATGGGAGAACCCAGGAATGATGCAGACATCCAAGCGTGGATCGATGCCATGGATGCTGCACTGGAGAGGATTGGGGACAACGAAGGGCCAGTTTTTGTAACGGATGGAGTGCCCAGGGATAGATTTCTCAAGATGTACATGGAGACCCGAGCATACAAGCGAAACATGCTGTGGAAGTCTGGATCGCTGTGGATCCAGGCCGATAACACGGATCATCACGAACAGGTAAGGTGCTGGCTCTCCGCCAAGCTGCAACTGGAATTCCAGCGGCTGGGGATCGTGTTCCTCGGCAGGAATCGCCAGGTCTCGCTCTCTCAGGGGGGATTGATGGAGATTGGCGACGATCGCTGCCAGCAAGTGGATGTCTCCGTGCTGGAGAAAGATAGCAGCGAGCGAAAGGTGGTCTTGGCGGCGCAAGTTGTGTATAAGAACGAGGATCCACGGGCTGTTTTCGATGATATGGAGGTGCTGGTTAGCGAGCGAGGCGGCGCAAAGGTTGCTTTGGGGATTGTTGTGCACGAGCGAGATCCTTGCGTTGTGTACTACCGGGACAGGAAGTCGGCCGAGACGCAAGTGATCCAAGCGATCGATGGAACCGTCCTGAGATTCAAGTGGGAAGAACTTTTTGATAAAGTTCATGTCCAAGGAGAGACTGCTCTAGATCTGGGATTGCTCACGGATCACGCAACTTCCGTCTAGATTTCCAATCGAGTTTTAACTTTCTTTCTTTGTAGACGCCAACGATCGCTAGATCCATGATCTTCTAAAGTAGTTTTCCCGCATAGAATACAATCACTCTTAACACTATCGCTAAAGAGAGAACGAAGAACTTACGAGATGTTTGATGCTGTATATATTTGGCGGTGGAGATTATTTCTTTCTTGGTACAGTGCTTGCTACCTAGTGCGGCCCCGTCTCCTCAAGAAGCTAGGAATCTCTAGCGTGGCTCCACCATTGTTTCCCAACGGCGATGCGATGGAAGGTTTGCTACGTGGGCTTGGGCGAGTGAGTTGCTGCCAAAGCTTGAGATATCAGGACACTAGAAAGCAGCAGATGCGAAGAACTTACTTGCACGTCTGGTTCTTCTTGCGACTTGAATCCAGTCGCAATAAGTGTGATGCTCACCTGGTCAAAGGATGGAATTATGATACCTATGTTGCATCAACGAGAAGCAAGCAAACTTACATGACCGTTGAAGGAATCGTCGACAACAGCACCGAATATAAGATTTGCATTCGGGTCTACAAGATCGTATATAACCTCTGCTGCCGCGTTCACCTGTTTATGAAATGGTTGCAACATAAAAAGAAGAAAACTAAAGCGTACCTCAAACAGGGTCATATCGGTTCCTCCAGTGATGTTCCATACAATGCCAGTGGCACGCTCAATTCCCACATCGAGTAATGGCGACTGGATGGCATTCAGAGCGGCGTCTCTGGCCCTGGACTTCCCTGTAAGTTTGTCTCTAGCTCTAAGAAAGAAAACAGCAATGCATCAAGACGCAGCACCTGTGGCAGTTCCAATTCCCATGAGCGACGACCCAGCATTGGCCATGATGGCACGAACATCCGCGAAATCAACATTCACAAGTCCAGGGATCTGAAAAACAAACCAAAAGTTAGCGAGAAACCTTTACTTTGGAAAAGTTCAATCACCGTTATAATGTCCGAAATACCACGGACACCTTGCCTCAGGATATCATCCGCAAGGTTGAACGCTTCGGTCACAGGCGTGGACTGGGACACGGCAGTCAAGAGCTTGTCGTTTGGAATGGTGATCAGAGTGTCCACATTGTTCTTCAGCAGAGCCGTTGCCTCTTGTGCCTGTATCGATCTTCGACGGCCCTCAAACGAGAAAGGAGTGGTAACAATACCAACTGTGAGCACTCCCAGCTCCTTGGCCACTCCCGCAATCACTGGAGCCGCTCCACTGCCAGTACCACCACCCATCCCAGCCTGAAAAGCTTGACGAAATCAGCACAAGCAAGCACAGGAAGAACACACAACTTACAGTGACGAACACCATGTCCGCTCCACGAACAGCTTCCTCGACTATGGCTTTGCTTTCTTCCGCGGCGCTCATGCCAATCTCCGGGTTTCCACCAGCACCCAATCCTCTCGTGAGCTTCTGTCCAATCTGTAGCCTGTTTTGCGCTGGAACCGGCGACATCGCCATCGCCTGTGCGTCCGTGTTGACGATCCAAAACTCCACGCCTTTCATCTCGCTCTGGACCATCCGGTTGACGGCATTGGATCCACCACCGCCCACTCCAATGACTTTGATCTTGGCCTCGTTAAATCTCTCCATCTCCAAGTTTCCTTCCCAGGAGACCGATGTAGAGGAATTTCCCGTTCCGCTGCTGCTGTTTGCGAGCTCGCGCGACGAAAACTCCGACCTGGAGGTCGCCAGAGCACCCCCATCACGATCCCACTCCAGATCCCAGCTCGGGGATGCTGCTGCCGACGAATACGAGCATTGGAATGCAGGTCTGCTCCTGCTGGCGATCAAAGACCTACGCCTGGCTCTACTGCCGATCGCGAGCTGCGTGCCCTGCTCCCCCAATTTTCTTGGAGAAAGGAGGTCAGTGCCGGGCAGAGAAGACGAGGACGCTGAGATTACCGCAAGAGCCATGACGATCCACCTCTCGAACAAGATTCTAGCCTACAGCAGCGTGATCCCTACCACAATTCGACGAAATGCGGGCGCGTGATCGCCTCCAGCTCCCCGCCATCGCCCCAGGAACCCTAAACCTCTTTTCAAGAGGAATCTTTAACTTATCCGCTGGGAATCTATCCTGCCATCGCGATCGTTCATTGATTGAAAAACTCCTGGCCGTCCATCATACAACGGCAACCTTCCCGCTGGAATTTTGAAAACCAGGGTATCGTTCAAAGAATATTCTCGCCCTAGCAGGAGGCGAGTGTTCTTCGCTCCCCATGAGCTCTTCATCTTGATCTCGAGGCGGGGAGCTGAAAGATTGGAGGAATGAAGGCGGCGATTCCATCGGCGAGGCTGCGCGAGCGGGATTCGTCAAATGTATGTGTCGATTTGAATTTCTCGTGTTCCCTGATCGTGGCGCTGTGCTGCAGAAGGAGAATGAGCCGGATGTGCCGGCTGGGAAGAAGCGCAAGCTCGGAATTTCAAGGGAGCCAGCAGCTAGAGCTCCGCGAGAAACCCTATCGGCCCTCAATGTACCCAGAGAGTCCATCGCTTCCATTCAGGCAAGCAGCGTTCCAGCAGTGCCATCGACTGTCAGCTCGGGCCAAGTGGAATGGGAAGGAGTGGCTCGTATGGCCAGTGACGAAGTGGAGGCTTTGCTTAATACGAAAATGGCTGGGAAATCTAAGTTCGACCTCAAGGTACGTTTTTTTCTTCTCTTTTTTCTTCGCTTTCGTGGTGTCACACCTATTTTCTGCCGTGTGATCGTCAGGGAAGGAACGAGAAAATGATGGAGTACATAAAAAATCTAAGGACGTGCATTCGCCAGTTTTTACAAGTAGAGAGTGTCTATGTAATGCAGCAGGAACAGGCCCAGAATCAGATCAAGGAGGAGAAGCAACGGCACGAAGAATCAGGTAAGTCTCTTATGTTGTGTTCCAGAGCAAGCAAGTTGAGATGTTTTCTTTTTAACAGAGCAAAAGATGTCCGCTAAGTATGGTGAATTGGAGGCTAAACTCGTAGAGGCTCGGCAACAATATGATAGACTTGTAGGACAGTTTCAGAAGCTAGAAGCCGAGAAGCAGGTTGGAATCAATTCACGCTGATTTCTGGCTAACATCATGTTCAATAACTCAGGAACTTTCACTGGCTCACGCAAAGGATGTGGAGGCGCTGGAAGTAGCTTCAGAAGAACGCACGAAGTTGAATGAAGAGATTGACAAACTTCAAAAAGAAGTCGCCCAGTGTAATCATCAGGTTAGAGATATTTCTTACTCCTTGGTTGTTGCTAAATAGCAATCTCTGTTCTTTCAGCTCGGAACAGCGCAGGACGTGAACAGGCGATTGCAGGAGTATAACACGAGTTTGCAGCTTTATAACAGTAAACTACAAAGTGACGCGGCTTTGGCTACCGAAGAAAACGCTAAGACGCAGAAAGAGAAGGCAGCTATTGTGGAAACCTTAGGCGCGTTGCGTGGAAATTATGCTGGTTTACAAACTCAACTCGAAACAGCAAAGGTAGGTCCCTTAAGATTGTTAAAGATTTTGCGTTCAACGTGCTTGTTGCAGGATGCTTTGCAAGCTGAAACGGCCAAGATGAAGTCAATAAATGACGAACTTTCTCTTTTGCGGGCGGAGCTCCTTCGTGTTTCAGAAGAAAGGGACAACTATTACCATCAGGTTCAGGCATTGTCAGCTGAAAATGCAGCAATCAGGGAAAAAACTTCAACATCTGCCGCTGAGATTATGCGCTTCACGAGCAAGGCAGAAGCGTTGGAGGTATTTAAGACGTTCTTTTACGTACTTCATAGTAACCCTTTGTTCAGGAAAGCTACGACAAGCAAGCGGAGCAGATCAGACTCCTTCAAAAACAACTCAACAGGTCGAAGGAGATGCTAGAGGTAAAATGTATGCTGCTTCTATCTACTTAAGCTGATGGATCAGGTCGCGGAAAAATCATTGTCTTTCGAGAGGATTGGGAGCAGTGAATATATGTCAAAAATTGAAGCCCTTGAGAACAAACTTGCTGACTCAGAGCAGCAGCTCCGTGAGGGAGAGTTGTTGCGGCGCAAGCTTCATAACACCATCCAGGTTCGCGCTTTTCTGTTTTTATCACCTAAGGCAAACAGTGATGTTACAGGAGCTGAAGGGGAACATTCGTGTATTCTGTAGAGTAAGACCACTTTTACCCGATGAAAACGACGAATCATCGACGCTGATCAGCTATCCAGGCGAGGAGGGAATTGAGCTACACCAGGCTCAAGGTAAATTTATCTGTATACATGCAGCTGCTTATCTGTTTCTTTAGGCCAAACATACTCGTTTTCTTTTGACAAAACTTTTGGACCCGACGTTTCTCAGAGAGACGTGTTTACTGAGATTTCACAGCTCGTTCAAAGCGCCTTGGATGGCTATAAGGTAACACCTTTTCTTTTGTTGGCATTCTCTGTTTACCTTGTCCTTGTAGGTTTGCATATTTGCGTATGGCCAAACTGGATCGGGCAAGACACACACTATGATTGGACAGCCAGATGACATGGACCAGAAGGGTGTGATTCCCAGGTCCTTAGAGCAGATCTTTCAGTGCAGCCAAGCACTTCGTTCGCAAGGATGGAGCTTCAAAATGCAGGTCAGCACAAAGTTTGTTTCTTTCCGTAGTGGAGCGATTTATTCGTTCTTTTTCCAGGCTTCACTTCTTGAGATTTATAATGAAACCATAAGAGATCTTCTTGCGCCGTTAAAAAGCGTGGGTGGGGACACGACCCCAGCAAAGCAGCACGCAATAAAGCACGAGCCAACTGGGAATACCGTTGTGACCGAGCTTACTGTCGTGGAAGTTAACAGCTGGGAAGAGGTGTCATCCCTTTTGAGGCAAGCTGCACAAAGCAGGTAAAAGAAATTTGGTTTGGCAATCTCTCGTTAGCAGGCTGACCGAACTGTATCTTTGGCAGGACTGTGGGGAAAACAGCTATGAACGACAGGTCCTCTCGAAGCCATTGTGTATTCACGCTGCGGATCATAGGATCGAATGAGGTAGTCATTGCTTTCACTGATACGAAGAATGATTTCTTTCTTTGTGTGTGTGTAGAATACTGAGCAACAGGTACAGGGAGTTCTCAACCTGATCGACTTGGCTGGAAGCGAGCGCCTCTCGAAAAGCGGCTCCACCGGCGAACGCCTGAAGGAAACACAGGTGCTAATCCAAGTTTGCGAGTATCACTCTAACAAGAGCAAATCTGCGCAGGCCATAAACAAGAGCTTGTCTAGCCTCGGAGACGTGATCCTTGCGATTGCAAACAAAGACCCTCACATCCCATATAGAAACTCAAAGCTGACTTATCTTCTCCAGGTAAATTCTTGCATACATTTGTGCAAGTGCTTACTGTGTGATCAAAACGCAGCCTTGCCTTGGTGGCGACTCGAAGACGCTGATGTTCGTGAATATCTCCCCCGACTCCAAATCACTCCATGAGTCGCTGTGCTCGCTGCGGTTTGCAGCCAAGGTGAATGCATGCGAGATTGGAGTTCCCAGGAGGTGCACGAGCAGCAGGCCTCAAATTAGCTGTTAAAGCTTTTGGTATTTTGTTGTCAAAGTTTTGCATTGACAAGAAGAAAAATTTATGTGGAACCAAACAAGATATGGAACCCTTTGCCACCTTTTACTTGGATTTTTTCAGATGGAGTACAAGCCCGGCATCAAGGCTCACGCAGAGACGAGGGGGGCAGCCCCTTTACCGAGATCCTCCCAGCAGGTCAACCAGGCATGCCAAATGGTATCCCCCAGCCTCCATCCCAAAGTCCTGGCCCAGCATCCTGGCATGGCTGCACGCCTTCTTCTTATAAAACATCATTGGGATGTCAATCAATCCCTTCTTCTTTGTTTTCTTGGATGGAGCACTGATGAGAAAGAAGGTTGAGGCAGTGGCATGGAGGTGGCGATCGTCACAGATCTGCTGAAGTGCAAGAATATCTGTCAAATATTCCGAATTTGGCACTGTTGATCAATAGCGCATCCCAGCCATTTGGATATACCTGTTGTGTAGGAGGGCTTTGATGACGTGGCTGCCACATAGGATACTAGCTCCTCTTCTTTTTAGAGCTTCTTCGTGTGAAAAACTAGGGCTAACTAGGGTACAATGAAGAGAGGTGGGGGTCATCAAGCAAAGCGCATGCAAGCAAGGAGGCAATGGTGGTGCGTAGCAGCTATGTGGCGGCAAGTAAGGAGGCGATGAGCCCTCTAGCGTCAAGCAAAAAGTGGCGTTATGCAAGAAGAACGGCAAGGCGATGGTTTTGGGGTTAGGCAAGAAGACTAAATAGGCGGTTAGTAATAATTCAGGTGTGCTCACTCGATTTAATGATGACTCTTCTTTGTCCCAAGCATACAACAATATTGCCTTTGCTTACAAAATGGGCATCTTGGGGTAAGAGAAGCTGTATCAAGAATTTCAGTACCTGGAGAAAATCTATGCCTTCACTCTAGTTGTTAATCCACTCTCTTCCCAAGTAACATAAATTTTCTCCACATACTGAAATTTTCGATACAACTTTTCCCACCCCAAGACACCCATCTTGTAGGCAAAAGTGTCATTTCTATATGCCTAGGACAAAAAAGAGTTATCATCAAATTGAGTGAGCACACCCAAATTGTTGCCAACAATCACCTACTCGGTTTTTTTGCCCAATCCTGGAACCATTGCCTTGCCGTTCTTCTTGCCTGGCACCAAAGGGTTCATCGCCTCCTTGCCTGCCACCACACGGTTGCCACATGCCACCATCGCCTCCTTGCCTTCACGTGCTTTGCTCGATGAACCACTCCCACCTTTCTTCATCATATGTTTCTAGCGTTCACAGGGTGATTAATATCATAGGATGGACAGTGAAGTTCAGGAAAAGAAATGAGCTTTGTGTTGACCAATTGACTCAGAAGGAGTTCGAGGTGTTCCAACACACCAAGATCAACAGCATGGTGGTAGTGGTTCACAACGGATGGGTCTACACCGCTGGGGTTGCTAAGACCAGGGTCGTCATGTCCAGAAGCTTCAAGCCCGTTCAGACACACATGAAAATCTCAATGCTACATCACACAGTTCCTGAAGCGAAGAACACATCTGGTACCATTTCCACAAGGTACTAGTGTTTACTTCAAATTAACGAAATGCCAGATTCACTAACTATTGTATGAATTCCAGGAACGCATACAGGAGGACGATACGTATGTAGCGTGGTTCAGACCATATATGGACCATCCTCCACTGGAACGACGCTTTTATACCAGTGTTACAAACCCGGATAGATGAAGTGGTTTGTGTTTTACCAATGTAATTCTTTTGGTTTCTATCAGGATCTGGTGGAGGCTTGGAAGGCGATACATGGACCACACCAAAATCATCATCGTAATCACTCTCTGGAAGAATGCGCATTTACTCAAGGCTGCCTGAGGTGTTGAAAACAAACTTGACATCAGTAATGTTATACAACATTAATGTGAAAACTTTTGCATACAAGAGGTTGATGAGTGCGGATATTAGTAAGCAAATTACTTATCAGATTCTTTAATTCTTACGTTCTTTGACGACAGATTCATTCGACGAAGGGACTGAACCTCAGATCATCAATGATTTCCTGCGCTTCTTGTTACCGTGGGAGTTCTTTCAGCAAACACTTTGGCAACGTGCGTGTGCATTCTGTGTGATCAGTGAATGGCAAGCAAACTCCTGAACCCCAAACGTCTTCAAACTATTACTCGTTTGGGATTATACAGACGCCCTGTGGAGAGGATGCGCTCCAGGTTTCAACATCTCCCATCTCTGCATGATTAGGCTTTGTAAAGTTACAAGAAAGATAGTCTATGTATGCCAGTAATTTAAATCAAGTGCCTGTGAACTATGATTTACCACCGATTGCATGGCTGCATGCATCCTAGATCTTACATAAGACCTCTTCAAGCTCCAAGCACGATTACAATTAACTCATTGATCATGAAGGCTGATTTGGTGTTTCTCGTTTTGGTATTTGCCACTTTGCAGATTGTGTTGTCTACTTCGGGTACATTGCCTTTGGATGCGGATGATATTGATGTTGAGGTCTTTCCAAAGAGACTATTGACTTTGAAGGCGTGGTGCCGTATCGGCAGCAGGAGCCAATCATTCCCTTGTGGCGAAGAAGTGTTTGAATTGAACCTTCGGAACAAATATTATTTACAAACTGACTTAAGAAATGGATGCTTCAAAGTTTCATCAGGAGTTATTCGCTTACTGGGATCCAGCATAAGCATCCTCTCTAACAAGTTCTTGAATCTCGCCATCAGCACTCCATCTTCCCCTGTAAGATCTGAAATACAACTTGTCTTTACATTGAAGGACGCCATACTTCTCAGAGTTTCCAGCTTTGTCACGGGATCTAGCTGCCGGAACTCAAAGTTCTCGTTGAAATGCATGCCAGTAAACGCTCCTTTCTTCAACATCGCCTTTGGAAACGCCCCCTTGAGCTCCATTTGCTGCTTGAGAAGCCCGTTGTTAGTAGCAACAGGAAAGAGGAACTTGCCCGTGTAGAGCTCATACAAGCAGCAGCCGGCAGACCACATATCGATTGGGTGGCTGTAGGGAGCCACCCCGAGGATGATCTCCGGAGCCCGGTAGCTCGGACTCACCAGGTATGGGGTCTCTGCGGACAGGGTTTGATCCCTCGCAAACATGGCCACCCCAAAGTCGCACAGCTTGATCGATCTCCGGGACTTTGTGACCATGATGTTGTCAGGCTTGATGTCGCAGTGCAAGATGCCGCAATGGGCCAAGTGCTGGAGGGCAACCATGAGCTGGTGAGCATAGACACAGATGGTTTTGAGATTGATACCTCTGTTTCGCCCGTACTTGTTTGTGATCTGCCGGAGGTTTAGATCCAGGGACTCCATCACCAGGCACAGATGCTCGCGATACACAAAGCTGTCGAGGAGCTTCACGCAGTGGTTGTCTTTGTTCGTGGCCTCCGGCTCCGCCACCTTTTTGAGGATCTGGAGCTCCGACTTTGCAGACCGGAGCATGAGATCGTTCTTCCGGGGGATCTTGATGGCAACCTCCTGCTCGCACTCGGGCAAAAGGGTCTTGGCTAGGAAAACCGTGGAGAACATTCCGCTTCCTATGGATGCCTTCACCTGGTACTTGGAGTTGATTGTCTCGCCAACCCGGGCCTTGTAGTAGAACTCTTGATCGTGCCAATTGTCAGGGTTGTCGTTCCTTAGCCCTTGGACGGAAGCCTCCGGATTTGTGATTTCTGTGAGTGGCGTCTCCGAGAACATGTCTTGAGCTGGAGGTGATTTGTCGCAAGAATTACTGGAGATCTGGGCAGTGTCACGAGGAACTGAGGTGTTGAGGGAAACAATCTGCTGTTCCACTATTTGTCCTTCTTCTAGTGCATGCTTCTCCAGGATTGCCTGTCTCCTTTTCCTGCTTTCCTCTCTAACTCTTTCCACCATTGCATCTTCGTCCTCTATTACACTTATCTGGCAGTCTTCGCTCCTTCTTTTCCGACCCATGTCAAAGGGTTTTGCCAACCCTATTTGTAAAGGACAAATTTATACTTGGGAATGATCCTCCGACTTTGAAATTTAAGCGGGAAAATTTGGGGCCATGTCTAGGGCTATGGCGAGCGCATGGCGATTGTGCGCCCCCAAATTCTCGAGCTATGGTATGATCGCGCTTCTTCGCTGTAAAGCTGGATTGCCACGGATCTTGCGTCTTTCTAGGAGGCGCCATAATATCTTTCTCGTGCTTGGTCGATTGGGGGGGATTCCGTGCTGTCCCGGATCTGGAACAAGGAGCTTGAGGTAAATTTCATGTGGTGGTATCGCTACTGGGGTGAAAGAAATCTCTCTCTTGCGCTTGTGCTACTAGATTTCAGGCTGGGCATACTGCTCGAGGTGTTCTTGCTTTAAACTTATTTTCGTTTTTATGAGCCTCTTACATATATCCTGGGAAGTCCAATACCGATTCGAGGTACGAGTTTATTTTTCAGAAGAAAGAATTACCTCCCAGAGTTTTTAACGTCTTGGGACTCGCCGCCTCCAAAGCGGCTAAATCCTCGCGAGTTCTCTTGTCGCCCAGACAGGATCTTTGCTTTGAAAGTCTGCAAAATAATATGGTGAGTGTTTTTACACACTGTCTGTGGTATGGTGAGAACTTACCTCGAGGACTCCTTGATGCAGGCGTTGAGTTCTTGGTTCTCCGGGACGATTTCGAAGTTCTCACTCTCTTGATCGTACGTGACACTTCGAAATGAATCAGCAGTCAAGGAGTAGAGAAAAAGGACCCCGATTCCTGCTCGAATCCCAATGTGACTGCTGCTCAGGTACTTCTCCATGTCTGGTGGCATTTGGCAAAGCCGGATCCACTTAGACTTCTCCAGGTCGAGCGTGTATATGACGACGTGGGTTTCTGGTCCTGGCTTGCCTTTCTCAAGAACGAACTCATCCTCGCATGTTGTGGCAGCCACGAGAGAGCCGGATGAGAAGGAAGCGATGAGCGGACCATGCGAGACGAAGACATGCTCGGAGAAGGCATCGGTGTTGTGCTCCACTCCAAGGTGTTGGCGTCCAAGGCATAGATGGTATCGCCAGCGTCTTCAAAGCAAGAGAAATAGAAAGCGCTGGGGCCGATCGCGCTGGTGAAGACCTCCGGATCGTCAAGCACAGGGCCGCCGCCTGGTGTGTTTCCGTCGCCGATTGCAGTCCACGAAGGCCGATCGCAGCCATTGCGGATCTCCAGAATGCCGCTCAGCCTCCTTCCCGCCTTGTCATCGCTCGTGCCCATGCATTCTTCCGACTCCTGCGAGGTAGCAACCGCGACGAACACTCCGGGTCCCGGATCCTTGCCACGGTAGGAGATGCTGTTCGGGATAGCCGGGAAGAGTCCGGCCAGGCAGCCGGAGGTCGGAGAGTAGAGCACTGCGAACCGATTTGGGCGGAGCCACAAGAAGTTGTCCTGGTCCTTGAGACAGCACCCGGGAAGAGCGATGGAGACAGTGGCCGCTTCCGACGCCTCCGGTCCTTCTTTTTCTTCGTCTCCGGCGACCATTTCCAGCTTGTACCAGGAACGCAGTACCGGATCAAACGCGAAGACACACTGGAAGCTTGGGCCGTGCACTTGCATCCAGGTTTCACAGCGATTCTTGGGCTTGAAGCTCGAGCTGCGGAGGAGCGACCGGATTCGCCTGGATACTCCGGAGAGTTTCGCCTGTGTCCCAAAGGAAGCGGACGAGAAAATCTTGCGGAGAATGTCTCGAGGTAACTCTTCCATTAAAGGTCGTGCCCTTTTTTTTAACTTTCACTTGACATTTAAACGTTAAGTTCCGGAGGCGATGACGCTGACCATGAAATGCTGTGCGAGCCAGGCACCTTAGCAGCTTACTCAAGCAGTTATCTAGATGCTTCGTTCGACGATCTCGACGCTGTGACAACGAAAGCAACTTGGTCGATGCAAAACGAACACTCGACACTATACTATTAAGAAGACTTTCCTTGCCAGTCCTCTCGCGGCTCTGCCCAGGTACTTTTCTCATCGACAACTCTCTGTCGTTTATAATGCTTCAGTCTATTTCCAGAAGCTGGGCACACCTACTGCAATCGCCTGTTTATATCCTGCCTTGTTCCGTTATTCAGCAAACAACCAAGGAAAAAGGAATATCTCTCACCTGGTGATTACACTGGCGATTTCTTTCTGAAGTTGGTCAATCCTTCGTGCGTGCTACTTTCAGCACCTTCACATCCTTCGCGTGAGCGAGTGAAAAGCTCCCGAGTTATAGAACATGATATTAGCCAGAACAGAGTCAATCGAACCTCCTTGGACCGCCAGAGATTCTACGAGAGCGCAGCTTCTCAATAACACGAGTTTGTCAGCTTTATAACAGTAAACTACAAAGTGACGCGGCTTTGGCTGCCGAAGAAAGGAAGACGCAGAAAGGGAAGGTGCTTGCATGAAAATTATGCAGTTTGTTAAAGATTTATGTTCGACGTGCTTGTTGCAGGATGCTTTGCAAGCTGAAGATGAAGTCAATAAATGACGAACTTTCTCTTTTGCGGGCGGAGCTCCTTCGCGTCTCAGAAGAAAAGGACAACTATTACAATCAGGTTCAGGCATTGTCAGCTGAAAATGCAGCAATCAGGAAAAAACACTTCAACGTCTGCCGCTGAGATTATGCGTTTCACGAGCAAGGTAGAAGCGTGGAGGTGTTTAAGATTCTTTTACGTACTTAATAGTAGCCCTGTGTGCAGGAAAGCTACGAAAATTAAGCGGAGCAGATCAGACTCCTCCAAAAACAACTCAATCGGTCGAAGCAATATGCTGTTTCTATCTACTTAAACCGATGGATCAGGTTGCGGAAAAATCATTGTCTTTCGAGCAGTGAATTTATGTAAGCAAACTTGCTGACGCAGAGCAGCAGATCCGGGAGGGAGAGATGTTACGCCGCAAGCTCCAAAACACCATTCAGGTTGGTACTTTTCTGTGTTGATCTTCTAAGGCACACAGTGGTATTTCAAGAGCTGAAAGGGAACATTCGTGTATTCTGTAGAGTGAGACCACTTTTACCCGATGAAAACGACGAAACATCGACGCTGATTCGCTATCCAGGCGAGTAGGGAATTGCTCAAGGTAAATCTATTTGTCTGTATTACGTGCAGCTGCGCTTGTCTCTTTAGGCCAAACATACGCGTTTTCTTTCGAAAAAGTTTTTGGACCCGACGTATGTCAGAGAGACGTGTTTACTGAGATTTCACAGCTCGTTCAACAAAGCGCCTTGGATGGCTATAACTAAGGTAACACCATTTGTTCGCATTCTCTGTTTACCTGTTCCTTGCAGGTTTGCATATTTGCGTATGGCCAAATTGTACCGGCAAGGCACACACTAAGGCTTATATGAAACCATAAGAGATCTTTCGTCATAGCGTGGATGGGAACACGACCCCAGCAAAGCAGCACGCAACCAAGCACGAAGGAATACCGTTGTGTTTGAGCTTACTGTCGTCTGCAGGTAAAGTAATATCCTTTGGCAATCTCTAGACGTTGGCAGGAAAACAGCTATTCTTCTCGAAGCCATTCATAGGAAAGAATGAAGTATTCACTGATACGAAGGATTTGTGTGTAGAATGCTGAGCAACAGGTACAGGGAGTTCTCAACCTGATCGACTTGTCTTATGTTTGGTTCCATGCAGCGCGTCAGCTATTTGAATTGCGAGCTCACAACCTTGTCCGTTACGTCGTCGATACTCTAGGGACCAACATTGGGCAGGAGGATATCAAGCCCGCTCTAGAGGCTGCGTTCCAAAGGTGGCAAAATCTTGAGATACGTATATGCTTTTGGTTGAATTGATATCACAGGATGGACGATGAAGTTCCGAAAGAGATGCGAGCTTTGCGTGAGTCAATTGACTCATGGAAGGAATTTGAGGTGTTCCAGCACACCAAGATCAACAACATGGTGGTGTTGGTTCACAATGGATGGGTCTTATACACCGCTGGAGCTGCCAATGCCAGAGTCGCCATGTCCAGAAGCTTCAAGCCCGATGATAATGCGCCAAGTGCGGACAATCGCAATGCGGCGAAGAACACATCTTGTACCATTTCCACAAGGTACTAGTGGTTACTTTAAATGCTAGATTCACTAACTTTTGTATGAATTCCAGGAACGCATACAGGAGGACGAGCGCTCGCTTCGGACCATATATGGACCCTTCTTAAGTGGCAGGACGCTTTTATACCAGTGTTACAAACCCAGATAGATGAAGTGGTTTGTGTTTTAGCACTGTACTGCCATGTAATTCTTTTGCTTTGCAAATCTATAGAGGGGCGATACATGGACCACAGCAAAATCAGCATCGTAATCACCCTCCAGAAAAATGGACATTTACCCAAGGATGAGGGAGGTGTTGAAAGCAAACTTGATATCCGTAAGCTATTTGATTTTGATGTTTATTTTGCATGTTTGGATATTAGTAAGCAAATTACTTATCAGATTACTTTAATTCTTGTTACCGCGGGGTAAGCTTCTTATTAGTCCTTTCAGTAAACATTTTCTCAGCGTGCGTGTGATCAGTGAATGCCAAGCAAACTCCTGAACCCCAAACGTCTTCAAACTATTGACGCCCCATGTGCGCTCCAGGTTTCAACATCTCTGCATGATTAGGCGTCGTAAGGTTACAAGAAAAATAGTACCTTAAAATAAGTGAACTATGATTTACCACCCATCCTAGATCTTATATAAGACCTCTCCAAGCTCCAAGAACGATTAAAACTAAGCCATTAATCATGAAGGCTGTCTTGGTGTTTCTCGTTTTTGTATTTGCCACTTTTCAGATTGTGTTGTCTACTTCGGGTACAATTGTCTTTGGATATTGATGTTGAAGTCTTTCCAAAGATGGATGATGATTATGAGAATGAGCAATGGGGCAAGCATGGGAAGAACGCTAATAATAATAACAACATCAAGATCAAGATCAATTTCTGCAAGAACCAAGTATATAGATCATAAAGACAAAATGTACTAATTGCCTGAAACATGAATATTAATTGTTTCTTGAGAATCTGACTATTGACTTTGAAGGCGTGGTGCTGTATCTTGGTGGCCTTCGAAGGCGTGGTGCCAATCATTCCCTTGTGGTGAAGAAGTGTTTGGATTGATCATCACATCCTTTGGAACAAATATTATTTACAAACTGACTTAAGAAATGGATGCTTCAAAGCTTCATCAGGAGTTATTCGCTTACTGGGATCTAGAGTAAGCATCCTCTCTAACAAGTTCTTGAATCTCGACATCAGCGCTCCATCTTCCCCTGTAAGATCTGAAAGACAACTTGTCTTAACATTGAAGGACGCCATACTTCTCAGAGTTTCCAGCTTTGTCACGGGATCTAGCTGCCGGAACTCAAAGTTCTCGTTGAAATGCATGCCAGTAAACGCTCCTTTCTTCAACATCGCCTTTGGAAACGCCCCCTTGAGCTCCATTTGCTGCTTGAGAAGCCCGTTGTTAGTAGCAACAGGAAAGAGGAACTTGCCCGTGTAGAGCTCATACAAGCAGCAGCCGGCAGACCACATATCGATTTGGTGGCTGTAGGGAGCCACTCCGAGGATGATCTCCGGTGCCCGGTAGCTCGGACTCACCAGGTATGGGGTCTCCGCGGACGGGGTTTGATCCCTCGCAAACATGGCCACCCCAAAGTCGCACAGCTTGATCGATCTCCGGGACTTTGTGACCATGATGTTGTCAGGCTTGATGTCGCAGTGAAAGATGCCGCAATGGGCCAAGTGCTGGAGGGCAACCATGAGCTGGTGAGCATAGACACAGATGGTTTTGAGATTGATACCTCTGTTTCGCCCGTACTTGTTTGTGATCTGCCGGAGGTTTAGATCCAGGGACTCCATCACCAGGCACAGATGCTCGCGATACTTTGCAGACCGGAGCATGAGATCGTTCTTCCGGGGGATCTTGATGGCAATCTCCTGCTCGCACTCGGGCAAAAGGGTCTTGGCTAGGAAAACCGTGGAGAACATCCCGCTTCCTATGGATGCCTTGACCTGGTACTTGGAGTTGATTGTCTCGCCAATTCGGGCCTTGTAGTAGAACTCGTGATCGTGCCAATTGTCGGGGTTGTCGTTCCTTAGCCCTTGGACGGAAGCCTCCGGATTTGTGATTTCTGTGAGTGGCGTCTCCGAGAACATGTCTTGAGCTCGATGATTTGTTGCAAGAATTACTGGAGATCTGGGCAGTGTCACGAGGAACTGGGGCGTTGAGGGAAACAATCTGCTGTTCTACTATTTGTCCTTCTTCTAGTGCATGCTTCTCCAGGATTGCCTGTCTCCTCTTCCTGCTTTCCTCTCTAACTCTTTCCACCATTGCATCTTCGTCCTCGTCTTGGTAGTTTGCGCTCCTCTTTCTTCGGCCCATGTCCAAAACCTAGGGCTTTGCCTCTTATTTTCCTTTTTGTTAAGGACAAGTTTATTCTTTGAAGGTTTTAGCGCTGTCTAACTTATGGAGGTGCTGGTCAAGTAGTTTCTTCTCCACTTTCTTTGCACCGTCTGTCCCAGTGACATTATATACTACAGTGAGCAAGATATCCACCTGATTACTCTTCGGGGGGAGCTCCTAGGTCAATCTCAGGTGAGTAACTTTGTCACGAGTTTCTTGAGGCCAATCTTAGAGGTATATAGGCCTTCATGTGATCGTTGTCACAGACACGAGATCATCGAAACGGAACAGCCAATTACTATTGGCTCACATTCCTGGCGCGAGAGGTTGGGGGAACCACGAATAATTTTAAACGACTACAAGGTCAAGCCCTAGAAAAGCCCTAAGAATGTACTTTAGGGTTCTTCGTGGCGTGGGCTCGCTCCAGATGATTCGTTTGTGAGGTACAGATCTTCGCTCTCCAGACGCTAGATCTCGGGGGATCTGGCCATGGCGGCGGCGGACGCTGTCACTGCAGCTGAAGAGCAGGACAAATGGCTCGCGGATGCCATGGCTCTGGTCCAGCACAATGCCTTCTTCATGCATCGGGCGCTGGTAAGCTTGTAGCATGCATGGAGGAGCAAAAGGACATTGATCCATTGGTTTTTTTCCTTCCTCATTGGTTGCATTTTCGCACTTCACGCAGGATAACAACAACTTGAGAGATGCTTTGAAGTACTCTGCGCAAATGCTATCGGAGCTTCGCACCTCCAAATTGTCTCCACAGAAGTACTACGAGCTGTGTAAGTGTTTTCCTGTCTCTTTGTTTTTCTTTTTTCCTTGCTTGGCTCGACTCACTATACTCACAAATCGAATGCTTCAGATATGAAGAGTTTTGACGAGCTTCGGAAGCTCGAGTTCTTCTTCAAGGACGAGACGAAAAGAGGCCGCACGAATGCCGATCTCTACGAGCTTGTTCAGCACGCTGGCAACATCTTACCGAGGCTGTATGCTCTTTTTCTTTTTCCACTCTTTCTTTCATTCTCCTGAGACGTCGTTCGTTTCTTTCAGGTACCTGCTTATTACAGTAGGCTCGGTGTACATAAAATCCAAGGAAGCTCCCGCAAAGGACGTCTTGAAGGATTTGGTTGAAATGAGCCGTGGTGTCCAGCATCCCATTCGTGGTTTGTTCCTGAGAAGCTACTTGGCTCAAGTCAGTCGTGACAAGCTACCAGACGTTGGCTCCGAATACGAAGGGTATGTTTTTAAGTTTGCCGTTGCTAAGCTCACAACGCAATGCAGGGAAGGAGGTAGTGTCAATGATGCCGTGGAGTTTGTGCTTCAGAATTTCACGGAAATGAATAAGCTCTGGGTCCGGATGCAACACCAGGTCAGTATACACCATCTCGTGTCAAGAATGTGAGAGAGCATGCACCTTAGCTCATGAAGTGTTCCTGAACGGAGGAAGGCTTGAGAGTCCTGAACGTAGTCTTGCGTATGCAGGCTTTTGTTATGAGGGTCAGGATGATTTAAGGCTATTCTGCAGGGACCCGCTCGGGAGAAGGAAAAGCGAGAAAAGGAGAGGAGACAGCTGCGAGATTTGGTATGTTATGCTAAGCGCCCTGGACGAACTTAGACCTCCTCTCTGGCAGGTTGGGAAAAATCTTCACGTTCTAAGTCAGCTTGAAGGTGTAGATCTTGCAATGTACAGGGATGTGGTCCTCCCAAGAGTGCTCGAACAGGTATGTTTCTATGTTCTTGAGAAATATAAACTCTAAAAGAGCACCAGGTTGTTAATTGCAAAGACGAAATCGCACAGTACTATTTGATGGACTGTATCATCCAAGTGTTCCCCGATGAGTTTCACCTGCAAACTTTAGAATCTCTTCTAGGGGCATGCCCCCAGCTACAGGTTTGTTATTTCTTTTACTATGATTGCTTTACAACTAACTGTGGTATGCAATCTTAGACCACTGTTGATGTCAAGACGGTAATGGCACAACTTATGGACAGGCTTTCGAACTATGTCGCCTCTACACCAGATGTCCTACCGGAGATTTTACAAGTAGAAGCTTTTGGCAAACTCAGTACTGCTACCATGAAGGTGCGTAAGACCAGGCTTCTAGAAATTTCTGGAGATTTATTGTTGTTGCAGGTTATAGATGCTCAACCTGACATGCCGCTTGTAGGTGCTGTTAGTCTTTTTGTGGCTTTGTTAACCTTTACTTTGAGAGTACACGCTGATCGTCTGGACTATGTCGACCAAGTTTTGGTAAGCAACTTTGTCTGGTTATTACTGAGGTGCTCAAATCATTATTGATCAGGGTGCCTGCTTTAAGAAGCTTGAAGGAAGGGGGAAGGTTAAAGACAGCAAGGCTACTAAACAGATTGTGGCCTTGTTGAGTGCACCTCTAGAGAAGTACAATGACGTTGTCACTGTGTTGAAGCTTACGAATTATCCACGGGTTATGGACCACCTGGATTATGAAACGAACAAGAGTATGGCAGTGACTATTATCCAGTTCATTATGAAAAACAACACGCTTATATCGAGTGTTGATAAGGTGACGATAAAATCTTTTTTCAGGCAGTTTTTTAAAATGCAGGCCAGGTGGAGGCACTTTTTGAGCTTTTAAAAGAACTTATCAAAGACAGTGAAGGGAATCCCGCGTTAGACGAGGCAAGTCCAGCTTATTATAAAAAAAAAAATCCGTGGCTGACTTTCATGCTCATTCGTAACAGATTGATGAAGAAGACTTTCAAGAGGAGCAAAACCTTGTTGCTAAACTAGTACATCTTCTAAAGAACGATGATGACACAGAAATGTTTAAGGTAGTGATTCTTGGAGAAGGTCGTTGCCTGTAATACAAACTTCAAAACCTTTGCAGATTCTGGAAGCAGCTACAAAACACTTTACAGAAGGAGGTTCAAAGCGTCTCTCTTTGACTCTACCTTCACTCGTATTCTCGGCATTGAAGGTATATACAGTTCAGAGTTTATTTGGCTCTAACGTGTTCTCGGTAAAGTTTGTGAGACAATTACAATTCCGAAATGCAACGGACGAAAGCCCGGTTTCTCCAAAGAAAGTTTTCCAATATCTGCATCAGGTAACTTGGACGCACTAATTTTATCACAACCTTAATTTCTTTTTCACTCAGACGATTGAATCGCTATCAACAGTGCCTGCTCCGGAGCTGGCATTACGTTTATATCTTCAGTGCGCGGAGGCTGCCAGTGACTGTGACTTGGAGCCTGTTGCCTATGAGTTCTTTACGCAAGCGTTTATGCTTTACGAAGAAGAGATCGCTGTGAGTGTCGCGGCGAATTTATTTTCTGAACTTCGTCTTAACATTCATGTGCAGGACTCTAAAGCACAAATCACGGCAATGCACCTGATCATCGGGACATTGCAGAGAACTACTGTCTTTGGGGTAGAAAACAGAGACACGCTCACTCACAAAGCTACAGGGGTAAGCTTTGCTCGTACTTTCAGACCGAATCTCACTCTCGCTTTGCAGTACTCGGCGAAATTGCTAAGAAAACCGGATCAATGTCGTGCTGTGTATGCTTGCTCGCATTTGTTCTGGAACGACGACGGTGGGACTCAAGACGGGGAGAGGTACGTTTCTCTCGGCACTAGATTAACTCTGTGAATCCCATAACACTGTCAAAACACTCAGGGTGCTACTGTGCTTAAAGCGAGCTCTCAGAATCGCCAATGCTGCTCAGCAAGTGTCCAGTGCAAGCAGGGGAAGCAGCGGACCAGTCACTCTCTTCGTTGAGATACTGAACAAGTCTGTTTTGCTAGATTTCGTTTCTTTCGTTTGAAACACTAAACTATTTCATTTCAGGTACCTCTACTACTTCGAGAAAGGCGTCCCGGCAGTAGCGAGCAGCCTTGTCCAGGGACTCTTGGAGTTGATCATGACGGAGACTCAAAGCGAGAAAACATCCAAAGACGCGGCTGTGGATGCTTTCTTCGCAAGCACGATGAGGTACATACAGTCCCAGAAACAAAAGAGCGATGCGTCTGGAGAGCGGTATGGTACCATTCAGATATAGCGCGGTGGAAAAAAAAAAAGAAGGCTCGCTGTGTATACATTTCAAATAAGCGGCATAATTTTTTTAAGCGAATGAGTTTAACTTAAAACGGTGACGCGCCATGTATCTCAGCCGTTAAAACTAGACGAGAAAGGTATGATCCCTTTGTATATAAGGTTTATCACTTAGAGAATAGGTTAATGGCGTTTATCAAAGAACACTACGACTGTGTGGCAAGGGAGACAAGGGACGAGCGTAGAAAGAGTCGCGTGATTCGCCTTCGGCAACTCAACAACATGGTAAAACAGTGTCTCTTGTCTGAGTTGATCGGTGGCGCTGGCGACCACAAAGCTTCGAATATCAAGGTCTTGGATCTGGCTTGCGGCAGAGGAGGCGACATCTTCAAGCTGGAGGGGCTGGGAGTGCGCAAGTACGTGGGAGTGGACTTCTCCCCAGAACGAATCAAAGAGGCCGAGGAGAGAGCTCGAGCCCTAAGATCCATGGCAGCCAAGTTTGTGGAGCACGATTGCTTCTCGTCAAGTTTGCCCCAAGATGTCACGGCGGAGGGACCGTACGACGCTTGCAGCTGCCAACTTGCGATACACTACGCTGCATGCGACGAGGCCACCGCGCGGACGGCCCTGGAGAACATCTCGGCGTCGCTCAAGCCGGGGGGATTGTTCGTAGGCACCACGGTCGACTCGCGGGTGGTTTTGGAGAAGCTAAAGAGGGTGGCGGGCAACACGGAGCTGTCCAACAGTGTGTACAAGCTCGCCTTGAAGCAACCCGTGAAGGAGGAGCTAGTGTTTGGCAACGAGTACAACTTCGCGTTGGAGGGCGTGGTGAACGACTGCCCGGAGTACCTTGTGTTCTTCGATGCCTGGGAGAAGCTTGCGAGGGAGTATGGTCTCAAGCTCGTCATGCACGCAAATTTTAAAGAGTTTGCTTGGAAGCACAGGCTGGGCAGGAAGATGGGCGAGCTCACAGGGGCGGAGAAGGAGGTCTTTCCCTTGTATTGCGTCTTTGCTTTCGAAAAGCTGCCCTATATGAGCAGGAATAAGAAGCTCAAACGATGAAATAAGTTACTATGCTCACTCTGGAGCTTAGATTGTAAGATCAACACTATACCCTTTTTAAAAAATGTTTCGTTTTTGCTAAGATAAACCAATTTTTAGGAGCGCTCGAGCTTTGCAGGCTCCGCAGCGGCATGGCGCGGATTCGCCAGCGCCTCTGCTGCTTGGATTCGCAAGCGCCGTCGTTGCCGACGCCTTCTCCTGCCTCCAAGCATTTGATCAGGTATGGATTTTCGAGGCTCTCTCGAGAAATGTAGCCGTGTGATTTCGTCGCAGGATGAATAAGAAATCCATCGCCGACGACTGTGACCTGTCTTCACGTGCGATTTCCCTTATCAACTTAGAGCTGCTGTTGCGGAGGCAGCTCCTTCACAGCGCTGATCGATCAGTGCTTTCTAAGCAAAGACAGTTATTTTTCTTTTCTATTTCAGAGGCGAGAGGTGGAATGGATGGGGGAGGTGGTCTCTCCTGGATGCTCCACAGGACCAAGATCTCTCCCTGGTGTGGTGGTCACGGGAGGAGCTTTTACTGCTGACTCCCAGGGGGATCGAGTAGTGAGTGAAAGGTGGTTCAAAGGCCTGGGCTTATCTCCGGAGACGCGGAGTTTCTGTATTCGATGCAGCTCCGAGTTCTGGAAAGCATGAGTGTGGGGGATCTCTGAAAGAGCTGTGCTGTTTTCCGGAAACGAAGAGATCGTTGTGAGTGTGTGGCATATTTATTTTCTGGACGCTGCAGAGAAGTACTATTTCTGAGAAAACAGAGACACGCTCACTCACAAAGCTGCAGGGGTAAGCTTTGCCGGTACTTTCAGACCCAGTCTCACTCTCGGACTTGCAGTACTCGGCGAAATTGCTAAGAAAGACGGATCAATATCGTGCTGTGTATGCGAGCAAGCATTTGTTCTGGAATGAGCATGGCGGGACTCAAGACGGAAAGAGGTGCATTTCTCTCAGCAGTAGATCTGTGAATCTCAAGACACTGTCAAAACTCTCAGGGTGCTGCTGCGCTTAAAGCGAGCTCTCAGAATTGCCAATGCTGAAGCAGCGCCTCTCTTCGTTGCAATACTGTTCTGCTTTCGTAAACTAAGTTCATTCCAGTTACCTCTACTACTTCGAGAAAGGCGTCCCGGTCCCGCTCGCAGCAGGTCCTTGATTGTAGTTAAAGCCGAGTGATCCCTCTCAGCGGGAGTGGACTTTATCTTCGAAAGAATCAAAAAGAGACCTCGACCTTGGCAGCGAAGTTGTGACACGCTTGCAGCTAACTTGCAATACAGTACGCTGCCACCGTGGGCAGATGGCTTGTGCGTGGGTTTGGACAGCATCCATGAATTTCTGTCAACACAACTTGACTTGCCTCTCATTTATTTAAAGCATAGACAGCATCTCATTCTGAACAGGCTATAGAGAAGCTGAGAAATGGAAACCCCCAGTCCTGACATTCTTCGTAAGTTATGGGCTCAGGTAGACCTCCACAATTTGGTTGTACGAAAATATGAATGGGATTCCCATCGAAGTGAATCTTGTAACTTCGAACTCCTTCTAGAGTCTGGCACTGACCACAACTAGAATACTTATCAATTTGCTCATCACAACCTGGTGCAGCATACGTAGTGATGGTGGTGTCAGCTCCCACACTCCCAGTAACCAATGCAATCACAACTATGATGAACGGGATCACATATACACTAGCCTTGAGCACTCCAGCCATATTCACTGCTTGCCATTGATCCAAAGTTTTAGTGTTATATAGCTCAACTCAGCTGCCTGCGTGCAACTCGTGGGATGATTGTGTGATCCTTTTGAGGATAAGTTAAGCAGCTTGTCTTCTTTTAAATTTTCATTTCACGTGGGAACAGCTTAGCGTAATTAGTTTACCATCAGGAATTATTTATGTTGGAGTGCACATGTGTGGAAATGCTCCAAACTTGGTCCTATTTGGCGTCAAGCGCAAGAGCTTCAGAGCCTCGTAAATCCATGCCATGGATTATCGTCGGCTAGGTATAGGAGATTCCACACGTGAATCATCCTTGTCCAAGAGAGATTGAGGAATATGCCCAGTCATTTCTACAAAAGTGCTTAAACCCTAGCGTTTTTCTAGGGCTTAACAGGATGTTCTCTCCCGCCTCGCGAGGCGCTCGAGCTCGCAAGGCTCCGCAGCGGCATGGCGCGGATTCGCCAGCGCCTGCGCTCGGATCTGCTGCCACCGCCTCCAGCTCGCCTCAAGCGCCGCCGATGCCGACGCCTTCTCCTGCCTCCAAGCATTTCAGGTATGGATTTTCGAGGCTCTCTCGGGAAATGTAGGCAATGGCCGTGTGCTTTCGTCGTAGGATGGCTCCCATTTTGAAGAGTGGAGACAAGAAATCCATCGCCGACGGCTGTGACCCTGTCTTTGTGTGCGATTTTCCTCATCAGCTTAGAGCTGCTGTTGCGGAGGCAGCTCCTTCACATCGCTCAGGCAAGTCGATCGATCAGTGCTTTCTAAGAAAAGACCGATTTTTGTTTTCCTTTTCAGAGGCGAGAGGTGGAATGGATGGCGGAAGTGGTCTCTCTTGGATGCTCCACAGGACCAAGATCTTCGTGTGGAGCCATTTGCGCAACCAGGCGTCGTCAGAGTGTAAGATTCTCAACGTCCCACCACAGCTTTGCACGGAAGGCGATGGTCAGAGTATTGATTCCAGACATGGAAGTAGCTGGCTCGTCCGGATTGTGAATCGTGGGAAGGAGTCTAGTCTCGTGAAAGGTCGCGTTTCAGCTAGCCTCGTTCTATGCAGTCAGAAGAGCTTGACGGTGGTTTACTGGCCGGATATTTTCAGGGACACAGAGAGCTTGCCTGTGGTGGCTATGCCGGATGACAAGCTTCTTCAGATAGATGACAGATATGGTGGAGCTCCCGGACGGAGGTCTTCTTCGTCGTCGTATGGTCCTCAAGCAGATACAAAGCCGGTGAAGTCACTCATTGCCACAGGACTTAGAAATCTGGAATGCGTAGCCATTGCCAGCTGCTTGGGGAACTTATGGAGGTTCGACTGCTCCGTGTCTGGGATTTCCTGGCGGTCTGTAAATGCTGAGATTCGTGGGAAGAGCGACAACTTTGGGCCTTTCGATTTCAACAACACTGGCATAGTCCGCTCCCTGGTGTGGTGGTCACGGGAGGAGCTTTTACTGCTGACTCCCAGGGGGATCGAGTGCTGGGACGTGCAGTTAGTGAAAGGTGGTCAGCTCTCAAAGGCCTGGGCTTACGATATCTCCGAAGACGCGGAGGTTTTGAAGGATCTAACGAGTCAGAAACAAGTGTGGCTTCTCGATTTGCAAGTTACTGCGGAAAAGAACCTGACCGTGCTAGCGGCATCTTTATCCAAGGATCGAGTCACGAGCTCCAGTTACATGCAGTACTTCATGCTCACTTTTCTGTGTGCACTACCTTCGGGTAGGAGATTCGGCGAATGCTGTGACCCGCAGTTCAGATGCGTCAAGAAGAAAGCTCCAGCACAAGTTATCTTACCAAAGGCTCGAGTAGAGGAGGAGGAGTTTCTGTATTCGATGCAGCTCCGAGTTGGTGGAAAGCCTGCCGGTTCAGCCATGGTTCTTGCAGGTGATGGCACCGCAACGATCTCTCATTACTTACACGGTGTTGGTCGGCTATACCAGTTCGATCTTGCATGGGATGCCGGCAGAGTTTTAGACGCTTCTGTGGTACCTTCGGTGGATGACAGCGACGAAGGCGCTTGGCTTGTTTTGACTGAGAAAGCAGGAGTGTGGGGGATTCCTGAAAGAGCTGTGCTGCTTGGTGCTGTTGAGCCTCCGGAAAGGAGCCTCTCGCGGAAAGGCAGTGCTAAAGACGAGTCCGTCAAGGAGCAGAGGCGACGATTAGCAGTCGAAAGCACGGATGGTGTGGGAAAAGTCCTGACAAGGAATTCTACTCAACGTCTTCTCCAAGATGAAGAAGCAGAGGCAACAGTCGGTCAGCTATTTCAACATTATCTGACTACTCGGCAAGTGATCGCGGTCTTTGAGAAGCTACAGAAGACCGGAGCATTCGATGACGAAGGCGAAATGAATATTTTCGCTCGCTTCAGCAAGTCAATTGTCGATACAATAGCCAAGCATTGGGCTTCGGGTGGAGCTGGAGGTGCAGCCACGATGGCCATTACTGCGCAACTTACTGAGAAACAAAAGCGCCATCAACAGTATCTGAATTTTCTCGCAGCTTCTAAATGTCATGAGTTCCTTCGGCACCAACGAAGTAAGTCCGTGTATTAAGTTTCTCTCTCCGTTTTTGGCTGCTGAACAACGTCTTGACCAGGGAGTAGTCTGCACACGGTTCTGGAGCATGGTGAGAAACTTGCTGCGTTGCTAAAGATCAAGGACACGTACAACTCTCGAGCTCCTGGCCAGAGCGGTGGTGAAGCAGAAGAAGCTGAGATTACTGGAGCTCTCTGGGATACAATTCAGCTAGTCGGAGAGAAAGCTCGCAGAAAGAATGTGATGCTTATGGACAAGGAAAAGATGGAGGTGTTTTTTACGCGGGTATCAGACATAGAAGAGCTTTTCGGCTGCATCGATGAACACAGTCAAGCTATAATCGGGCAGGAGATGTCACTGAAGTCACAAACCGAACGCTTATGCGAGGTTGCCGACGCCTGCTCCTCTGCTGTTAGAGCTGGCATTCAGTACAGGGATACACAACAGACATGGTATCCGTCGCCAGAGGGCTTGACGGCCTGGTACTGTAAAGCAACAGTGCGTTCCGGATTATGGCGACTGGCGACCCATCTTATGGACGTCCAGACAGAGCTTGACGTCCAGTCGAAGGAAAAGCTGATGGTATCTCTTGCTGATATAGCCGATGTTCTTCTTGAAGGCTATGCCGGTGCCATTTTGGCCAAGATAGAGCGCGACGAGGAGTACCGAGGCTTGCAACTCGAGTACTGGAGCAGACGTGATAGCCTTCTACTGACTCTTCAACAGCATGAAAGAGAAGCATCCGAACTGGCTTCTCAGGTAAAGATCAGTTGTGTGACATACATGGCTCTAACTAACGTCGTATTTGGTGTGTAGCACGCTGAAAGCGCCGACGCGGGGGAGAAGAAACGGCTGGAAGTGCTGCGAGATCGGTATTCGTCGCTTTTGGCTTTGGCTCGACGTCATGCAGGCTATCAGACACTTTGGGAAATATGCATCGATCTCAATGACATGGATTGTCTGCGCAAACTTATGGTGAGTGCCTGCTTTTACTGTTCATATCACCTGACGTACGAGGTGCTATAATTGTGTGCAGCATGAGAGCATGGGATTGAAGGAAGGACGCTTCAGCAACTACGTTTTTGAGCAGTTCCTGAAGAAAGGCCAGTACTCCAAGCTACTGCGTCTGGGAGAAGAGTTTGCAGAAGACCTTGCGTCCTTTCTTCGGGACAAGAAATCTCTTTCCTGGCTCCATGATTTCTTCCTCAAGAGATTCACTGCTGCGTCGGATACCATCCATCACTTGGCTCTCTCGAGCAGCGACTTGAATATCCCGATCATTCGGGACGAAAAACCGACGTCCGGTTTTACTCTATCTGCCCGACGAAAGCTTTTATATCTGGCAAAACTGTCGGCACTTGCAGGTATGTAGCACTGTCACAAGCTTTCCGAACGTGATTATGTGTGTCCGTACTTTCAGGCTGGAAGCGTGGAGCTGTTGACAAATCGATTCAGATCGAAGAAGATCTTGGAATTTTAGCTGTTCAGGTCTGTCTACGACCAACTTGTTTACGATTCCTTGAATTCTTTTCCACTGGGACAGGAAGCTGCTGCTGAGTTGGGGATTGCAACTTTTACCGAAGTTCTGTCACCGCTGCAGCTCGTCGAAGCGTGCCTGAACAGTGGCCACAAGGAACTGGTTCTACGTTCTCTGGAGGTTTTCGCGCTGTCGGGGGACGTTTTCAGAAGAGGGAACAAGAGCCTTTTGGAGGCCGCATGGCTGAAGCTCGCTGATCAAGACGACTGGCTGAAAATGAGGCAGCTCTCGGACGAGGAATGCTGGAATGACCAACAGCAGTACGAAGCTCTCAAGGCAACTGCCCTCTACGCAGCGTCAAAGTACTGTTACGGGGGCTCGGCGTTTGTAGTTGGCACACCGTTCGAGGAGACGCTGCAACTTTTTCGAGAGATCGACGCCAGCAGTCGAAGGGCCGAGCCGGGCAGTGCAGGCTCGGTGAATGAGGTGCTGACGGAGCACGAGGACTTTCCGGAAGCAGGGGAAGCCATGGTGATGGCGCTGAGGATGGGGAAAGGACTGGAGCTTGTAGCTGAGGAGGACAACAGCATGGAAATGTGATCATGTCCTCGGGGAACTTGTGCATGCATGCCACTGGTCATCTTTGAGACAACTTTGAAGCGAACTTCCCTCGAGAAACAACAAGCGTCGACGTGCTCACCAGCTTTCAACTAGGATCGCAGCAGGCCTAAGCATGCGTCGTCGGCCCAAACCTCTCTGTCTCTCATCTTTGCATTGACATTGTGAGATTCCATGGCTGGATAAAACCCTCCTGCTTATGAATAGACAATCTTGTGATGAGCAGTGCAGAGATTATCATTATCATGGCCAGGTTTTTGCTTGTTGCACGACTAGAGCTGGATCAAGCTGCCATTCCCAAGCCTCCTTCCTTCAAGCAGTCGCAATCCATTCAAGCTATACAATGGAAGATGAACTGGTAATGGATAAATTTCTCTATGACTAAGTCTAGATGTTGAAGCATTTATTTAATAACATCACACAGCATCTCGTGCCTATCCACTAATTTCTCACAACATTGTCAACAGCGCGAGTCTATAGAAGCTCAGAATGGGACCAAATGCTTCATTGTCTTTGAGTTATAAACGAGCATTGACCTTTAAGTGACAAGCTGGTGGTGTGGATTTTCATCATAGTCAATCTGGTAACCTTACTGCTAGGGTCCCAGGAATGATCACAAATAGTGTAGGTATCAGTTGTTACGACACAACCTGGCTCAGCATGTAGTATGATGGTACAATTTTGCAGTTATAACTTACCTTCACTCACGAACTTGTTATTGCAGGACATAACATATCAACAAAACAAAATTAAACGTCAAAAGCTTATTTATTTTATTATGAATCGGAAATAAAAAGCTCTTTCAAAATCATACTTCTTCAATTTCATCACATTTCCTCTTCCCATTTGGCCCACCCTTAGTTTTGAGCTCAAATATATTTGTATCTTCATCTTCATCAACGCTGAAAACTGTGCAAGAGAAGCCAAGTTGCTTAAATTTTTCCAGGGCTTCTTGTCATACCATCCTGATTTAACTTCAAATTGCAAAGAAGGATAGATTTCCATAACAGCTTGATAAGCTTCTCTCTTCAAGTGCAATAATATCAAGATTACTGGTTGAACATCCCCATTTGCACATATTGTAACATACTGTCGGTCAAGAAACAAGGGGTGGCACAGACTTTTTTGAGAATGTTTTGAAAAATGTTGTTTACTGGAGAAAGGAAGAAAGAAATTCCAAATTCCTGCAAGTTTTTCCATTGATTGCTGCTGTTAATGCAGAGATTTTTGTAAAAGTTCCAATTTTAATTAATTAGCAATGCAGACCCTGAGTTCTTGATTCTGTGTGACAAACTCGAAGCTAGGAACACATTGATGATCATTGGGTACTGTTTCCTCTCTTAGATCTTTGATATCATTGTTATAAATAAAACGTTGGCAGAAGCACATAGAGGACATCTGATATATTCAATCCCATGGTTTTCAGAGAAATGGGGTGAGTAAACATTAGTCATGCCATTTAAACCCAAGCTTGGATACTTTCGGTAACAATTATCCAAATCTCATCCCATGATTATATGTTTTATAATTTCTTTCAAACTTCAAGATGATACAGTTGCCATATGGTAATACAAATATGAATGTTTTATTTTTTAATTTTTACCATATATATCATAACATTAGTTTACAATATTATTAAATGATTATTTTATGTGCACTAATTAATATATGTCATGATTAAGAAAGTTAATTTTATATATATATATATATATATATATATATATATATATATATATATATATATATATATATAAAACTCAAATATTTATTTTAAATTCACTTTTAATGTCTTTAGTTTTGTTCTTTTTATTTAAATATTCATTATGGAATGTATTTGGTAAGATATATAGATTGGGGTAAAAATAATTCACTTACTGAGGAAGATATTAATATAATTTTATATCAAATTAAAAGACTTGCACTTAAACTATATGAATCTAATCTTTATCTACAAAATTATATTGATACTGATTTAATAGATATTGATGGAGGAGGTGTTATCATAAGAATTCAATATTTAATTGGAAGTACTTTATATTGTTCTACAAGAATTTTTCAACTGGAAACAAATTTTAGGTGGTTCTCTCCAAAGATCAATAAATTAATTAATTAGAAAGGTAATAATTAATTTATTGCAAGCACTTTCTAGCGAATGTGGAATTGTGTTTAATAATTTTCATATATATATATATATATATATATATATATATATATATATATATATATATATATATATACATTTACATACATATATATGTAACTTGTTGGAAACCAAACCCCTAAATTAAATATGGTTTTAAAATATTTTGAAACTTGATATTAATTTGACTTCAAGTGCTAGTTTCTCTGATCATATTTTATATAAAGGTAAATTCTTACAATCCCCAAATCATATGAATATACTCTATATCAAAATGAATTGTAAACTTGCATTTTTTTCTGGAAAAAATAGCATGGGAATCTCCAAATAATGAATATTTTGGAGAATGTTTTTTAGATCTTCAAAATGATGAAAATTTAGTGTTATATACTTTTAAACGAAAACATATTATGGTCTCCCAATAAGTACTGTTATAACAAACTAAACTGGTAAGCTCAGCATTAGATTATTCTAAACATGTTGGCTGCTTATGCTAGAATTGTCTTATTGAATAGAAAATAATTTCGAGCACTGCACCAGCCAAGCTCGAAAATGAAGAAAATCAAGGCCGTGGACTGAACCTGCGGGGGAAGCCCACATGATTTCTAGTCATGTCCATCTTTAGCTGCTAGTTCAGAAGGTCAAGAAGAATGAAGTGGACGAATTCTTGTTATCACTCAATTCTTGTAAATATTATTGCATTCTGTAAAGTAGCAGATGCCCTCTGCACTTTCTTAAGCCAGTAGTTTCATGTTTGTTTTTACATATTGCATGGACGACAAACAAAGTGTGTCACCAGTAATCCTTGCAAGAACACTGGCCATCCTCAAAGTGATGGAACCTGTGAGTGTCTCGCACAACTATCCTCCTCCTCATGATCTTTGCAATAACTTTGGTGGCGGCGTGACAATCCGAGCAAACCCGGAGGTTCTTGACGATCAAGAGAGGAGTTCCAGGCGGTGTGGCGATCAACCCGAACGCAATGGCCAGCTTCTCACTGTGCAATCCAATCAGCTGCTCTTTCTCCTCCTCGTTCACGGCATGAAGGACGTCCTTCGTGTTTGGAACGTACCCGGCTTCTCTCATCCGTCCGCCGAGCTTCTCCAACTCTAGCAAGATCTCGTCTCGGCTGGGATGAGCTCGATCGCCAGCGACGAACTCATGGACCTTGTTCTTCACCTCGATGAAGCTCTTCCCGGGTACTTTCTTGAGGCCCCGATCCGTCATGCCCTTCCTCACTCTCATTTGGTCTCCATATCTCCCGGTGGCGGCGTAGACGTTTCCCAGCAGCGTGTACGCCATGCTATCCTCGGGCGCGAGCTTCGAGAGGAGCTCCGCCACCTTTGTAGCTCGCTCGGCCTGGCTATGGATTCTACAAGCGTTGAGCAGCGTCTTCCATGTCAGTGTCTCGGGGTGGAAAGGCATGCTGTGGATCAGCTCCTCGGCGTCCTGGAGGCGCCCCGCGCGGCCGATCGTGTCCAGCGCTCGGCAGTAGTGCGTCTCGGTTGGAGCGATGGCGTAGTCCTCCACCATGCTGTGGAAAAACTCGAGGCTCTCCTTGATGAGCCCGGCATGGCTGCAAGCGCGGAGAACGCAGATGAAAGTGGTGGCGTCGGCTACCATGCCTTCCAAGTTCATCTCCTTGAAGAGCTCGAGAGCTTCATCGCCCTGGCCGTGCTGAGCAAGCGCAGCAATCATCGCAGTCCAGGATACAGAGTTCCTGGTTTCCATGGCGGTGAAGACTTTGCTGGAGCATTCGAGCGAGCCACACTTAGCATACATGTCGAGCAGCGCGGTCTGGGCGAGGACGCTCGAGTGGAAGCCGCTGGCATCTAGGCGGGAATGGATTTGTTTGCCAACTTTGAGAGCTCCAGAACAAGCACACGCATTGAGGACGCTGGCGAGCGTGACACTGGTTGGAGGGATCCCTTCCAAGTTCATCCTGTGGAAGAGTTCCAACGCCTCGAGAAGCTCGCAGTTCTCCGTGCAAGCGGTGATCATGCTCGTCCACGAGAAGGCGTCCGGATGATCCATCGTGTCAAAGACTTTGCGAGCTTCTTCTAGGCTGCCACACCTCACGTACATGTTGAGCAGCGCGTTCTCGAGGATGGCGTTGGATGATTTGAGCTCTCCGCTCGCCATGGCGAGAGCGTGAATCTCTCTCCCTTGCTCCAGATCCTCGATCACACCACAGGCATTGAAAACTCCAGTGAAAGTCATGGCATTCGGCTCCACTCTTCCATCGTTTCTCATCCTATGAAAGAGAAGGAGAGCTTCCTGGCCGCGGCCATGGAGAGCGTAAGCTCCGATCATGGCAGACCACGAGACAACCGTTCGCTCCAGGATTCCATTGAAGATAGCTCGAGCTTCGTCCAGGCAGCCACACTTGGCATACATGCTTACGAGCCCATTCTGTGCGATGGTGGCGCGGTGGAATCCACACAGTGAGAGCCGAGAGTGGATTCTCCGGCCTTCCTCCATAGCTCCCAAGCTGGAGCAAGCGCTAAGAGCCACAGCAAAGGTGACGCTACTCGGCTCGACAGCCTCGGCCAGCATCTCGCGATAGAGATCGAGAGCTTCGTGCCAGCGATCGTTCTGGGCGTGAGCCGAGATGACTGCGTTCCAGGTGACACTCGTTCGCTCGCTCATCTCGCCAAACAGTTTCATTGCCTCTGGGATCTTGGAGCACTTTGCGTAGAAGTTGACGAGCGCGCTCTGGACGAGAAGGTTGGAGCCATAGCCGTGCTCGTCAGCCCAGAGATGGATCCTCGCTCCTCGCTCGAAGCTCTTGAGGCTGGAGCAGGCACTGAGGGCCACCGAGATGGTAAAGTCGCTTGGAAAAAGGCCGTGGCTTTGCATAGAGTCGTAGAGACCCAATGCCGCGGTGGTATGCCCATTCTGGGCATATGCGGTGACGAGCAGGGACCAAGAGAGCGTGGTTTTTTCTGGGATGGAATCGAAGACTTCTTGAGCGCTGCTTAAATCCCCGCATTTTCCATACATTTGGAGGAGGAGATTGCCCAGCTGGGAATTTCTCTGGAGGCCTGCCTGATTGATCCGGCGGTGGACGTACTTGCCTTGGAGGAGAGATCTTTGAGCTCGGCAATGGCGCAGCGAGCGAGCGTACGAGGCTTGCGAATCTTCGACGAGATCTCGAGAATTTTTTGCTAGAGCTGCGAAATATCTTCTTCTCGATCCTTTTCTTTCCCCGAGACCAAGACGAACCAAGAACATAGTCTATGATCCCGTGACCCATCGCTTGCGATTCATTCAACGAGAAGAAGAATGTCGCTACCGGGAGGTATGGAGACCAAATGAGAGTGAGGAAGAGAATGACGGATCGAGGCCTCGAGAAAGTACGCAGGATATTGAGGTGAAGAACAAGGTCCATGAGTTCGTCGCTGGCAATCGAGTTCATCCCAGGCGGCAGACGGATGAGAGAAGCTGGATATGTTCCAATCACGAAGGACGTCCTTCATGCCGTGGGCGAGGAGGAGAAAGAGCAGCTGATTGGATTACACAGTGAGAATGACCATCACGGTTGGGTTGATCGACACACCACCCGGAACTCCTCTCTTGATCGTCAAGAAGCTCCTGGTTTGATCTGACGCCATCGCAAAGATCACGGGACAGAGGATTTTTATGCGAGACACTCACAGGTTCCATCACTTTGCCGCTCTTAATGTTGATACATTTTGTTTGAGATACGTAAAAGGACATGTTTGGCTTTACTCCAATCGAGGAAGGAGGTAATTGCCTAGATGTTCTTGCAATGTTTAACAAGTTTGGTCTAAGCTCATACTAAGCTGTTCACAGCTGTGTTCAACTCTCAACAGTTGTTATGACCAATTGAGGATATATTAAATCCGATCGTGTTAGTGTGAACTTCATGCTTGCTTGTATATTCAAAAAGTCGTGCACAATTAGCTCACAAGCAACTATTAACAATTCAGCCACGAGTTTCATGCAAGAAGCTAGACATTCAGCTATAAAAGACCTAAACTTGGGATTGCAAAGCAACAACATCACCAGCAAGCAATTAACATGAGGGTATTCAAGAGTAGTGTATGTGCGCTCTCATTCATCATGGTTGTGATTGCATTGGCCACCGGAGGTGTGGGAGCGCTCACTAACATCACTACGTATGTTTTACCAGGTTGTGTTGTAGCAACTGGTACATACTCCAGTTGTGGTCAGTGCCAGACTCTAGCAGTAGCAACTGGAGGTTACAAGATTGGCTTTGATGGAAAGCCTATACGGATTTACACATTACCAGGTTGTCAAGGTCAGGGTGCATTGATAGGGCAAGACCAAGAAGCATGTGGTGTGGCTACAGTTCCCATTCTCAGCTTCTATATACGCTGCTGACAATGTCCCTCTAGATGGGCGCTGCAAGACCTCGTGAGATGCTGTGTGAATTTTCTTTCTCATTTCCTATTGAATAAATGAGAGACAGTTGTGTTTGGAGAAATCACTGCCAATTATCAATTTTCACGTGCTTGTTCAGTCTGCTTCCATGGCAGCCTTGAACGCTCTATGCGTAGTTTGAGATGCTGGTGGGTCGACGCTTGTTGAGCAACAGGCTTGATCGCAGCACACAAGTTTTTTTCCCACGGCTTCAAAATTGTCTCAAAGAGGTCCCCGTTGTTACAAGCTCCAACTATCCTTTTCCCATCCTCAGCGCCATCACCATGGCTTCCCCTGCTTCTGGAAAGTCCTCGTGCTGCGTCAACACCTCATCACCGAGCCTGCACTGCCCGGCTCAGCCCTTCGTGTGCTGGCGTCGATCTCCCGAAAAGTGGCAGCATCTCTTCGAATGGTGTGCCCCGGGCCTCCGTAACAGTACTTTGACGCTGCGTAGAGGGCAGTTGCTTTGAGCACTTCGTACTGCTGTTGGTCATTCCAGCATTCCTCGTCCTCATTTTCAGCCAGTCGTCTTGATCAGCGAGCTTCAGCCATGGTGCCTCCAAAAGGCTCTTGTTCCATCTTCTGAAATAGCCTCCTGACAGCACTGGTGAAAACCTACTTCCTTGTGGCCCCAGTCCAAGAACGAGATGCCGTAGAAGTTGCAATCCCCAGCTCAGCAGCAGCTTCCATTCAAGGAAACGTAAACAAGTTGTTTATAGACTGACCTGAACAGCTAAAATTCCAAGATCTGCCTCGATCTGAATTGACTTGTCAACCGCTCCACGCTTCTAGCCTGGAAGGACACACATAAGCAAGTTCTGGAAGCTTCTGAAAGTGCTATATACCTGCAAGTTATTAAAGCTTTCGTGGGATGTCGGTTTTCCGATGCAGCAGTGAATCTTTTGAGGAAGAAGTCATGGAGCCAGAAAAGAGATATCTTCCCAGATGCAGTAGCTTGGAGTTACTGAAGCGTTCTTCCTTCAATCCCTCATGCTGGAGACATAAGTAGCCACTCAAGACGAGTTTCCTGAAGTGTCTGATAGCCACATCAAAGAAGGTATTAGAAGCATGTACATCACACAGGTAATATTGATTTGAGAAGCCAACTAAAATTTCAGCTGGATGTGCCCAAAAAGAAGGTATCAAATATTCAGTTGAACACAGTCAAAGCTATAATTGGGTAAGACATGTCATTGAAACGAAAGCTTCTGCAAAGTTACTCTTCTATTGCATAGGTAGACTTCGAGTAATCTCCTCTTGAGACATCACCATAAACGCTGGTGCATCAAATTTATACCTATGTTAATTGGCTTCTTTTTTATATGTGTATTATGTGTCATATTCTCTTAGCTTCCAAATTTTTTTACTTGGGCAAATTAGGTGATTAACCTTTGATCATGTATAAATTCTTAGCCTCATAGGTTTTCTCTTCTGCAGTCAACTCTCTAGTTAAGAACTTAGTTCCTTTGATATGTCAATCCCACTTAACAAGTCATTCAAGCATGTAATACAATTTTATACATAAGCATATAAGTTTTTAAATATAAACTTTCATTCAAAATTATCCTTTGAATATGTAATAATTACTCCCTTGATTTTGATAGTCTTGTTTTATGGCAAATTACACTTTTACTATGCTACTCTGATTTCACATGTTCATACTTAACTTTTAAAGTACCAAAGCCTTTCTATTCACAAATTTTTTATTTGCCATTTGCTCTATCATAAACACTTTCATACTTTAAACACTCCATAATACCATGTAACAAACCTTTAAGTTGACTCCCATATAGCTATGGCCTTTAAATTTTATTTTTCAATTTTATCCCTTTTATTAATTCTTGGATATATTTTTTTTCATTTATTATTCTTTATACTAGAAGGGTAATTTTATAATTCTTACTGATGCTTTAACAAGTATTTTTATATTTAAATATACTTAATCACTTAAGGGGTGGTTTTTCAATCTAGTTATACTCAATTTGTATTCCCATACATCAAGATTAATGTTGTTACTTATGAGTTATATACCCATGGTTAGCCATGCCAAAATACTTTTTGGCTGTAAAGTATAAATTTTTCTTTTCCACTTTGTTAACTTATTTTGTTTATTTGACCAACTTTAGCTAAGTTCCTTTGTTAAAATTCCATTCTTTCTAAAACATGTTTCATGTCTAGCAACTACCTTTCCTGGCATAATCATTTTTATCGCATTGTTTTGCCACATGAGATTTTAGCCTTCTGTACGAGGTATGTAGCTCTCCATTGAAGTGTTAAATGGCTGTTTCACATAGGAAGTTGTTATTACGGTTTAAGCATGATGAATCAGGTCTGCTAACACATTTTTAAAGAAAAGTGGCGATTCTCTCTAAAAGAAGAAGCACTTTCTTCTTCCTTTGATCTAGAGTTTCAATCAGAAGCAAGCCAAAGAGAATCAAGTTATTGGGGGAATCTCCCCGTTGGCCGACGTCTTGATCCTCAGCTCGCCCATCTTGAGCAGAGACCTCCGGAAGTGCAGCTGGAATCGGGTCTCGTCCCCGGCAAACGACCGCACAATGCTCTCCGTCTCCGACAAGCAAGCAAGCATGTTTTTCTGGGATGGAGTCGAAGACTTCCTGAGTGTTGCGTAAATCCCTGCATTTGCCATTCTGGAGGCCGGCCTGTTATCCGGTGGTGGACACTCTTGCCTTATGCCCAAGCTCAAAAATCTCTCCTTCATGAGGCTTGCGAATCTTTGATGAGATTGCGCTGCAAAATATCACAAACCAAGAATATAGTCTATGATCCTGTGACCCATCGCTTGCGATTCATTTAACGAGAAGAAAAAGATCTTTTACAATAGCAAGCTTTTAGGGAAGGAGAAAAATCCAGAGCATTGGAAAAGAACTTACGTTTTGGAAGAGAGTAGGTTCTTCCGTACAAGGAGATGGCGAAGAGCGCCTCTATTTAGGGTTAGGGTTACAATGGGCTCCAAGCGTAGCAGAGCTCCGGGCAGGGAATGAGCGGCATCGGCGTCTTGTCTCGCCTTCGCCACTCCAAGCTCGGGAGCGCGATTGGATTGGCGGATAGAGCGCGAGCATTCTCTTCCGGGAGGAAGGAATGGAAATGGGAATCGCGCGCTGCGTAAGTTTCCTTCACCAGGCATCGTAGAGATGCCACATTCTTTGTTCTCTCGACTTCCTCGCATTCTTGTGTCTCCGAAAGATTGCGCTGATTCTTGTGATTATTTCGATGCCACAGCTTCTGCCAGACGCATGGACCGAGAATGGATCCGGCAGCACCGTCGACTTCATCGTCTCAACCATCCGACGCGATGCCTGGTTCGATTAAAGTCACTGCTCTTCGTTTCTCTTGATCCTGGCGATGCTTGCAGACGAGCTTCTAGCGGCAGGAGCTCTTACTCCTGCGAAAGTGGTGGAGGTTTTGGATCGATACATAGTCGGGCAAACGGCAGCAAAACGGGCAGTCGCTGTGGCATTTCGTATGCGCTTTTCCAGAGCGTGGTGTAGGTGACTGTGGTAATACGTGCATCTCATGTGTCTTCTTCCTAGAGGGAATCACAGAGAAATTCTTGTTCGTGCTTTGTTGTGATTTTGCGCGCTCATCTGATTGGGATTGTTTCTACGTGTTTTTCTTGAGAGTCGGTGCGCTGGCTGACTATTTGTTTTGGTGAATCGTTTTTTGCAGGAAATAGATGGCGCCGGCATCGCATCCCAGTTGAGTTGAGAGATGAAATTGTGCCCAAGAATATCCTTATGATTGGTCCAACAGGCTGTGGCAAGACAGAAATTGCTCGAAGGCTTGCGAAGATCTCTTACGCTCCATTTGTGAAGGTGATATTTGAATTTCTTATGAAGTTTTAGTCTTTTTTTTCCTGTACTTTTCCTCTTTTGAAGGTTGAAGCCACAAAGTTTACTGAAGTTGGATTTCATGGGCGAGATGTAGATCAAATTATCAGAGATTTGGTCGATAATGCAATTGTCCTGCAGCGGCAAAGGGTATAATTAACTTTCCTCTTAGCATATTGCTAACGATTGCTTATACTAGATCCGCACCAAGATTTCTAAAGAGGTGGAGAAGAGCGTTGAGGATCGAATTCTGGATGTTTTGGTTGGAGTTCAGCAGGTAAACGGCGTCTTTTCTTGAGCTTGATAACATTATTATTTGTTTTGCTGTCGCAGGAGGAGATTAGTGAGAAAAGCTTAACGTCCATGGACATGTTCAGGAAACTGTACAGGGAAGGAGCAATCGACAACCGGAAAATTCAGCTGGATGTGCCGGAAGGACGAGTTCGTCTTCCTGTTGATGTGATGGGAAACGGCTTGCCTGTTAACGATCTGATTTACAAGGTATCATCTCTGTTCATGGGAAATATATGTTCGTACTAAGATGGACATTGAGCAGGTGTTGAAGTCCCCCAAAGTGGAGCGACGTGAAATCACGGTTGGGGAAGCAAGGCCGCTCTTGACAGAAATCGAAATGGAAAAGTACTTACAATCGGACCAAATTGTGAAGGATGCAATCCAGGTAGAAAATGCTCATTAGAATCTTGCTTGCTGTAAAGAGTGGCTTCACAGCTTACGGAGTCAGATGGTATTGTTTTCATTGACGAAATTGACAAAATAGTCACCACGAGCGAGACAAGGCGCGGTGCTGATGCAAGTGCCGAGGGCGTCCAAAGGGATTTGCTACCAATCATTGAAGGAAGGTACGAACTTTTTTTCCCACCGGTTTTGGTTCTTGTTTTGTAATTTGTCTTACTGCAGTGTTGTGAACACGAAGTACGGCAATGTGAATACGGATCATATCCTGTTTATTTGCAGCGGTGCGTTTCACTCCTGTAAACCAAGTGACATGCTTGCGGAATTGCAAGGAAGGCTGCCTATTCGTGTTGAACTGAAGGCCCTTCAACGCGAGGTACTGCCGTAATTAGATTCGTATTTCGCTTCAATCCTTTGATGCAGGACTTGTATCGAATTTTAACAGAACCAGAGATAAACATGCTGAAGCAACAACAATTGCTACTTAAAACCGAAGGCGTTGAGCTGATATTTACCGAGGATGCGGTCAGAGAACTTGCAAATGTTGCTGCAGAGGTAGATTATGCTATTCCGTCTTTCACTTCCTAACCTTGCCTCTCCTCACTTCATGAAGGTGAACAGATCTCTGGATAACATAGGCGCGAGGAGATTGCACACGGTACAACTTTGCCTTGTTTTTTTAGCATGTATTATCGTTCTGTTGTTGAAGCAGGTGATTGAGAGAGTTGTGGAGGACATTAGTTTCAGTGCACCAGAGAGGGCGGGAGAGAAACTGATAATTGACAAGGAGGTAAATGCGTCCATACAGCTGCTCTGCATACTAACTGTGAAGCATGCAGAAAGTGAGGAAGTCCGTTGGGGACCTTCTCAACAAGATGGATCTTTCAAAATTTGTCTTGTAGAGCGGGCAATTCAATTCATTCGGTTGGACACAGGATTTCCAGGTTCTGTGCAAATGCGCTTGTTTTTGTTATCAATTGAAATTCTATTAAATTCTATGAACAGGAAATATCTAAAGTTGGATTAGTAGGGGATGGAACGCCTTGAAGCAGTGCATATAAGAACTTGGGATTAGTAGGTGGAGCAAGTTGATGGCACGTTTTGAAGCAGTGGAGTAGGGGGATCGAGGTACTGCCTCGTCAAGATGTTGTCAGCCATGACCTCGTAGAAATGCTGGGTGTAGTGAATCCCGTCCCAGCTCATATACTTGTTGGGATCACTGCAAGGCGTCACGGTTCTATCGCAGCCACAGCCAACCAGTCCAGCTTTGCAGTTGTAGTCGCCTCCACCACCGCAGCAGGCACTATCGACGTTCACAAATCCCAGCTCGTACGAGTTCCTCAAGAAGTCGACGCTGGCCTCGTAGAAGTCGAAGTACATGAAGTTGGCCGAGGGGTACTCGCAACGCAGGGCATTCACGGTCTCCCTGATCTTCTCGTTGAAGGCCTGGACAAGGTTGTTCGCATCAATGACGCATCCCAGCTCGTCTTTGGCGGAGTACTCGCCCCTGGCGAGATAGATAGGGGTGCAGCCAGCAGCAGGCATGTTGAAGATGAGAAAGTGGACAGCAGAGCCATTGACATGGAGGTTGGCGATGGAATCCTTCAAGCTCTGGACGACTCTGGGGATGACGTTCTGGACGATGCTTTCGTACGACAGGTTCCCCGGGACGAGAGCGAAGTTGATGTCGTTGCCACCGATCTCGACGTAGTAGAGCGCGCTGCTGAAGAGGCGGGCGGCGGTGGCGTTGGAGCTGACGACCTGCTGCTGGTAGCCGAGGAACTGCGCGACTTGAGCTGGAAGGATGTCAGGATTCATGTTGGGATACGCCTGGGGGAGAACGGTGGCTCCAGCAGAACCAAAGCCGAGGCTGGCATAGGTCGTGTCGCTGGGGTCCCTGGCCAGGCTCGGCTTCTCCACCACGCCCGTGAAGCGCGTGTTCAAGAAGTCGATGATGAGGTAGCCGTCGGAGAAGCGGCCAGTGACCTCGCCGATGGTCATGCCATAAGGTGGATAGTCGGCATCAACAGCGCCAGGCAAGGCGAGCTTGAGATTGCCCGTGTCCGAGAGAGAGTCCGTGAAGCCAAAGACGGCGTTGGGAATCACGTAAGGATACACTGCAGCCTGGACGACGATGGAACCAATCAAGAAGAAAGAAAGAAAAGTTAGAAGAGAAGCCATTGATGCGTGCTGAGTTTGGAACTCGAGGAGTCGTTTATATCCTTCGAATCGTCGGTAAAATTAGAGCTTGCAACATATTTTTATAAAGATCCTACTACGTACAAGTTGGCAAGCGTTATTCTGGGCGATGCAATGCTTGGGTTCGAGGATAACACGAGATTTGCTGCTTGCTCGCCACCTTTGACGTCGCCATGCATGAATGAAGTTCCGAGCAGTGTATTATAGGGGACGATGTCGCTGGACGAGCTCCATTTGCTACTCGCGGCGGCGGCGAGCTCCCGGGCCTGTGCCAGGCGCCCGGATCGTCCCAAGAGATCGACAATGCAGCAGTAGTGGTGGCACCACGGAGTTAAGTTGTGATCGCCCAGCATCGAGGCGAAGAGGGCGAGAGCCTCTCGGAGGAGGCCGCGGTGGCTGCAAGAAACGAGCGAGTTGAGGAAGGAGATCTCGTCGGGTGCTCGGCCTTCGAGGAGCAACTTGGTCGCGAAGATCTCGAGAGCTTCTCGTCCTCGCCCGCACTGGGCGTACGTGGAGATCATGGCGTTCACCGAGGCCAAGTCGTGCTCGGGCATGGAGTGGAACGTGAGCTTGGCTCGCTCGAGGTGACCATTGCGAGCAAATGCCGCGGCCAAGCATCCCCACGAGACCGCGTCCCGCTCGGGCATCGAGCAAAAGAGCTCCATTGCCGATTGCAAATCGCCCTCTTGGCCGAAGAACTGGAGCATCAGGCTCCACGATGCCAGATCCCACACCGGCATTGAATCAAACGCTTGTCTTGCAGAGATCGCGTCCCCGGTTACCAGCAGCAGCAGCAGCCACGAATTCCACGAGAAAATGTCGCGCTCTGGCATCCGATCGAAGGCCATCTTGGCTTCCTCCGCTCGCCGGTTCAGCACGAACGCGTGGAGGAGCGCATTCCAGGAGATTGAGTCGCGCTCCTCCATCCTATCGAACATCTCCTTGGCAGCGTCGAGATGCCCGTTTTGAGCATACGCTACGATGCCCATGTTGCACGCCACCATGTCCACCTCAGGTAGCATGCTGAAAACACTTGCAAACTCTACCATCTTTCCACTGTCTGAAAGTCCCTGTAGCATGGCCGTGAACACTACAACGTTCCTCAGAGGCATATTTTTTAAGGCGATCATGGCGTCTTTGAGATGCCCTTTCGAGATATATGCCGATATGAGACTCGTCCAGGTGATGATGTCGGGATCAGGAGTCGATCGAAAGAATAACTCAGCCTCCTCAATCTCACCTCTTTGTCCGTGCCCAGCGATCATCGAGTTCCAAGCGGCTGTGCCTCGAAAAGGCGCTGCATCAAACAAGTTCTTGGCTGTACACATTTGCCCCTTGAGGGCATATGCTGAAATTACAGTGTTCCAAGAAGCTTGGTCGTGCTCGGGCATAGAATCAAAAAGAATCTTAGCAGTGTCACAATCTCCATTTGCAATGTAAGCGCTGAGAATGCAGCTCCAGGATACCAAGTTCCTCTCGAGCATCGAATCAAAAATGGCTCTAGCGCTAGCTAGGTCCCGTGCCCCGGCAAATGCGTCTAGCATGGCAGTCCAGGAAACGACGCTCCACTCCGGCATGCGATCAAACATGATCCATGCTTCCCGAATCATTCCTTTCCTTGCATACCCACTGATCATTGAATTCCACGACACAACGCTACGATCCCCCATGCGATCAAACGCAGCTTTTGCTTCAAGCATGTGCCCGGCTTGGGCATATGCTGCAATGAGTATGTTCCACGACACAACATCCCTCGCGGCTGCTTGATCAAAAAGAACTTTGATTCTCTCCACGTTCCTACGCTTGCTGTGTAAAGTAAGAATGAAATTGAGGGAGTGGGCGCTGGGATGGTGGAGTTGTTTGTAGACATCGTACGCTTCATCGGTGCACCCACACTGGCAATACATTTGTACGAGCAGATTGCCGAGACGCTGGTTTGCTGCATGCTGTGATTGGAGAATGCAGCCATGGACTTGCTTTGCAAGAGTTGGATTCTTGGCTTTGCCACAAGATTTAACCTTTGCAACGAGATGCTTGAGAGAGAAAGGCGACTCAAACGTCAATGGCTCCACTTCCATGCAAGAGAAAACTCACTGTATATTTTTACACAATCCCATGATCTTCAGGAAGAGTTTCCAGGAGGAAGTGATTCTTCCTTCACGTTACTACACCTGCTAGCAATTCATACGATGACGATCTCGCTGGATTGAGCTTCAACACATTCATGGCTGCGGAAGCTCCAATCACGGCCTGCTTGTGGTTCCGGCAAGCTCCAAGCAAGCAACTCCAGTCTCGAGCTTCGGGAGCATACGGCATGTTTGCAATCACCTCCCTTGCATCGCCCAGGTATCCAGCACGTCCCAGGAGATCGATCACGCAGCTGTAGTGCTGCTTGCTGGGCTTCAATTCATGGTCCCGGATCATTGACACGAAGAAGCTGTGGCCGGTTGCAACATCGCCCGCATGGCTACACCCGGAGAGGATGTTCATGACGCCAACTTCGTCCGGATCAAACCCATCCGCCACCATTCTCGCAAACAATCCAAGTCCCTCCTCCAGATACCCGGCCTGGCAACACATCGACAGCACCGTGCTGCGCGAAACGCAGTCCACCTCGGGCATTCTCGCAAACATCTCCGCCACCTTTCCGAGGCTTCCGCGCTGCACAAGCCCCGCGAGCACCGAGTTCCACGACATGACATCCCGAGCTGGAACGCTGTGGAGCAAACAGATCGCCTCTTCCAAGTCTCCTGAGTGGATCCAAGCAGCCACCATCGCGTTGCAAGCCGCTATGTCCCACTCGGGCATCGCTAGAAACACGCGCTCGGCCTCTTCGATATGCCCAGACTGGGCATAGCCAGCCAGAAGCGAGCACCACGATATAGCGTTCCGGGCCTTCATCGTGTCAAACACAAACTTTGCCTGCTCGATCTGGCCGCGGTGGGAGTAAGCCGCGAGCAAGCAGTTCCAGGATCCCACGTCCCAGCACGGCATTCTCTCAAACAGTCCTTTTGCCTGATCAAGGTCTCCATTCTCCGAGTACGCAGCCAGCATCAAGTTCCACGATATGAGATTGCTCTCCTCCATCGCGGAGAAGAGCGACTTTGCCTCGACAAGCATCCCGCTGCAAGAGTAGACGTTGAGCATCACGTTCCAGGAGATGGCATTTCGATCGGGCATGGAATCAAACAACGCCTTGGCCTTGTCGTATCGTTTGCTCTGAGCGAATGCAGCGAGCATGGCCGTCCAAGACACCAAGTTCCTCTCCGGCATCACATCGAAGAGGCTCTTCGCCAACCGAAGGCTGCCGTTTTGGGCATAGCCAGAAACCATGGCCGTCCACGACACGATGTTCTTCTCCGGCATCCGATCAAACATAAACTTGGCCTGGTCAAGATGCTTGTTCTGGGCATATGCAGTGAGCATGGCAGTCGCAGACACGAGATTCCACTCCGGCATCGATTCAAATACAGACTTCGCAAGAACTAGCATCCCTTCCTCTGAAGACGCAGCGAGGATCGCGTTCCAAGAGCTCAGTCTCCGGCCAGGCATAGTCTCGAAAACTTCTTTCGCTCTTCCAAAATGCCCGTTCTGGGCATATCCAGCAAGGAGCGCATTCCATGACACCACGTCTTTCTCCGGCATCCGATCAAACACCACCTTCGCCTCGTCAACGCTTCCGTTTTGTAAGTAGGCAGTGAGGATTGAGTTCCAAGAAACAAGGCTCCTCTCTGGCATCCTTTCAAACACAAACTTGGCTTTCTCCAAATGCCCTCTTTGGGCATATGCGGCCAGCATGACATTCCACGACGCCACACCTCTCTCGGCACGCAAATCAAACATCGCCTCGGCGTCCTTGAATCTCCTGTTCTGCGTATACACCGCCAGCATCGAGCCCCACGTAATCTCGTCCCTCTCCACCATGCGATCGAACACCCATCGCGCATCCTCGGCACTGCCATAGCTCCCAAACTTGCGAATGAGCAAATTCGCCTCATACACGGAGTCAAATCCTTGCTTGGCAGCAGCAATCTGGACCGAGACACGCCGCAAATCCCCCACACTCGTGCAAGATTCGATGAGCTCCACGGATTCCTGCGCTGCCCATCTCATGATCTCTCATCTCGAGCAAAGCAAAGCGATTTCCTGGATAGATCCAAGCACACCCATCACGATCGCAGCCCCTTCTCGATCGAGCTGAACGGCTTCGCGACGCGGTGATTGACGCGAGTGTAGTCCCCAGTGGTGAGCTTCACCCATTCCGTCTCGTCCCGGCACTTCTTCCTCACGTCCGCGTCCTCGAGATCCAGCCCCTCGACCTCCGCGAACATCCTCTCGGCGTCGTCCACCTCCGGGCACCTCCGATAGTTTCTTATCAGGTAGGACTTGTAGATCTCGTCGCTGCGCACGCCATGGCTGCGCATCGTCGAGTGGACGATCTTGCAGTCCTCGAATCCCGTGCACGCCGCCAGCGCCGCGAGGTAGATGCACCGATCGGGGGTGACGTTCTTGCGCAGCATCTCGCGGAAGACGAGGATCGCGTCCTTGAACGCGAACGCTGCGACGTAGGCCTCGATCAGCGCGCGGTACATGTTCACGTTGTGGTTCTCCTCGCCAGCGCCATCGAAGATCGCCCTCGCGGCCTTGAGATCGCCGCAGCGCGAGAACATCGCCATGAGCTGGACCTGGAGAAAGCTGTTGTCCTCGAGATTGGCCATCGCCACGATCGTCTGGACGACGCGGGCTTGCTCCAGATCGGCCGGGCACTCGTACCGGTCCATGAGCTCCGTGAATTCGTTCTTGCTCAGCACCAGGATCCCCTCGAGCAGCAGCCTCTGGAACAGCACCGCGGCCTCCCGCAAATGCCCAAACTCGGCATTTGCTGCGATCATCGCGATCCACGGCGGCACGAATCCCTGGCGCTCCACCTTGGCGAAGCAGGCGCTGGAATCGGCGAGGCTCTCGCACTTGGCGTACATGTTGATGAGCGCGGCCGCGACGCTGGGTCGCTTCTCCAGCGCGCTGCGCACGATCGCGGCGTGGATGGCCTTGCCCTCCTTGAGCGCGGCGGGGCCGACGCAAGCGCGAAGAACCGCGAGGTAGGCGCCCTCGTCGGGGAAGATGGGCACGAGCTTCATCTTGAGGAAGAGCTCGCGCGCGGTCTTGTGCTGGGAGTTCTTGGCGTGCGCCTCGACCACGCTCGTCCACGCGATGATCTCCTTAGAGAGGATCTCGGCGAAGGCGCGGCGCGCCTCGTCCGGGCGGCCGCATTTGCCATACATCTGCGTGAGCTTGATCCCGGGGACGCGGTTGCGCTCGAGGCGATTGAGATGGATGTGGGCGTGGACGTCCTGGCCCTCCTGGAGCGCGCGGAGCTTGCCGCACAGGTCGAGGATGTTGGCGTAGTCCTCGTCCTCGAGGCGCTTGTTCCACGAGTTCATCTCGTGGACCAGCGCCGCCAGCTGCGCGCGGTCGCGGTTGCTGTTGTAGAGGCTGCGGTCGAAGCGCGCGTGGATCTTAAGCGTGATCCAGCGCTTGAAGATATTCATGATCTCCTTGGTTTCGCCAAGAACCCTAATTTCTTTCTCCAAGAAAATCTCTTCTAGCGCGAGCTAGGCTAGGCGAAGTATCCCTGCTTGAATCGCGCGTGCATTTGCCGGAATTTCTCCCACCCATCGGCCACGCTCTCGCAGCTCTCGTACCTCTCGATCAGCACCTCGCGCAGCACCGGCCCCAGCTTGCATTTCCTCTCCACGATCCATCCATGGACGCTCTTCACCTCCTCAAAGCTCCTCGCGGCGCTGGCCATGGTGAAGACGGTCTCTTGCGTCGGCCTTGCCTTGCAATCGCCCTTCATCTCCTCGAACAGCGGGAAGATCTTCGCTCGCTGCGTCCGATCGAAGGCGTAGGCCCGGATGAGCGAGCTCCACAGGTACTTCCCTCGCGGCCTCGCCATCTCCTCAAAGACCCTCCTCGCGCGGCTCACCTTCTTGCATCGCCCATACATTCGCATCAGCGCTTGCGCCACGCGAGGCTCGCCCGCGAAGCCTCCGATGGCCGCCAGCGAGTGGATCGCCTCGCCGCGCCACAGATCGCTCCGCCGATCGCACCGGGAGAGCATCCACACGAAGTTCCTGGCGATGAAGAGCAGGGATCCATCTAGGAGAAGCAGCCGGGCAAATTGCGCGGCCTCTTGCATTTGCCCACTCTCGGCAAATGCGGCAATCAGTGCGATCCACGAGCTCGCGTTCCTCTGCCCAGCGCGATCCATCCTCTCGAAGAACTCCAACGCCAGTTGGGGCGCCTCGCAGCGCCCATACATTGCGATCACCGCATTGCACACGTTAGAATCAGCGTCCAGCCCCGCAAGCCCGAGCTTGGCGTGGATGTCTCGCCCAAACTCCAGGCACCGCGATCCAGCGCAGGCGCCAAGAACAGCGATGTAGCAATCCTCGTCGGGGCGGCACGGGCGGAGCAGCATCTTCCGGAAGAAGTACCTCGCGTGATCGAGTCGATCGTTCTGCGCGAGCGCCGAGATCACGGCGGCCCACAGCGGCGCGGGCTTGGAGAAGAGATTGTCGAAGCAGCGGATGGCGCGGTGGGGGAATCCACAGCGGCCATACATCCGGATGACATGGGCAGTGATCTTGGACTCGCGCTCCAGCCGGCAGTGGATGAGATGGCGGTGGATCTGGTTGCCCTCCCTAGCGGCGCCCAGGCGGCCCGCGAGGCCCAGGATGGTGGCGTACTCGTGGGGGTGGAAGGGATCGTCCCGCCCCCTCGATTTCATCCTGTGGAGCTCCCGGAAGAGCGTCACGCGGTCGCGCTCCTCGCAGGGATGGCGCCGCACACGCGCATTCTCGCGCGCAAAGCGCTCGCGCTCGCGGAGAGCGCGCACGCGCCTTGCCCGGAGGAATGGCTTCATTCCCGCCAGAAAACATCTGCTCTGACCTAATTCGATTTTAAAAGCACTGGTTTTCTTAAGAAAACTTTTTCTAGTTTCAATGCGATGAAAGCAGTAGCGGGTATATTGCATGGCTTAGCACAGCCATTCTTGCCTATTTCCTACTTGTCCTGGATGGATCTCTGCTCTTCATCGCCAGGAACTTCGTGTGGATGCTATCGCGGTGCGATCGGCGGACGATCCATTCGCCGGCGGCGACCGGGAGCCTCGTAGGCTCAAGCGCTGATGAGAATGTACGCGCGATGCAAGAAGGTGAGTCGCGCGAGGAGGGTCTTCGCGGAGATCGCGAGGGAAGTACCTGTGGAGCTCGCTTATCCGGGCCGACGCCTCAACGAGCGAAGATCTATCCTCTCGTTTATGAATACATAAATACATCAAATCCTCCTTTGATCGGTTTTGTTTCTCTGGTTTGCAGCGAATTCAAGGCACCTCAGCTGGAATAAACGCGTTGAGATTGCTCTTGATTCTCAGCCACCTTCACGAACAGAGACATCAAGTCTGGCGAGAATCTCGAAGCCAAGGTTGCTCACTTCGGTCTGGGAAAGGACCCAGTCAAAGGAACACTGGTAAAGCAAAAACTTTCTTCTTTTTCTCTTCATCTTGATTGCTCTCTTCCACGTTCCAGAATACTGTTCGAGGAGATGAAGAGCGATTGCAAAGCGAGGCCAACGCAATAGACTATCTTCGCCATGGCCAGTGCTTCGAGGAGGTGAAGAGCGTCCATGGCCGGTGCTGCGCGAGCTGCTGATCGTGGCAAGAGTTCTTGAGATTGAGCTAACCAAATCAAGTACACAGGAAGGCTAGTCATGATCCCATAGGAGTCCACCGCTATCCGGCAGTTCTTTGAAGCTGATCCGACTTTCCTGTGCTATAGCTGGGAATCTGCCTGTAAGGATGATATGGCCAAGAGAGGCAGTCACTACGTGGATTGTTTTAGCGTCGCCAACGCTCTGGTGAGATTTTGTTTAAATCGGCAATACTTCCTTAGATTCATAGACTTTCTTTCTTTACAGATTCGGGCACGCTACTGCATCGATAGAAGCGCCAGCTGCTGTGAAGAAGGTATATATATTTGATTTCCTACTATCCAAAGTCACCTAATATGAGAAAAAGTTGGGAGTCTTTGAATGGAGCAATGTAAGATGTGCTTTCTCTTTCCCATGCTTCCAACTCTTCTACTCCTTAAATGTTTTAACTGCAGTGACGGATGAATTGGAGCAAGACAGCATCATGTCAGTAGGCTCAATTTTTTCATTATGAATGTGTCTTTCTCCTGAGGTTGCAGGTACCATGTTGCTGAGAAGACAATAATTAGAGCAGCATATATTCGATGCGTTTCCATATGCTCCATCGGTGGCAATTTCCGAGGTATGCTCGAGTGGTTGCTAGCTAGTTTTCAATTTCTTTTTGCAGGTTGTAAGAGAGGAAGAAATCCAAGTGGAGTGGACTCGTCAGAATCGGCTCGATTCCAACTATATCAACAGTTTTTTTTATTGCAAAGTTGAGTTTCTAGATGACAAAATTTCTGCCCCCATCGCAGAATACCACGAACGCATTATTCACTCCACAAGAAACTGACCTTCGTTTTTTTAAAAAAAAAATTTCCTCTAGCGTATTTCACAAGGGACATGAAAGCTCCGCCCATGACATATCTCTTCGAGATTTTCGCCTGCATACGAGATCAAAGGACTGACCTCCACTCCTACAGGATATTCAAGTTCAAGAGACAAACTAAATACCAGTTAATCCATCCATACCAGTTAAATGTAATGGCACCGAGTGTAGAATGAAACCTCCCGCTGCTACCACCCAGCGCATGTGGAGGCGAAGAAGTAACAATCGAGCCGATTCTGGCGAGTCCACTCCACTCACATTCTTCACCGGAGCAAACTCTTCCTCTCTTACAACCTGCTAAAACAAGAAACTGAAAACTAGCTAGCAACCAATCCAGCATACCTCGAAAATCGCCACCGATGGAGCATATGGAAACGCATCGAATATATACTGCTCTAATTTGATGCCTTGGACAGGCCCGTCCGCGGAAGGTATTGTCTTCTCAGCAACATGATATCTGCAACGTCAGGAGTGAGATCCAATCATAAAAGAAGAAACTTAAGTTCCAGGAGCTACTTACATGCTGTCTTGCTCCAATTCATCCGTCACTGCAGCCAAAAACTCTAAGGAGTACATTTGCATACAAATCTGAAAAAATAGAAGAGTTGGAAGCATGCGAAAGAAAAAAGCACGTCTTACATTGCTCCATTTAAAGTTCAATCGTCCTGTCTCTTGGTTGACCGAGGAAGCGAGAGCAGGATCCAGCTCACTGTATTCCAAGACGGCCACAGGTCCGTTCTTTGCACGTCTCACGAAGACTCCAACTCTTTCTTGAGGATACAACTATGAAAACACGCATAGGTGACTTTGGAAGAAAGGGGGAAATTAAAAAAATCAAATATATACCTTCTTCACAGCTTTGGCAGCACAGCTGACGTTTCTATCGATGCAGTAGCCTAGAAAGAGTGGATCTGCTACCCGAACCTGTAAAGAAAGTCTATGAATCTAACGAAGTTTACTGATTTTTTTTAAACGAAATCGTACCAGAGCATTGTCTACACTGAAACAATCCACGTAATGAATGCCTCTCTTGGCCATATCTTCCAAATGGCCCGAGGACTTCAAAGCTGTAAAAGTATACCCATTAACTTCAGTAGTAAGATAGAAGTCATCACGCGTACCTGCGTAGACTCCACCATTTCCGTCTGGGGCCCTTGAAATCTGCAATGCCAGCTATGTGATGAAACACTTAGGCTTTCAACAGCTTATCAACACCTTACAGGCAGATTCCATGATAATTTTCCCTTCCTTCGTCACGCAAGGAAGCGTCCCTTGTTGAAAGAAGATTACCTGAAAATGATACAAGGTAAGCATCTTCCCTTTAGCACAGGAAAGTCGGATCAAACCTGTTGTGCTTCAAGACCAAAGTACTTTTTGGCTTCAAAGAATTGCCGAGTAGCGGTGTCTGTAAATGGACTCGTCATAATGTACCATGGGATCATGACTAGCCTTCCTGTGTATTTGATTTGGTTAGCCCACTAGAACAGTTCTCAAGAACTCTTGCATACCTGAGCCAGCCCGATTCGAGGCTAGTTTTTGTATTCTCAAAATTCTCTCTGCCTGGAGCTGAAACAGTGACTTTCCCGAAGGCAAACCGATATCTGTTCGAAGTGGAAATGGAAACTCGTAAGAAAAAGCCAGGGAATCGAGCGATAACTTACTAATGCATCCCTTTGGATCATTACTACCCAAGCGTGTGCCCTGCAAGAAAATGGCCAAGGTTTCCAGGCAACAAGACAAGAATTTGAGGATACCTGGCCTCCTGACAAGAGCAGCACCGCCAGTTTTCCTTCGGAGATCGCCTTCAAGCCCAATCCCCACCATCTTTCCCTTTCCTGGGCAGTCCTTTCTTCAATACAAGACACCGACGCTTCTGCTAGCGGCACTGGATTTCTCAGAGAATCTCCTGACAAAACAAAGCGTTTAAGCTTGGACCAAAAGCGAGACCGCACAGAAAGAAAGAAAAAATTCCCTGCTAGAAATCTCACCGCGCTGTAGTGTCTTCCTCGCAATCCGCGAGACGCGAGGAAGATCTACCGCCTGCAAGCAGAGATTTCTCCAGATCAAGCCATAAATTGGCACATTTCCCACCTCCAATTCGCAGATCAGCTCGTCGCGCTCCACCTCGTTCAGCTCCTTCCAGCGCCCCAGCGTGTGCTCCTGCCCGAAATCCTTGAGCCGCTCCAGGAACGCCTGTGGCGGGAGCATCGATTCGCCCCCAGCGTCGAGCAATGCCTCTCCCATGGCGCCGTGATCTCTAAAACCCTACCGGTCCTCCAAGGCACACCTTATATATGCGAAGAAAAAAAAAACTACTGGCTCGAGAGAAAGTATATTCAATGGATGCTCTCTTACGACAGTGTTAATGAACGGATCTCACTTTGCTCCACGTACTCCGGATATAGAAAAATTCCAAGAACTCTTTGTTCTAACCATGAGCTTCTTCCGTATTGACAAATCATCGAGTTCTTCCCAGTTCTTCACGGAAAAATCGATGCGAGGAGCTCAGCGTCTTCACTTGCGATTAATCTGGAAGAAGCCAGTCAAAAAATCCCACCTTGGTATACTTCCTTCCTTTTCCATACTCGATCAAAACGCTCCAGAGTTCCAGGACGCTCCACTTTTGTTCTAAAATCCAGTCGGCTATTCTCTGGAGCTTCGTGGTACGTGGATCTTTGAATGTGTAGTACAACAAGAAGGGCCGGCCAGCCTGCAAAGGTTTCTCATCGTCCCAAAGCATGAATTTTTGCGACAGAGAGATGCTTACCTCCGAGGCAGCCAGCCACTGGAGCATGCTCTTAACTTCATGGTCCCCGCCAAAGACCCCACATCCCCAGTTGCCGGTGGCTACTCCACGAGTGCTTTCACTCGAGCCACCGCATTGAATCGACTGATGGACGAGAAAGCCACAATATGCCTTGTTAAGTTCCCTGGTACAGTAAAAAGTTCAAGAAAAAAAAAGAGAAAAGTCACAACGAAAAAGTATCGAAAACGAGAGCCTACCGCAGCATTAGCGCAGCGTCGAATTGTGCTTCTCCCGGAAACGGGAGAGCGTCAATGGCCACAATGTGCGTTTCCTTTCGACCCCATGCATCTCTGGCTTTGTTGTCGAAGAACTTTCCAGCAAAACGAAAGCTCGAGGCATATCTATCGGGAAAAAGAAGTTAGAACGCTTCCGTGGTAAGATAAACTCGGCATACCCCTCATATCGATTGTAGCACTGCGTCCCGACTATTTCTATTGCTTCATTGTCTTGCATTGCCGGTAAGAAAAGCCTTCCAGCGATCAGTTCGGGATTGATTACGCATCTAATCTCCTCCTGTCACAATTGTTCACATAGGTTTTAAACGTAGAGAAGTCTACCTGCAAGCATCCGGCGCCGAGTACACCACCACCTAAGACCCTGTTGGCGAAATCCACCTCCAAAACGGGAGTATCACTACCTTCTATAGTGCCATCTTCCATTACCTGAAAAGAAGAGAACAAGTTAATGAGCTGACAAGGCTTGTGACTAATACCAGTATTTGACACAGCGGTCTCGAGGAACTGCTCCAGAAAGAGAAAGGATCCTCCATCTCTTGTTCCAAAGACAACACCTTGCGCTCGTAAGAAATCATTCCTTGCGGTACGCTTTCACAAACAATCTGAAAGTAATGCAACAAGCATATGATCTTGTGCTTGGCACTCTCTTCTCGATTCTCATCAACCAGTGCCCTGCAAAAAGCAACAGATAAACAGAAAGGGAAAAAAACAAAGCCCAGTGCAACTTACATGAAGAGTTTATAGAAGTTTAAGTCGGGAAGATCCAATTTGTTCCTCTCTGCCGAAGGATACAAGCAGAAAAACCCGCACGCTAGAATCGATGCCACAAGCTCCTGGTGGTGATCTGCTGGCATAAGAGAATGAAGAACTCAAAGAAGAAAATGGATGAAATCTTTTACCTGGCTCAGCAAAACCATGCCACTTTGTCCGGCGGGAAGAGCACGCAGCTGCAAAAAATCCAGTTGTGATGGAAAACGATCGCTCACGCTGCCATCAATGTGATCCTTGACAAGCGCCGACAGCCTCAAGGCGAGCTGAGCCATCGCTGGCAGCAACGAGCCAAAGAATCCGCGAGAGAAATCTTCTGGTACGAGCTGGAAGCCAGATTTTTTGCGCAACCGGATCAAGAATTTGGCTTACCTCGCGGAAGAACAAGCCCATTCCTTGCACAGCCCTAGCCGGAAGCCTGGCATCTCTCATCCCGCCCAGACGACGCATCTCCACGATGTAATCCAGCAGGGCCTCTCCGGACGAGACGCGGCTGATCGCCGGGCCCTGCGCGAGCTCCGAGAGCGCCATAGAAACGCCGATCGGCCATTCCAGGACCTTGGACGCTTCATCCAGCGTGAGAGGCAACAAAGGCGCCATACCGACAGCCATTAGGGCAACACAAGCTTAACATTTGTTAATATAGAATATTCCCTAGCTATTTAAATTACCCTAGGGCTTGGGCGATGGAGGCAGTGATAGTCGAGCCGCCGCAGGATGCGACTGTGCATGTCGTGTGCTTGCCGGAGCTGGGGAGAGTGCAGGAGCGAGCTGTGTTAATTTTCCATGCAGCTTATCCGAGCGTAAGAGATATTCACCTCTATTCTCTACATATCGAACTTCTCAAGTTACGCCGATCTCGCCTCATGGATCACATTCGAGCATCTCTGGAGCTGTCAACTTTCGGTACTCCACGAGCTCTGGAGCTCGCATTCACAAAGTAAGAGTATGTGCATTGTACCTTTTCCAAAACATCGGTGGTTCTTTTGCAGGATGAATGAAGAGCTGCGGGCTGTGGTAGGAACATCAGATTGCTGGGTATGTGGTGGTGATTACTGCTGTTGCTGTAAATGTTTGCTTTGGTTCTGGTTATAGGATTGGTGTGCGCAAAACAGGTCCTTGGTGGTGGTGCTTGGAGATGCGCATGTGTATGTGTTTGGCGAGGCCTTTGCGTCGGTGATGCTGTGCCGAAATGGGAAGGACGAGATGCTGACCCGTCCAAGTTCTCTCTACCGTCTCAAAAATGCTAGCCCGCCGCAAAGTAGCAGTGAACCTTTTTATTACCACAAGGTACTCACTCTTTTGTTGAAATTTGTTATTCTGGAAGCTTGGTGGACGCAGGAGCGGGTGACTACAGCAGACACCTATCTTCTCGTTGCATTGGCGCACCTGAGTTGTCACATGGATGGCGATTATACTAGCGTTTTCACCACTCGGATTGACGCAATGGTGAGTATTTTATACTTTTGATCCTCAAACGAGCTTGTAATGTGCGAACTAGTACAGGGCCTCGAGGAAGCTTGCCGCCAGATTGCTGCAGGGACCGATGAATGCAGGACGTTCGCACTAGTTCCTGTTGGAGAGCTGCTGCGACAGAAAGTGGCCAATGGAGAGGAAGACCCAATCGATATGAATCCCGAGCCTGTGGACGAATCTGAATCTGAATCTGAATCTGAATCTGAAGATGAAGATGAGTTCGAAGACGAAACAGCGATGATAGAGTTATATGATGTTACACCCTGTGGTTTCCGCCCCCTAGGTACGTACAGGACATCAATTATAGCTATATGACCATATTACTGTTTTCAGTCAATGGGAACGCTCAAGTACCCGAACCCTATATCTGTTGCAATCCCGGACCTCCTAGGGACCCCTGCATAAAGGTGATGGACCTCAAGGTAATAATACTTCAAATTTCCCTCTTGTTTTTTTTTTTTTTCCAGAGGTCGTGGTTTGAGATTTAGTGGCTTTTGATCAGGGAAAGGACCTCAAGCTTGTTTGTAAAGTCGGCTCTTGCAAGTTTGTGATTAAAAGCGGGGACATAAAAGAGTGGTTTGTGGACGGAAGGAAGGACGCTATTGTAGTTCCTGTTGGAGGTCAGATACACAGAGGTAACGCAAAGGGGTGTTTGGCATTTTGACATGAGCTTCTGTCTTTTCTTTTCTCTTCAGAAATAGGTTTTGCCACTGGGTCGAGCTTTACTGGCTTGGATATCATGTAAGTGTCTTTCCTTATTTCGTTTTCCACCTTTTAACTGACTCGTTTCTCAGCCCTTCAGGAGGACTACCAGCACCTAAAATCATTATTACTAGAGGCCCAAAATACTTCAAAGACATGGAGACGGAAGCTGCCAAGCAACTTGGTCTCACTTATGAGTATGTCGGAGTGTGTAGCAAATTTGATACATTGTGCTTTTGCTACTACAGGAACGCTATAACATTTGCTCGCAAGAAAGGCGTTAAGCACATAGCGCTCCCAGCTATCTCGTGCGGATGTGGCGGGTTTGTACTCACACCTTACCTCTTGTATACTGAGTTGGCATTGTGTTTCAGGTTTCCTCTGGATAAAGCGGCACGGATTGCTGTGGAAAGCGTACAAAAGGCACTCAGAAGTGCTAAACCGTCCATTGAGGTAAGCTGCCCTGGATTAGACATGCCTTTGTTATTCTGTGTTCGAAATTGTAGGTTCACTTTGTCATAAAGGACGAACCCACCTGGAGAGCGTGGGTAGCTGCAACAGACCTCCTTGCATTTTGGAACTATGATCGCTACCTATCTTATCGGTGCAACAGACCTCCCTATCCAGTCCGTGAATGAGAATATTGTTGAAGGGATATTCTTATATGACGTTTCCATGAAAAGTAGAATAATTATCAATTTTAAGCCAAGTCCACATTAATGGTCAGAATTCAAAGAATATCGAGGAGTGGCGGCCGGGCGAGGCTGTGATGGCGGTGATGATCGAGTCGTGCTGCGACGCCGCCGGGATCCGCGACGTCAGCGCGAGAAGAGCTGGAGGCCAGGCTGAAGGAGAGGGACGAGGCCAACATCAGAAATTTTCGGTGATCTCTCGCGGTGCTTGCAATTACAGGAGAGTGGTGAGGAAGATCTTTCGCCATTCCTACCTCAAGAAGAGGCAAGACAAGAAGCTGGAGGAGCTCAAGGACGACTACGAGTTTGTGAAGTCCGTTCGTGCAAGCCGATATCATGTCCGACGAGAACGAGCCCGAGGATGAGAAGGAGAGCAGGAAAGCTGGCGCAAACAGAGCACGAGCACATTCTCGAGGAGAGAAAGAAGCTGTCAATCTATCCATACCGGCGGATACTATAGAGCAGTACCAGGTTCTTGTGATAGTGGGAGAGAGTATCTTCACGAAGCTGGCTACACCAAGGGTGGAAGGATCGGGTGCACTCAACCCCGGAGTGTGGCGGCTTGAGTGGCCCAAGAGATGAATGCGAAGCTCGTATTCGATTCAGTTTGAAGATTGCACCTCGGAAAAGACTAAGCTCAAGGACATGACAGCTGCTGTCTCGGCAAGCCGGATCTCAAGAGCTACAGTGTGATGATCGTCGACGAGGCTTATCTCGACGGACCTCCTGTTCGGGCTGATGAAGGACATCAAGCTCGCTTCCGGCAAGATCTCAAGGTGCTGACCTCCAGTGCGACTTTAGACGCCGAGAAGTTCTCCATGTACTTTGATGACGCCCCGATCTTTACCATTCCGGGAAGGCGACATCCCATGTTCACCAAAGGCTCCGGAGGTCGTACTTGGACGCTGCCGTTGTGACGGTGCTGCAAATCCACATCATGCAGCCCCCCGGCGTGTTTCTGACGGAGCTCGAGGCAGCGGTTCCAGGATAGCGGAGCTGATCATCTGTCCCATCTATGCCAACCTTCCATCGGACTTGCAAGCAAAGATCTTCGAGCAGACTCCTCCTGGAGCACGAAAGGTGGTGCTCGCTCATCATAGCTCCAATCTCCAAAGCGGCGGCGATACAGAGAGCCGGACGAGTGGGGCGGACGTTCCCCCACGTTCACGCAGTGGTTGTTCAACAACGAGATGAAGGACAACACGGTGCCGGAGATCCAGCGGACCAACCTAGGCAACATCGTGCTCATGCTCAAGAGCCTGGGCATCAACGACCTCATGAACTTCAACTTCCACTGGCCGAGACGCTGGTGAGGGCCCTGGAGCAGCTGTATGCGCTGGGCTCGCTGAATGATCCAGCTGGGGAGGAGGATGGCCCAGTTCCCACTGGACCTGATGCTGTCCAAGATGATCGTGGCTTCGCCGGACAAGTTCAAGTTGTTGGAAAATGGATCTGGACAGACTAGGGATTGAACCCAAGACCTAAGCTATACCACACCATGTTGGAAAATGGATCTGGATTAAACCCAAGACCTCTTACACCGGTGCCAAGTGCTCTACCACTAAACTACCTGCCCTAGTTGTGTGCATGTTCAACTTAAGTGCTGCAAGGAGATCATCTCTATCGCCGCGATGCTCCATCTTCTACAATCAGGTCCACGCCGACACGGCCCGCATGAACGTCCACTCCGGAATCGCGCTTGCGCGTCTACGACTCGTGGAAGGAGACCAACTACAGCTCCAACTGGTGCTACGATCCAGGTGCGCAGCATGAAGCAGGCTCGCGACATCCGGGACCAGGAACCCGCAGGTGGTGCACATTCCTCCCGGCTCGGGCCTCTCGCAGGTGCTGCCGCGGTGGGTGGTGTACAACGAGCTGGTGCTCATCACCAAGGAGTACATGAGGAATGCGATCGAGGTGAAGGACTGGCTTGTGGAGATCGCGCCGCACTACTACAAGAAGTAGGACGTGGAGGACGTGAGGAAAGGGGGCCGCGTCCACGGCCTAGCTTCTCTACTGTGGCGGCTTGCTGTGCTTGACTGTGGAGAAAGCTTGATCCAAGCAGTGGAGAAAGAGGATGTATCGGTCTAAAAATCTCTTTTTTTTTTCCTGCATACTATAGTAATACAAATTGAGCAATGGTTTGAGGAGCTCGAGTACCGCATTCTTCTGAGCGGTCACCACCACAGCGTCGCGCGCTTTGTCGCAGCTCTATGAGCTAGAGTACAGCGACTGGGGGGCTTGGGTAGCTTGCGGTGAGGCCATTGCGGTGGCCGGATTAGATGGAGTCACCGCTTGTGTTCCTCGTCAATCTCGGGCTGGAACAACCAAATCAAGAGAGAACTTATACTTCTTACCAGGCAGCCAGCCAAAGGAGCTATGACACGAATAACCACCTTGGGGGAGACGCCGTAGGCGGCAGCCCCCCGTGAAACTTACAGTTGGTATGAGATACGCGAGAGATTTTCGATCGGATGCCAAACCGTGCGGTGGTGGCGTGGACTGGGATCATTCTCGGCTACGTGCAGAACGACGAAGGCGACACGGCCTTACTGCTTTTCTCCGCGATGCTCCTCGGAGGCTGCTCAGTAAGATCATGGAAGTCCAAGAAACGCAAGTGCTCCCAGGCATCCTGTCAAAAACCCGGCAAGCGTCTGCCATGCTCGCGCATTTGTCCACCAGAGCATTCGAGACGAAAACGTCCGAGTCGTAGCCCCGGTTCGCAGCCTCAGAGTGAAGTCTCGCGCCTTGGGACAGAGCCTTGATCTTCATAGCTCAGCTCGGGCAGGAAGCTTGCGTTTGCAAACAAACGGAAGGCTGCGAGCCAAATACTCTAACGTTTGTTGCTGTAGCTAGCGCTCTCGCACTCGCAGCTGAAGAAAAGAATCAGCCACTGCCAGAAGTTTTCATTGAAGTCTGGCTGTTCGAAGTGGGGCGTGTTTCTGTGATCTTCAGGTCTTGATTTTCTGCAAGCTGACATCTACATCCATCAAGCTCAGCGTGTATGCAAGGAATGGCATGCCATGTTAAGCACACGAAGAGTATGATCTATGTGAGACCAGGCCAGAAGAGGAATTGCTTGTGGTTAATCAGAAAAGTGGCCACTTGATTTGGAGCATGCAACACAAGATATGGGTGAAGGTCATCTTCAAGCTACCACGGCCTTGGGGCAGATCTTTGTTTGCCTACAAATTCTTAACGTGTTGCATGGGAGTATGGTGTATGGGTCTCTTTGAGGGTGACAGCCTTTTCAAGGTATTTCTTTGCAATCGCATCACAGGGCAAATTTACAAGGCTATAGAACCTCCCTGTACAACTGAGGATCCTTGGAAATTCTGGGGTGTACCTAGTTTGGAGGGCGGGGAGAAAAAGCCAAGCTGGTCAGCGCATAGCTGGGTTGAAAACATCCAAACATTTAATGCCGCAGCGCTGCCACTCTACGTTGTGATTGACTTTGCAGATCACCAGTATGATGACCTAGAGTCGTGCTGGGTAAGGAGATCAGTCACATTGAAAGAAAGACGTACGGAACTGGAGTGTTGTGGAGTTTTCATGTGCAAGGGTGAAGTTTATATGGTTGCTGGCTTCGTGACAAGCCAGTGCTTCAAGTGCTTAGGCGTGGAGAGGGTAGCTGGGAGTGCGAGTGTGAGTGGAAAGCACCCATTTGCGAAAGATTTGATCGCAAAGAACTTCGGAGCTGTAGTAATGGAATCGACAGGATAGGATGTTTTGTGGGTATAAAAATCCAGTGATCATGGGGTTTCATGCTGGTACAAGGAGTGGACCAATGTGACTGGCAATTCTTATATTCAAGATTGCGACTCAATAGCGTTTTCAAAAACTTGATCTCGCCTAAAGCATTTCTTGTTAATCAATCCCTTTTAAGATTCTTTTATTCATGGGGCAGTTTGACGTAATTGGGGTGGATAATGCTGATCCAATCCCTTGCAGTGTGCAAGAATTGGCATGCTTGAGAGTTCTCATCAGGTTGATGTTGCAAACTGCCTAAGATGAAGACGGAATTTGTACATCTGAAAGTTGTGGGGGGAATTCCATTACCCCACGTATATGAGGCTCCATACGTGGAGCTAAGCTGTTTGATTAAGCTTGACAAGCTCGTGCCTCTCATCCATGGTTTGGAGAAATTTGTGGAGTGGCACCGTGAGGAGGGATTCAAAGTTTGGATATAAATTCCGGCCAAGGAGAGAATGATATGAAGCATTGTGTGTAATGATAATTAGATTAACACTATGATCAAATGTCAGAATCTATGAAACTTTACCTGATATTATCTCCGTACACGTTTCCACCTTGGCGAGCACGGCAATTTCTCAACTCCCAGTGAGGATTGTTCAGCAGCCAGCTATCTTCTGTGTCTTGCAGAGAAGCTTTGTAATGACACCAAGGTGTCTCTCCGCAACCCAACGTCCGACTCAAGAAGAAACAATGGTGGCAAAATAAAAGCGCGCATTTTGTTTTAGGTGAGAAGAAGATTCTCTAATTTGTGATACCGCAGACTTACTGTTCGTTTCAACTCTGTTCAGACGAGTTGCGCTAGTTGTCTTGTTTCGAGGGGCTCATTCCTTGGAGATGATCCTTTTGCTAGGTGCTTGCTTCCTTCTTCTCATCACCACCATCTTCGCAATTCGCTTCTCTCCCAGCTCCAATCTTCCTCCAGGCAATCTCGGATGGCCGATTGTCGGGGAGACCCTCCAGTTCCTGGCCTTGTTTAGAAAGAACAAGGCATACAGCTTCTTCCACGAGCGCATGGCCAAGCATGGGGGAGTGTTCAAGACGAGCCTGCTCGGCTCCCCCACCATCGTCATGCCCGGCCCAGATGGGAATAAGTTCCTCTTCTCCCAAGAGAACAAGCTCGTTGTAGGATGCTGGCCTCCTTCCACTGCTAGCTTGCTCGGCCCGCGCTCGCTAGCAGTCCAGACTGGCCAAGAACACCGGCGACTACGGGAAGTGTTCATGACGTTCCTCAGCAGCCAAGCCCTCGGAAGATATCTTCCAAAGCTCTGCTTGCTTGCACAGAGTTTCCTCCAGTCGAAGTGGAATGAAGAGGCCGTCGTCACTGTAGCACCGCTGGTCCAGAGCTTCGTATTCTCGGCTGCCTGTAATCTGTTCCTGAGCATGGACAAGGAGTCAGACCAAGAGCTCCTCCTGGTTCCGTTCTACAAGTTTGTGAAAGGAATGATGTCTCTGCCAGTGCATTTCCCAGGGACCCGTTACTACGAGGCGTTGAAAAGCCGGGAGGCAATACTTCGGCTACTGGATCCGGTCATTTCCGCCAGAAAGAAAGAGCTGCTTGCGAATCCCACAGACGACCGGGACATGCTATCGGTTCTCCTCACAACCTGTGACGAAGATGGGAAACTTATATCAGAGAACGAGATAGAAGACAACGTACTATTGATGCTGTTTGCCGGACATGAGACGGTCTTTCGCGCTCTCACGATCACCATGAAGATGCTAACTGACAACCCACACTGGAAAGAGGAGCTCTATCAAGGTACAACTTGTGTTGTTCACTTTCGAGGCTACGACAAGTTTCTCTTTTTCTGGATACAGAGCATTTGGAGATCAGAGCATCTAAAAGCAAACCCGATTACGTACTGGAATGGAATGACCTGAGGAAAATGAAGTTGACATGGTGCTCGGTACAGGAGTCCATGAGGTTGTATCCGCCGTCTCCAGGTGCTACAAGAAAAGCCACACAAGAATTTGAGTACGCTGGATATCGTATTCCAGAGGGATATAAAGTAAGACATCAGTTAATCTTGTAGAAACTTTGCTCACCACTTTTCTTCTCTTTGGTTGAAGCTCATGTGGTCTGTTAACACTTCCCGGATGAAAGACGAGTTCTTTCCGGAACCTCAAAAGTTTGATCCTCTCAGGTTTCAAGGCAATGGCCCAGCTCCTTACGTCTTCACACCGTTTGGAGGAGGGCCTCGGACGTGCCCTGGAAATGAATTTGCAAAGATGGAGATGCTCGTTTTCTTGCATTACCTGCTGCTAAGCCACGACTGGAAGCCTGTGATCACAAATGAAGGTATTATAGTGGAAACAGCGCCTCTGCCGGCCCATGGTTTGCCTGTGAAGCTCAGCAAGAGATGATCGTCAGAATCTATCCATGGAACTTTACCTGACTCTTCAGCTATACTGTTAGATTATCTCCGTTGGTAAATAGCTCGGTACATCTTTCCACCTTGGGCGAGCACGGCAATCTCTCGTTCACTGCAAACTCCCAGGGGATTGTCCAGCAGCCAGCCATCTTCTGTGTCTTGCAGAGAAGGCTCGTCAAGCTTTGTAATAACGCCAAGGTGTGTCTCAAACTGGTTTCTCATGTCCACCGCAACCTCCTCTACGTCCGACTCAAGAAAAATCTGCGCAAACAACCTCAGTTTCACGCTTAAATAAATTAGTATTCACGTACTTTTCCACCTACAGCAGTGTATCTGATAATATCATTCACTAGAGCTGGCTGGACGATTCGTCTCTTGCGATGTCGTAGCTTAAAATGCGGATCCGGGCACTGAGAGAAGCTACATGAGAAACAAACGACAAACAAGAAGCTGGAAAGAATCGTACCAAAATGCATACAAGCTCGAGTCTTCCCGAATAAGTTGGTAGCAACGAGCCAAAAGACACTGTTGCGTTTGCAGTCAGGAAGTGTCTGTCAAGAATGGAAGGTGTCAAAAAGCTATTACAATGGAATCGGACAGCTTACGCATTGACGAGATTCAGCTCCTTGGCCCAAACATTAGCCTTCTCGACCAGCTGCACAACAAGAGATTAAAATTGAAAGAAAAAAAGCGTAAACAAGAACAGCCTACCATCCGGCGAACGTCAAGGCCCAGGTAGTTTTTAAAACCGGCATTTTTCTTTGCTAACAGCAGAGAAAATTTGCCCTGTCCTGGCATTACGAGAGTACGAGAATTAGAAGTGCTATAGAAGAAAAATATGGAGAAGTAGCTATACCACAGCCAATGTCGACCGTTAGAGGCAATGCAGGATCGGCGAAAACATCCTTCCAGTCAGGCAGAGTAAGAGGCTCCTAGAAAAAAGAAAAGAAAAAGGTACCTCATTAGAAACAAATGCCCGTTCCGGGCAAATGCTGAAACAAAACTTCATACCATCAAAGAAGCCTTCATGGGATTGCAGTGTTGCCTCCTCCTCGCGCCCTTCACCTGGAAACGAGCAAGCGATCAAGAGAGGACTTCCAGATCCAACGATCTTGCCTTGGTTCTCAAGAGCTCGAGATCCAGCTCCTTGAATGCATCATCGATGAGCCGGTGAATCAAAACTGGCTGCGGCTGCTTTTGCTGCTCGATCGCAGAGATTCTTGCGCAGTGGCAGCGAGCAGGGCGATCGATCAGCGCCTTGACGCACGGCATCATACCCTAATGTATGTGGAAGAGCAAGAACAGCGAAATCTTGGAGATTCTGGACAGGCACGATCGCCTGGGAACCTCACCCGATCTAGTTGCGCTTCTCAAGAAATGTGGCGATTCCAGGGCGCTCGAGAGCGGCAAGCGCGTCCACCTTTCCCTCGCCAAGGCGGGACGCGATCGAGAAACCCTAGCTGGGAATCTCCTCGTCCAGATGTATGGAAAATGCGGGAGCCCGGAGGACGCGAGGGCGGCGTTCGAAAGAATAAAAGAGCCCGATGCCTATTCATGGAATATCCTCGTGGAAGCATATGCCCTGAATGGGCATATGGATATTGCGAAAGCGGTCTTCTCTCACGCACCCGTGAAGAACGCGGTGTCCTGGAATGCCATGCTAAGAGCATATGCCCGGGTAGGGAATCTAGAGGAAGCGCGTCACCTTTTTGACGAGATGCCGGAGAGAAACGTGGTGGCGTGGACGTCCATGTTGACCGCATATGCCCAACGAGGGCATATTCTCGAAGCTTATGAAATCTTTGGAAGAATGCCGCGAAGAGACTGCGTTGCTTGGAACGCTATGATCGCGGCATATGCGCAGAATGGGCATTCGCTAGAGGCGCTAGTTTTGTTTAGAGCTATGGCTCTCGAGGGGGAGAGGGCGAACGAAGGCACTTTCTTGGTGGCTCTTGACGCCATCGCGCAGTTAGGAGCTCTGCGAGAGGGTCGAATCATCCACGCCACTGCTCGTGAGATCGGGTTTGATTCGATCGTAGCAGTGGCTAATGCCATCGTCGCGATGTATGGGAAGTGTGGCAGTGTTGAGTCTGCTCTTGGAGCGTTTGCTATGATCCAGCAGAAGGACGTGATCTCGTGGACTGCTATGATCAATGCGTATGCTCAAAATGGGCATTTGGAAGAAGCTCTTCTAATGTCGAAGCTTATGCTCATCGATGGCACTCGACCCAATGAAGTAACGTATCTTTGCGTGCTTGAAGCTTGCTTGGTGCTTCAGGATGGAAGATCACTCCATCGCTGCATTGACGAGCAGGATGGGAATCTAGTGAGTAAGGTTTCTATCGGTACTGCGCTTGTTACCATGTATGGGAAGTTTGAGTGTGTAGAAGACGCCGAGAGAATCTTTCATAGTATTGTCGATCACAGTGTTGTCTCTTGGACAGCAATGCTCACAGTGTATGCCGCGAATGGGCATTTTGAGATGGCGTTGCTCTTTTTCAAGCTCATGGATCTGAACGGTATTACTCCAAACAAAGTCACTGCCAGCATCATGATCCAAGCCTGTGCCGATCGACCTTCTCTGTATGAGGGTTCTTTGATCCACTCCAGCATAGACTTTGCGTCGAGCAACGCGATGGTTGTCACAGCACTGGTCGATCTCTATGGCAAATGCGGGAGAGTCGAAGAAGCCATGAAGATCTTCGGCAGTGCCTCTTGCAAGAACGTCCATTCTTGGACGTCAATGAGCGAGTGCTTTGCTCGGAATGGCTGTGGCAAACAAGCCATGGTTTCATTCCAAACGATGGTTTTGGAAGGAATGGAGCCCGACACGGTGAGCCTGATCAGCATTCTCGCTGGATGCAGCCATGGAGGCTTGCTTCACGATGGGTTGCACTATTTTCTATCGATCACTGGAGACTTCCATTTGACACCGATTGACGATCACTATGCTTGCCTTGTGGATCTTCTAGGACGAGCTGGAAAGCTGGAACTCGTAGAGAACTTGGTGCAAGGCATGGAAGTTACAGGAAATACGAAAGCTTTGCGTAACTTTCATGGAGTTCGTCAAGTACATATGCGATGAGATCTCTGGAAAGAGCCAATCAAGACGACGAGGCAAGAACAGCAATCGGGCTGCGAACACGATGAACTCCATCGCTCCAGATCAATGCCGAGTAGATCCAGGTTGCGTTGGTGTGCCCTGAAGAACTCGCCAAGGTGACCGCCACCTTGAAAGAAAGCTTGGCTCCGGAGCTACCGAAACGCAGCGTCTCGGGTTCCACCACAACCGAGAGCCTGGCATCGCTTGGCTTGTCCACGCTCGCGCGGTAATCCGATGGCGACGATCCCACGCTCGTCAGCGTCCTGGCGACGGTCACTGCGTTGCTCTCTCCAGGATCAAGCCGCGCGATTCCAATGGAGGGATAGTTTAGATCGAAGGTGGAGTTTGTGGAGCACGCAGTGGACTTGTCCCCAGTGATGTTGCGAACTTGGGCCGAGGAGTAGCCCGTGCTGCAAAGGTATGAGATGTAGTCCGTGGGTTCTATGTCGTAGACCAGCCCCGGATCGAGCGCTTTTGCTGGCTGGATTTGCCCGGAGCCATAGCTGAAGAGTGTCGCTGGCTCGCCGTAGGATGTTTTGATTGTTTGGTTTGTATTGTCAAGAGTTGTGGCTGCAAAGAACATGATCCTTTCTTGTTTCATATCCATTATTTGATTTGTAAGCTTTCGAGATTGGATAGTTTACCTGTTGTCATGAGCGCAGATTTTAGAGCAGCGGGGCTCCAAGATGGATGGACCGACTTTACGAATGCCAGAGCTCCCCCAGCGTGAGGCGTGGACATGGAAGTTCCGGAGAGAAGGGCATAGTCGCTGTAAATGGTACCGCCATTGAATCCTGGAACTGCGATACCACTTGGCCAAGCTGCCAAGATATCAACACCAGGAGCAGTCACGTCCGGCTGATAACAATATACAAATAACAATAGTAATAACAACAACATGAAGAACAAAAGAATAAGAATACAAAGACGACTTGCCTTGATTATATCCGGACTAATCGGGTTTGGCCCTCCCAGTGAAAAGTATCCCATCTCGGGTGCTGGCTTGAAGTTATCACTCTCGTTTCTCTTCGATCGATCAAACAAGTTAGACAAATCACCAACTTTCGTTTAGAGTTACCTTGGCTTTGTCAATGCTCCTGTCAATGGTGCTAGCAGCGATGGTGAAAATCCACGGCGCGGCATTGATCACCTGCATCGTCCAGATACCAAAGTTTCCAGCCCCGGCCGCTACCGCGACGCCCTTCTCCACCGCGTGGTAAGCTCCGATCGCCAACCCATCCAAGCTATACTTCACCGCGGGTCCTCCGATGGAGACGGATATCACGTCCACTCCATCGCCCACCGCGGCGTCATACCCCGCGAGGATGTCCGATTCTTCGCAGCCAATCCCCCAGCAAACCTTGTAGATGGCGAGGCGTGCGAGAGGCACGCCACCCCGGGCGGTTCCTCGAGCCAGGCCTTGCATGCTTGCGTTGCTCACGAGCCTTCCGGTGGCTGTGGAGGCCGTGTGTGTGCCGTGGCCATTGTCGTCCCGGGCATTTCCATACTCTGGCGATTTCACTCTAGAGTTGAAAAACTTCGCTCCAATAAGTTTCCTGTTACAAGGTCCACAGCGGTTTTTTCTTTGTCCAAACTTTGATATTTGTTTTTCTTACCTGTTGCAAAGGATGATAAAGGAAGAGTTTATTCCGGGTGGATTCACGCACTCTCCTCTCCAGCGACTTGGAACTGGTGTCATGTCATCGTCTCTAAAGCTTTGAGATTCCGGCCAGATTCCTACAAGGTAAATCAATATGGTGAGTTTTGGTCTTTTCACTTTCTTTCTTACCTGTGTCAAGGAGTCCCACAATCACGTTGTAGGAACCCGCAGCTTCATGGTTTTCTTTGTCCGCTACAACCATGGAGTCTGTCAACCCAAGAAAGTCCCATGATCGCGTGGTCTGGATTTGATAAGTTTTGCTGGGATAGATGCTAAGAACTTCTTGTGATCCTGCTCACGAATATCAAAACTCTCGATCCTTTCCACAAGTTCTAGAGACTTAACTGGACAGTAACTCCGCTTGTTCTTCGTCTAATCTTGCAGAGAAGCCGCTAAACGAGTACCTATAGCTGTGAATCATTGACTCTTTGGCAGAATCCAAACTGCAATATAAGGTAAGAACTTTCAGATTCACCGTGATTAATTACCTCCCAGTGGCTCTGGAGAGAATCTCATGGTGGCTCTCGCTTAACCTCTGAGCATCAATCCCTTGGGTTCCTCCCAAATACACAATATAAATCTGCCAGTTTAGACACAAATCAAATAATCACTAGTAAATAATGTTCTCACTTCTTGATTTACAGCAATCCCCACGCTCAAGAAAAACCATAGTAGAACATAGAAAATCATGGCTTTGATCATTATGATCAATAAATCAGCCGATCTTTTGGATATAAAACCAATGCTTTTTCTAGTTAAATCCGGTGGACGCCGCTCTCTTTTGTTGGCGAGTGAAAAACCACGCATTTGACACGCATTTTCCAAAGTTAAAAGTTTCCGCACTGTCGCCACAGTCCACCACCCAATTTGCATGCATGGACGCAAACAATCTCGTATAAAACCATACCACAATCATCCCTCCAAACATTCAATCTAGAGGTTCCAAGTCCTCTAGCTCTCGCGAGTCTTTTTTCTTCTCTTTTTCTCTTCTCCTTTCCTTGTATAAGCGATGGCAGCTCGCGATCAAGCCTCCCGCGCTCTCCAGCAGCAAGATCCCCGCGGAGTGATCCAAGGCCTCCACCACAAATCTCCGTCTTCCAACCGGATGCTGGGCTTCGTGACGCTCATCACGGGAGCGATCGTGACGCTCGTCCTGGGCGGTGTGACCATCGGAGGCGTGGGGATCACGCTCTTGCTCGCCACCCCTGTCTTCCTCCTCTTGAGCCCCGTGCTCGTCCCTCTCGGCATCATGGTGGCTCTCGGGATTGGAGGCTTCTTGCTGGCTAGCACCGTCTTCGTTGGCTTCTGCTCTTTCGTCTCCTGGATCTACAACTATGTCCGCGGCCAAAAGCCTGTTGGAGCAGACAAGATCGACGCTGCCAAGCACCGCATCGCTGATACTGCCTCGCATGTCACGGAGAAGGCCCGGGAAGTGACTGGCTACTTGCAATCCAGGACGCAGGAGGTTGCTCCAGGAGCGTAGAAAGCTCTCCTTTTTTGATCTTCTGTGCCGGTAGAGGAGGTTCTTTTCTGGTTTTTGCTTGCATGGGACGGATTCTTCTTCTTCTAGAGTTGTAGCAGAAATAAATGCGGTAGCGCGATTTTCTTTTTGTTCTTTTCTCCTGTTCGTTTGTACCTGGACAATACACAACAAAAGAAACTCTTTATTTTCGATCCCAAGTTCTCAAATGAAAACAAAGGAGCTCTTACCATTTTATATAGACTCTTGACACGTTGAATTGTCTGCTGTGAAAACATGCCACTTTTGCTGGTTCGTTCCACTTGTCCCCACCATGAAATTTACTAAGCCAAGTCTTTGTGAAGTTCTAAAGCCATACGAACACTGGAAAAACGAAAACCAGTATCATATCAAGATAACATCGGACGTTGGGGAATCGTTGACTTACTCTTCATAGCGTGTTGGAGGAAATCCGATTTGAGTACACAAAAATACGAATGGCTAGTTGTCAATTCCCTGCCGAAGATGAAGATTAAAACAGGATCACCCACAGTAGACGCTTCTGTAGATGCCGCGGCAATGCGATTTGTCGCTGAGCCAGCTCGCCTCTAGTATTTATCCACTCTGCTCGCCAGTAGATTTGTGGATCTGTGTAGGCATTCTGCAGTAGAAGAGTGTAGAGAACTCCAATGGAGAGCAGTACGGTCGTCGTGTTTCCATTACCTGTAATGGGGCACATAACTCCCATGCTTCACTTTGCTGCTCGTCTTGTCTCGCAGGGCCTCAAAGTCACGTTCGTCACCACCAGAAGAACACAATCGAGAGTTCTCCGAGCAATCAGCGAGACTATGCCCGACTCTGCAAGCACACTCAAGTTCGTTAGCATTCCAGATGATCAGTTGGAAGGGCAAGGAGATACCAAGAAAACCGGCATAGAAGCCATCTGGGAGGCGATAACTCTCATGCACAGTTTGCGAGGAACGTTTGAAAGGCTGCTGGAGGAAATACTCAATCAAGAGCAGCGAGTTGCTTGTCTAGTCTCTGATTTCCTCCTGGACTGGACGGGCGAAGTCGCGGCAAAACTCCATCTTCCGAGAGCTGCCTTTTGGACTTCGAATGCGGCATTCTTGCTGTTAATGATCCATGCGCCAGATTTAGTTTCCAGCGGATGCGTCCCTCTGCGAGGTAAGTGTAAGAGAGTACCTATAGAACGTACTAAGTCTTGTGAACTTACCAGAGGAAACAAAGGACGAGTTCATTCCATATCTCGAAGGAGTTCCACGGCTGCGAGCGAGGGAGCTCCCATTCGCACTCCATGAGGAAAGTCCAGCAGATCCTGGTTTCAAACTAAGCCAGAGCTCCATTAGGAACAATCTCAAGGCTTCCTGGGTTGTCACGAATACCTTTAACGAGATAGAGGTGGAAGCCATCGCTGCTCTCCGCCAGTTCGTCGAGCATGAGTTAGTGGTGCTCGGTCCGATGCTGCCAAGCTCGTCCTCCTCCCTGGAAACAGCCAAAGACACAGGAGCGATACTTAAGTGGCTGAACAACAAGAAGAAAGCTTCGGTGCTCTATGTCTCGTTTGGAACGGTGGCGGGGATAGATTCCATGCGCTCGATCAAGGAGCTCGCGAGAGGCTTGGAGGCCAGCGGCATAGATTTTGTTTGGGTGTTTAGAACCAACTTGGTGGAAGACAAAGACGAGGACTTCATGGAAAAGTTCCAGGAGAGAGCGAAAGCTCTGGAGAAAGGACTAGTTGTTCCATGGGCACCACAGCTCCAAGTGCTCCAGCACGACGCGGTGGGAGGATTTCTCACGCACTGCGGCTGGAATTCCGTCCTGGAGAGCATCTGGAGCGGAGTTCCAATGCTGGGATGGCCTTGCATGGCCGAGCAGAATCTCAACCAGAAATTCATCACGGACATCTGGAAGATCGGCGTGCCATTCGACGCCGCCATGGACGCTACAGCGATTTCCAGCGCCGTGGTCAAGCTGATGCAGGGAAAAGAGGGCAAATGGGCGAGAAGAAGTGTCGCAAGAATGAGAATCGCCGGTCAACGCGCCGTGGCGCCCGGAGGAACATCTCACAAATCCCTGGAAGAGTTTGTGGAATCTCTCAAGCTGGATCGAGCAGCGTAGCTTCTTTCGCGGATCTAAGCGCTAAATTAAATGCCTGTGACGTACGTACCTCCGCTTGTTCTCCTTTTTTTAGGGTTCTTGAGATTAAATACATTTGACTTTTCCCGCGATTTAAGGCTTTTGAATTTAAACTTCGCGCGCAAACCTATTTAAAAATGAGGGCTACCAATAGTCACAGCACGAGCATTTACCATTCTCAAAGTGGTGGAATCGACTCGCGTCCCTCATCACGATCTTCCTCTTGGTGATCTTGGCGATGATCTTGGTGGCGGCGTGACAATCCGCGCAAACTCTCAAGTTCTTGAGCACGAACAGAGGACTTCCATCCGGTGTGCTCATCAATCCAAACATGATGGCCAGCTTCTCGCTGTGATGGAGCAGCATCCTCACTTTCTTCTCCTCCTCCACATCGTAGAGCGCCACTCTCGTGTCCGGCCGATATCCTTCTCGCTGGAGCTCCACAAAGAGCCGATCCAGTCCAGCGTAGATCTCTTCCTTCCTGGCATGGAGCTTGTCATTCGCGGCGAAAGTGTGGATCCGCCCCCTCACTTCGATCCAGCTGAGCCCCGGCTGCTTCTTCACGTTTCGATCCGCCATGACGCTCCTCAGCCTCTCGGCCAGATCGAAGTTCCTGATGCTCGCGTAGATGTTGGCCATGAGCACGTAAGGCGACGAATCCTCCGACATCACCAGCAACCTCTGCGTCGCTCGCTCGCCTCGACCAACGTCGCTGTTCACCCGGCACCCCCCGAGGAGCGATCTCCACGCTCCCTCCTCCGGCTCGAAAGGCATGCTGTTGATCAAAGCCTCGGCCCTGACAAGCTCTCCGGATCGTCCCAGCAGATCCACGACGCAGAGGTAGTGGTACTGCGTCGGATCAATGCCCCAGTCCTCCTGGATCGAGACCAGCAGCTCCACGCCGGTGTCGAGCAGTCCGGCATGGCTGCAAGCTTGGAGCACCGCCAGGAAAGTGATGGAGTCCGGCTCAAAGCCTTCCAAGCACGACTCCGTGAAACGGTCCACCGCCAAGTCCCCCAGCCCGTTGTGTCCATAGACCGTCAGCAAAACGTTCCACGAGGAGATGTCCCGGCTCGGCATGCTCTCGAAGATCTCCTCCGCGGCTTCAAGGTTCCCGGACTTCCCATACATGTTGATGAGAGAGTTCGCCACCTTGAAGCTCGTGAGCAGCAACCCGGCCTCGGAGACTCTCTTGTGGAGCGATCTTCCTTCGGACTGGACCGCGAGGCAGGCGCAGGCGTCGAGAGCCGCAAGGTAAGTGACTTCGTTGCATTTGACGCCTTCCATTTCCAGCCGGTGGAAGATCTCGAGCGCCTCCCGGCCTCGATCGTTCTGGACGTAGGCTGTGATCATCGCGTTCCAGCAAACCAAATCGAGCTTCGGGACCTGCTCGAACACCTGCCTGGCGTCATCGGTGCTTCCACAAGCTCCATACATGCTCAGCAGCGCTGTCGCGACCATCTCGTTCCTTTCCAATCCACTCGAGTGAACGCTGTCGTGGATCTTCTTCCCTTGCTCCAAGTCGAGGCCAGCGGCAAGAACAGCCACAAAAGTCCCCCTGTTGCGCTTGATCCTGGCCGGCTCCATGAGCTCGAAAACCTCCAGAGCTTCGTCAGTATGCCCGGCTTGCGCATACGCGGAGATCATCGCGTTCCACGACACGACGTTCTTCACCGGCATTCGATCGAACAGACTTCTCGCTTCGTCCATCTGTCCGTTCTGAGCATACGCCGCCACCATCGCGGTCCAAGTGACAACGTCGCGATCTTCCACTCCCTGGAACACGAGCTCGGCTTCTTCCACGCTTCCACACTCCCCAAACATGGTGATCACTGCGTTGGCGACTTTGGCAGACGCTACCAGCAATCCGGTGCTCACCAGGACCGAGTGAATGATCCTGCCTTGGCCGATCGAGCACAACTCGAGGATGTTGATGAAGCTGATCTCGTTTGGCCTGGTGCCATCGAAGCTCATTGTCCAGAACAGGATGAACGCCATTCTGTGGTACCCGTTCTGGGCATACGCCGCGATCAAGACGTTCCATGACACTGCGTTTTTCTGCGGCACCTTTGCAAAAATCTGAAACGCCCCGTCGAGCTGACCGTTGTTTGCGTACGCTGCTATCACGGCATTCCAGGAGACCACGTCTCTGTCCGGCATCGCCTTGAAAACACCCACGGCCCGATCCAAGCAGCCATTCTCGGCGAATGCAGCGATCATGATGTTCCAAGAGAAGAGATCTTTCTTGCGGATGCTGTCAAAGGCGAGGGCGGCGTCGTCGATGCTGCTACACTTCCCGTACATCTGGACGAGAAGATTGCCGAGAAAGGTCTCATTCTCGTAACCGTAGCGTCGGAGATGTTCGTGTACACGTTTCCCATCGACCAAGTTTCTCTCGTTCGCACAGCGTCGGAGAAGAGCCGCGTAAGCTTCGGTATTACTGCAGAACCTCTCCTGTCCGAGATCCTTGTCGTTGTCGGCTAGACCCACTTGAACTGTCAATACCAGAGCCATCCCATCCGATCTCCGAAGATCAAAGCCACTACACAGATCAGTTAGAGAAGTGTATCAAAACCATGTGACTTACCTCTCTTATGGAATTGTAAAGAAGTCTTCAGCATCAGACTTGTCGGTGTCACTGCTGGCTTCGATTGCTAAGTTTTCGTAGGTGATTAGTTTTCCCGTGTTTGAGTTGTCAGTGTCACTGCCGGCTTCTTTTGCTAAGTTGTCGTAGGCGATTAGTTTTCCGGAGTTTGAATTGTCAGTGTCTATAACGATTGAACTCAGCTTGTCACTGATCTGGCCTTCTAGTTTGTGAGTCTCTGACGGTAGCAGTCCCAACAGTGATGCGCACTGGGCTTGGAACGATGCGTCTGTGGAGGACTTGATCAGTCCTGCAATGCATCTAGAGAGGTCTGGAACGCACGACATCATCTGCACAGACGATGTGGCTAAGAAACGAGAAACGAAGAAAGAAAAAATAATTTGGAAGCTACCTTGATTGCTTGGGGGCTCGCCAAACGATGAGGCAGTTTTAGTTTCAAGTCATGAAGAGCTCCTTCAATAGCCCGTTTCACCTGTTTCGCTTCACATCTAGCGTTCAATCTCCGTCCAGGTTAAGAAAGCAGTCAAGGACGATATACCAAAATCAAGATGTCTTTCAACAGGATATTTTTCGTGACCTTGTGGAGAACAAGATCAATCGACTCGTGTCTGGAACACTCCCAAGTGATAGTAGCCGTCTCTGTGTCGACAGACTGTACTGGGAGATTAAACTTCATCCAGTCAACCTTCGACAAAAACTGCTGCATCGCCGAAGGCACTGGAGTGTACGCAAAATCTTCGAAGTACATAATCTGCAACACAAGACCGAGTTTATAAGCGTTTCATTTTAGATTTTACAAACCTTCGTTTTTGAAGACACCGTCGTCAGTGGTTCAGTAATAGCTACACATGCATGTAGACTAGAACCAATGTTGTCCGAGCCACCCCTTCCAATGTTGACATGTATACCAGCTACACGATCCGCTTCCGAAAGGCGACTATTGTGCAAATAGTGTGCAAAGCCTGTCGCAAGCTCATCAAGCTCCGATGGTTCTCTTGTCAGGACCTCTCGACTCTGGTAAGTGTCGCGCTCGCCTCGACAATTAACGTAGTGCCATTCCAGGGACACTTCGATAATTGGAAGGGAAAACTGAAGAGAAACCTGGTAAGCTCAAGAAAAGTATATCATCGATAGTTTTACTGACCTTCTCCAGCAAATTCCTGAAGGATGACACCGTTTCCAGCGTCGGGCCTTCAATGTCCATTGACACTAGCGTTCTGAAATTTCCAATGCTAAAGGCGTCGAATCATTTTCTGTGAGTACTTACCGCTTTTCTCTCCATTGCGGTCGGAGTTCTAGAATCTGGAGGCCGCTAGCGTCGGTGAATCGCAATTGGTAGTTACGCATTTTCTTCTCGATGGGATCTGGCAAGAAAAAAAATCCAATGCTATAGATCACTTGAATGACTATAGATCATACCCGGGGTGGAAACCTCGAGCACTCTATCTGGAACAAAACAAAAATAATGAAAATAGTGACAATTAGAGCACCAACGTTCTTACCCCAGAGAATTTCAGCATGATCCAAGATAGGAGGATTCGCAACAACGAGGTGGCAAAAATCATCCATCGCTTTGCCAGTAACGCTGAGACCGGTATCCGAGACTGCAAGATCATCGCTCAATACAGCGAAAACAAGAAGAAGAAAAAAAGAGGAATTAAGAACCAGAGAAGCTGAATTTGGAGCGATCCACGCCATCGCAAGCATCGATGCAAGAAAGAGTGACCGAAATCAAAGCTCCAGGATTGCTCGCACTCCGGCATCGAGAAATAGCGCTCCCGATCACCTACATTTGCAAGAAAGACGCGATCGATCGATATGCGCAGGCGCGATGAGCTTACCGCTTGCATCGGCGCTGGCGCCTCAAACACCGCCATCGCCAAAAAGTTCTCTCTCCAAATTTCCTAAACCCTAGGGCGGGAAGAACACTCAAACAAAATGGCTATGGAAGATAACGCTGCGATCATCGCCATTGAAGAGCAGCGCGAATGAGGAATCTAGCAAGAGTAGATCACTACGCCTCTCTCGCGAGGGAGTGCAAGGATTTAGAACAGGCCTGGGGGATTCACTCGTCGGTGGTAGCGGCCGGAGGAGCGATTCCTCGTGATCGCTACCTCTCTAATCTCCTGATCGAGATGTTTGGGCGGTGCGGCAGCATCGAGGACGCGCAGCGCGTCTTCAGCCGGATCGATCAGCCCAACATCTTCTCGTGGAATCTGATGCTCGGCGCTTATGCCCAGGCCGGGGATGTGAAGAACGCCCAGCTCTTCTTCGATCGAATGCCCCAGAGGGACGTCGTCTCGTGGAATTCCCTTCTCGCAGCGTATGCCCGAGAGGGGCTCTTGGATCAATGCTGGCAGATCTTCGAGCGAGCTCCACAGCGCAACGCGGTCTCGTGGGCCTCGATCGTCTCGATGCTCGTCAAGAACAGGCGATTCCCAGAGGCAGTGGATTGGTTCCTTCGGATGGACGTGGAGGGATTTAGGCCGAGTGGGCGATGCTTTGTGAGCCTGCTAGAGGCTTGCACAGCTCTTGGGGATCCAAAGCTTGGAGGATTGATCCACGAGGAAGCCATCGCGAGTGGATTTGCCGCGAGGAATGTGGTGGTGGCTAGCGCTCTTATCAGGATGTATGGGGAGTTTGGTAATTTGTATCACGCAGAGGCAGTGTTTTGGAGAATGGAGGACGTGAATTTGGTGGCCATGACTTCCATGGTTGTAGCTTATGCCCAATCCGGGCATATTGACGAAGCCAAGAATTTGTTCTCAAAGATCAAGAAGCCCGATGTTGTTGCTTGGACGTGTATGATCACCGCGTATGGTGACGAGGGCGACCTACACAGAGCCAAGCAAATCTTTGATAAGATGCTCGTAAAGAATGTAGTGTCATGGAACGCTCTAGTAACAGCATATGCCCAGAACGGGTATCTTGTTCAAGCAAGACAACTTTTTGATCAAATGACTTTTCGAGATAGCACAACTTGGTTTCTAATGCTCACAACTTACACCAAGATCTTGCTCTTATTAGAGGCTTTTGAGATCTTTTCGCAAATGCCGAAGGAGAACTTAATAGCCTGGAACTCTCTTCTTTCTGCATATGCCCAAGCCGGGCATGCAGAATCTGCAATTGGGCTTTTCAAGCTTATGGTACTTGAGGGAATTTCTTGCAACGAAGTTACCTTCGTGATCGTTCTTGATGCCTGTGCTAGCATTCCAGATCTGAAACTCGGAAAAGCTCTTGACGAGGTGGTGTTGGGCTGTGGGTTTGAGTCGAATGCTACCATTGGGACCAGTTTGATCGATATGTATAAACGATGCGGGAGCTTAGCGGGTGCTCGCAAGGCCTTTGCCAGAGTTTCCAAGCCCGACGTTATATGCTGGACGTCTCTCATGCTTGCGTATGCCCAAGCCGGGCATACCAAAGAACCACTGGAGCTCTTCTGGGCGATGTGTAACGATGGTGTCGGACCAAACGAAGTAACGCTAGCGGGGGTTTTGTATGCGTGTTGTCACTCTGGAAAGCTGGAGGAGAGCAAGGCTTACTTTTCCTCGATCGAGCAGGACTTTGGCTTGATCCACACGGTGGATCACTTCGTTTGCTTGGTTGATATGCTAGGGCGATCTGGAAGGCTGGACGACGCCGAGGAGATGGTTAGAGCTGTGGGTTTGGAGTCGGAGATGGTGGCTTGGGTGGCACTGCTTGCTGCTTGCAAGCTTCATGGCGATGGCGAGAGAGCTCGCCGGATCGCTGAAAGCGTGTTTAGGATGGAGACGAAGGAAGAATCGCCATATCTTTTGCTTGCAAACGTTTGCTCTGATCAAGGGCGCCGTATGGGTTTGCAGAAACTCCCTGTATCATCTTGATCGTATGATCTGGATGAATCGTTGGGAATGTAGTACAAGCAAAAGAATTTTATTCTTCAACTTTCTTATCAACAACAAAAGGGGGACGATGAACAAAAACCATCGATACAGAACGATCTCATTCTCACTCCTTTTTTCAAGATGATCAAGCACCTGGAGCAGCCTCTGGAACTCTAGATTGCAAATACCCCGTCACCTCGCGAGCCTTCTCGGTTACATGGCTAGCAGTGTCGGCAATCCTGTGCTTGGCAGCGTCGATTTGATCGGCTCCCACGGGATGCCGGCCGCGAGCGTAGTTGTAGAGCCAAGATACCACGGAGCAAAATCCCACAAACACGGCGCTGGCCGAGAGAAATCCGCCAGTAGCAAGCGCGATGACGATGCCAATGGGGACGAGAACCGGGCTAAGGAGGAGAAAAACCGGCGATGCGAGGAGCAGAGTTAAGACAGTTCCTCCCAGCGTGACGCCGCCGATGACGAGCGCCACCACCACTCCAGTGATGATTGTCAAGAGCCCCAACACCTGCTTGGAATTGGGCGATCGCTCCTGGATCTTCTGCATCATGCCCCGGGCCTGCTCTTGCGCGCGGCCAGCGTGCTCGCGAGCTCGATCCGTCGCTCGCTCCGCCATGGCAGCCCAAGTTATTTCTCCTCGCGGGCGTGAAAAACGAAACCGATCGATCGACTCGACGATCCAACCGGAGCTCCAAGAAAAGAAACTTTGCTCTATTTCTTAAATACGAGCCTTGCATGCATGCAGTGCGAGGGGCGCGGCGACACTTGGTCCGCGCCATGCGGGGGTTTGACTTTAGTTGACTGTCAGTCAGCGACAGTCAACGGGCGAGTGATTCGAGCGTTATGCTCCAGATTCGCGCTCGATCCTGTCAGGAATCAACGTCAGTTCTTCGTTTTCAACCCACCGCCCGGGTAAAAACCGACCGGGTAAGGTAAAAAAAATGGAGAATGAAATGTTTGGAGAACTGGAGTGGTGGGTGGATAATGCCAGGGGCCAAAAAACCATGCAAGGAAATCGCTCCCCTTTTATTTCTTTTTTGCCATTTTTGTCAAAATGTGGCAGTTTCTAAACGCGAGAATGAGCCAAATGGCCCAAGAAAATCTCCAAACAAATCTTTTTTAAGTTTTGAGAGCTTCTTGTTCTTGGCGAGAGCGCGAGAGAGAGCGAGCGCGAGAGAGCATCGCAAGAACAAGTCTTTCTCTTCATTCCTCTTCCTCTCGGATCGCGATTGTCACCATGGGCGATCACCACCAGGCCTCGAGAGCCGTGGACAAGACCAAGGATCAAGCCAAGGATCAGGCCGGGCGCATCCAAGAACACTCGCGCGGCCTGGTGGAGCGCGTCAAGGAGCACGCGCCCAGCTCCCAGCAGCTCATCGGGATCGCCACGCTGGCTCTTGGCGGCCTCACGCTGGCGGCCATGGGCGGCGCCATGATCCTGGCCACCATCGTCTTCCTCGTCATCGGCACTCCAATCTTCCTGCTCTTCAGCCCCATCCTCGTGCCGCTGGGAATTCTCGCCATCGTCGTCACCGGCGGGATCCTCTCCACCATCGCCTTCGTCGCCTCTTGCGTCGCGGCCGTCACCTGGATCTACAAGTACGCGAAAGGGCGGCATCCGGTGGGCACCGATCAGATCGAAGCCGCGCGGCATCGCCTCATGGACACCGCCACACAGATGACCGAGAAGGCGCGCGAGTATGGATCCAATGTCACAGGCTACCTCCAGCAGAAATCCCAGGACGTCGCCCCAGGCGCGTGATCGTATCGAAGAAGGTATTGGAAGATTTCTTGTCTACAAGTCGTTGGTCTCGCTTTGTTCTTGGTGGTATCCATCCTTCGTGTTCTTCGTGTTCTTGAGGAGCACGAAGGATCTCTTTGATTCCTGGAATAAATGCCTTGCTTTTCCCCTTTCAGCTGATAGAAATTTTAGGGTTTAGGGTTTCTTTGTGAGGGGAAAATATTTTGGCTATGGCGGACGGGGAGGAAGGCGCCGGGCTCGAGGACTGGACCGATCCCTCGATCGCGTCTTCCGCGGAGGTCAGCGATGCCGGACTGCTGCAGCGCGCCTGGCGCAACGAGAAGCTCTCGCCTGAGCTTCTGCCATTCCAGGGCGAGCTCGTGGAGCGCGTCAAGGAGCAGATTCTTCTCGAGGTATCATCTTTTGGTACTACATTCTCGATCTCCAGCATTTGAATCTTCGCTAGGAGGAAAACCTCGCGGCTTTTGTCGAAGAATCTTGTGACGAGCTTACTGTGTCGCTCTACCGGATGGATTTGGACCGGACGCTCTTTATGCTGCGATCTTATTTGCGAGCACGGCTACTCAAGGTTCGCATTTCTGCTTTACCTTTTCTTTGTTTCCATAGAATCGTTCCCTCGGATTAGTTTAGTTGGTGTTTTTTTTTTCTTTTCATCTGCTGTTGGAATCGTTTGTTACCAGATTGAGAAGTTTGCTCTCCATATACTGACTGTACCGGAGATTTGGGAGAGGTTGTCGAGCCAAGAACAAGACTATGCTCAGAGGTACGCGAGAAAACCCTTACTATTTGTGACGACTCGATAATTATCTCCAGGTTCGCCGACACGCTGCAAGCTCATTTTGATTCTTCTGTCCTGAATAAGCTCCCGGAAGGATACAAGTCGATGCTAAAACAGGCAAACTCGAGTAACGAAAATGATATGAGTAAGCTGTGTGCTTTTCATTCTTATCTTGAAGCTAACGGCGACTTTACATAGTTGTTGAGCCTCCTCTCGACAGTTTCGTATTCTGCAAATGCCGGAGACCTATAAGTGCGTTTCAACTAGATGACAAGTAAGTTCCGGGTTTCATCATTTACATTCGCGTGTCGGGTTTAATGAGTGAAATGCTCCAGGGGCGAAAGTATAGTGGATATGGAGAATGGGGACTTGTACATCTTCAACTACAAGCCAATCAAGCGGCTCTTGGAGACGGACAGGATAGAGCTCTTCTAGAAAAAAAGCAGGAGAAGTTGCTGTTTCAAACGTTGCCGTCCAAGAGCAACAAGAAAGAAAAATTGAGTTGGAATTTTTCGGAGCCCTTCGTGCGCGGACAAAGACAAGCCCCACCGCAGGTTCGGCCTTTTCTTTTCTTCTTTTTAATCTCTAGTCTTCAGCAGTTGCTTTTTCGGAGTCCAATGAAAAGAATGGGGGCCCCTTGAGACCCGCTGACCATGGTTTCATTTTCAGATTCAAAGTAATGTACAAGCCAAGCCGCTAAGTTAAAGAGACTTTGAGCGTATATGAGGTACCTTTCAGTGTGTCCATGTCTGTCTTTTATTTCGCGGCTTCCAAGACGAAGCTCGAATCAAACAAGGGAGGGGACAAGCTATTTGATCGTGCCGCTCCCGATTAGATTAGCAGGAGGCGCCCGCAAGCTCGGCCTAAATTCCCGGTTTGACTCTACACTCTTGAAGAGGTATGTTTGAAATTCTGGACCCCGCATCATCCTCTCTGATGTATCTTCTCTTTTTACAAGCACAGTGAAGGAGAAAAGATGTAACTTGTTCCACTCGGTTGGGTGTCATGGCGCTAGCTGGCCGGTTCCATATCCTGTTCGCAGCTCCCGAAAGGAGAGAAAGAGAGGTAAGCGTGCTCTTTTTTGCTCGATGCGGTCACGGAAGGAGCAGAGTCCTTGGCAGTGCAAGCTCCATCTCTGGGACTTTCACGGGTGGCATGCGCGCTTTTGCCAGGCGATAGAGAACCAGGTGGACGGGGGAAATGATATCTCATTCGATTCCAGCGTCCCAGCGATCCAGCTTCCCTCGGTGACCGTGACAACAGGGTCGATCCTCCACAGTATGCTGTGCCCTGGCACAGTGAAGATTCATCCAAGCGCGTTTTGGGAAGATTATTCACTCACTCGATTAATTGGTCTTCCGGGTGGAGTGGAGAAAAGTGGAGTGGAGATATTTGGCCAAAGTTCTTCATAGCTTCTCCTTTATGCTTGAATTGGCGATGGATGTTTCTTACAGTGGATGTGCTTTTGGTCCACAGCACCATTACAAACTGTCGTTCTTGGAATGTCACATTGTAGAAAATAAAATGGAAAAATAAAAAATCTCTTGTTTTGTTTGTTCTTGATTTTTTCTTTGTTTATTGCTTTTTGTTTTTATGTTTAGTATTTTCACCTCACATTGTCTTGCCTCCCCAAAAACAGCCTGTGCTGGGAGGAGGAGAAAGAAGAAAGGTTGAGTAGCAAAACACACACTCTTCTCTTCACTACTCTAGTACACATATCACACTGCTGATGATTGCTTGGATTGGTTCTCATTTGATTTTTTTCTCTCCAGCATTGCTGCTCCAGATGAAGAAGATGAGGAAATTCATGGCTCTTTTCCAAATCTTTGCTGCAATTCAGCTGCTCCTGGCAATTGGAGTGGCTGGAGCCAAGCAGGTAGCTCTCAATTCCCACACCAGATCCATCTTGACAGCTCTGATTTGTTTCAAGGTTCACATTGTCTACATGGGAGAAACAGGGGGCATTCATCCAGACGTGCTCGTTTCCACACACCATGACATGCTAGCCTCTGCAATGGGAAGGTAGCTGCAAAGCTTAAATCAAGACAAAGCTTCTCTTCTCTTCTTTTCTTCTCTCTTTTGCAAAGCACACAAGCTTTTCCTTCCTTCCTCTGGCCAAATCCTTTTCCCTTCCTTTTGCAGTGTTGACATTGCCAAGGAAACCATCCTCTACAGCTACAGGCATGGATTCAACGGCTTTGCTGCGCCACTGTCCAAGCGCCAAGCCGAGCAAATCTCGAGTAAACTCCCTCCTCGGTTGCAAATCTCAACTTTTGTGACGAAACCAATGCTCTGTCTTTGCTGCGCAGACATGCCCGGAGTCATCTCTGTCTTCCCGAGCTCGAGGAGGCGGCTTCACACGACGCGGTCCTGGGAGTTCCTGGGCCTCACGGGAGACTCGGCCGACGCTGCCACTGGGTCGCCCGCTACCTCCGGAGAGAATATATGGCAGCGCGCGAAATTTGGCAGGGACATCATCATTGGCCTCCTCGACACCGGTCAGTAGTAGTACCACTTCTGGAACTCAAACAGCCAGCATTCGTCCAGTCCAGGCATTCCTGTTCATAAATGATAGAAACGCCAAAGTCTTAGAACCAAGAGGAGGAGAAGCACGGCAATTAATACCTCGCTTTTTTTTGTTTTTTTTTTTTTCTTGTTTTCTTCCTTGTCTTGCAGGAATCTGGCCGGAGTCTCAGAGCTTCGATGACGATCTCTTGTCCGAAATCCCGAGCAAGTGGAAGGGAGAATGCGAAGATGGCGATCACTTCAACGCTTCCAGCTGCAATAAGTAAGTTCCCCGATACCTGCCGTGATCTGCTACCTTTATCTGTTCCACTGTTCTCCATAATCCTCATTCTCTTATCCCTCTTCGAGTTTATTGATGCTGCCTTTGACTACGTTGTCATCTCCATCTGACACTGTTGATCCCGTTGTCTCCTGTGATCTCCCACCAGAAAGTTGATCGGAGCTCGCTTTTACCTCAAAGGATACGAGAACTTCTACGGCAAGCTCAACCTCACTGCTACTGAAGACTTCCGGTCGGCTCGCGACAAAGATGGTCACGGGACTCACACCGCTTCCACCGCCGGAGGCAGCTTTGTCCCGGGAGCCAACGTCTTCGGATTCGCAAACGGGACTGCCAAAGGTGGCGCGCCTCTCGCCAGAATCGCCATGTACAAAGTCTGCTGGCCGATTCCATCCGGGAGCCTGAGCGGTCAGGACAGTTGCTTCGACGAGGACATGCTGGCAGCTCTCGACCAAGGTATCAAGGACGGCGTCGATATCTTCTCCATCTCCATCGGCTCCGGAAATCCCCAGCCGGCTTACTTGGAGGACTCCATCGCCATCGGAGCTTTCCACGCCATCAAGCGCAACATCCTCGTCTCATGTTCCGCTGGAAACAGCGGGCCTACTAGCGCCACTGTTGCCAACGTCTCCCCCTGGATACTCACTGTCGCGGCCAGCAGTTTGGACAGGGATTTCCCGTCCAACGTCGTACTCGGGGACGGAACAACGCTGCAGGTGTGGTTGCTGGATTTTTCCCGGCTCGTCGTCTCGTCGCGATTAGCTCGTCTGTCGCCATCCTTACAGCGGGGTATCCATTTTTGCAGGGGAAGAGTATTGCTCCAAAGTCACTGTCGGAATCGAACTGGTACGAGCTCATCGATGGTGGAAGAGCTGGCAACTCGAGCGTACCTGTCGCGAATGCCAGGTAAAGCTTCTCTCCCACCAGCACACGACTAAAGTTCCTTACTTGTTCCAGCCAGTGCCTTCCGGATACTTTGGACGCATCCAAGGTTGCCGGAAAGGTGGTGATCTGCTTGAGAGGACTCGGGACCCGCGTCGGGAAGAGTCAAGAGGCCATTCGAGCCGGCGCCGCGGGATTTATCCTCGGAAACTCTGCTGCTCAGGCTAATGAAGTCTCGGTCGACGCATACATGCTGCCGGGGACTGCCATCAACGCGGACAATGCCAACGCTGTCCTTACCTACATAAACTCCACGAAGTAAGTGAAGAGTTTCTCTCTGCAAGACAAACCAGACTCACCTTATCTTCGACAAAATGGCAGCTTCCCCCTGGTGAAGATTGTCCCGGCAAGGACAGTGCTCGACTTCAAGCCGGCCCCTTCCATGGCAGCGTTTTCGTCCCAAGGACCGAACTCTCTTAATCCCGACATCTTGAAAGTAAGTCGTCGCCTTGATAGACTCGGTTTCTTGACAACGAGACCTTTTCTTCTTTCGTCAGCCGGACATATCAGCGCCAGGACTGAACATTCTAGCAGCCTGGACCGAAGCAAACTCTCCCACCAAATTGCCCATCGACAACCGGATAGTCAAGTACAACATCATCTCGGGAACTTCCATGTCATGCCCCCACGTCGCAGGAACCGCAGCTCTTCTGAGAGCGATCTATCCTTCCTGGAGCCCCGCGGCTATCAAATCCGCCCTCATGACCACCGGTAAGCAGCACCTTCGCCATTAAAGCCTTGCCAACCGCGTGCCGCTGTCCATTTTTTTCCTACAGCTTCGATTGTCAACAACTTGCAGCAGCCAATCTTGAACGGCTCCGGTGCCACTGCGAATCCTTTCAACTTTGGCGGTGGCGAGATGAATCCGGAAGCAGCGGCGGATCCTGGCCTCGTCTACGACACATCTCCACGGGACTATCTCCTGTTCCTGTGCAGCGTCGGATACAACAGCTCCACCATCCAAAACGTAACGGACACGGCCAACTTTACGTGCCCGAACACTCTCTCGTCCATCGCTGACATGAACTATCCGTCGGTAGCAGTAGCCAACCTCACCGCAGCCAAGACCATCCAAAGAACTGTCACGAACGTCGGGTCCCAAGACACGGCCGTCTACATAGCTTCCTTCCAGGCCCCGGACGGCATCGACATCGTGATCACTCCCAACAAGCTTACGTTCCAGTCGCTAGGCGAGAAGAAGAGCTTCAACATCACTCTGACCCCGACGAAGAGGTCCAAAGGCGACTACGTGTTTGGAACGTACCAATGGAGCGACGGGATGCACGTAGTGAGAAGCCCAATCGCTGTTCGAACAACTTCATGACCACCACGGTTCTTACGATGTAATTCCATCCTGGAAAGAGCTCAAAATCAGAAACACAGGATGAAAAGGAAAAACAGGACCAACCTTGCCGCGTAGTAACTCCATCCAAGAGAGAATCAAACGTTGTTTTGAGCGAAGAACATCGCAAAGAAACTAACACAGATGGACGAGAAAGATACAAAACTTGATGGAGAAAAACAAGTACTATACAAAGCTTTCCAAGTTATTTCCACTCACGAATGCTTAGTTAGAAGATGATGAGGAGCGCGAAGGCCATATAGATGATCAAACAAGCATACGCAATGAGACGCTTCTGCTCCTCCGAGTGAGGAGCCAAAACCACGAGCAAGCTCGTACACGACCACGTACACCAAAGAACTATCAACCCGGCCATGACGTAGATGGGAGCACCCTGTCGAGGAACTAGAAGAGAAAGAGCCGAGAAGAGGATCATCGGGAGCAAACTATACCCGACGAGGCTAAAGCTTCGATAGAGATCTAGCGTCCCACGAGTTCCCGATAGAAGATTAGCGACAGTGTAGAGAAACCCAGAAGCCAGAGATCCCCACCCGAGGATCACTCCAAAGTGGAGCTTCCCAGCCAGGAGCTGGCAAAGCCCAAAGAGAATGCAGAACAAAAACGGCCCCGACAGATCGGCATCCTCGTGGAGGTTGAGGTTCCTCCTGAAAGGAATGAGCACCGACTTGGTCTTCTGCAAGATCTGCGACGGATTGATCCCCAGCTCCTCCAGGAGAGGAGGCTCGTCCTCAAACGCGGCGCCAAAGCCTGTGGAGGCGGAGGAGGAGGAGGAGTATCCCGGCTGCTGGAGAGGCGCCGATCCGCCATACCCTGAGTTGCCGATGTCGAAGGAGAGGAAGGGCAAACCTGGCGTCGGAGGCATCGGCCGCATTGGCGCTTGCGGCTGCTGCTGGGGGACAAAGGGGACTTGCTGGTGCTGCTGCGGTGGAATCCCTGGCGCCCTTCTCTGCGCCATCGCTGCTCAAGAACCCTAAATCTATAACCCTAAAAAGAATATTAGGTTTACCTTAAAGGTGGTTTATAATAACATCATGCATGGAATCACAGCTTTATCTTAGTGTCTATGGTAGTGCTGAGTTCCAATCACGAGAAATCACGGGCAATTAGGGCTTAGCAAATGATGATGCGATCATGACGCGGGCAAAGCTCCAGATTGCCTGGTCAATTCCGGTCTGTCTTGGTTTCTTTCTTGGCCTTTAGTCCACCTTCGTGCCTCTCACGAGGAGCATTCCTTCCTGTGGTGTCCTATTTGAGCGCTTGTTCCAGCGCTACCAAGCCCAAATCACCACTTGGGTACTCCCCAGCCGTCTAGATCTCACCTGGGTTCCAATCCAGATCACAAATCTCCTCGCCTCCTCCGAGATCAAAGCGCTGCGAATGGCGGGTGCTAGCAAGAAGCCTCATGTTCTAGCGTTCCCATTCCCAATCCCGGGCCACACGAACTCACTGATGCACTTCTGCCGCCGTCTCGCGGCCTGCGATGTCACCATCACCTACGCCTCCAATCCGAGCAACATGAAGCTCATGCACCAGACGCGCGATCTGATTGCAGACCCCCACGCCAAGAGCAACGTCCGCATCGTCGAGGTCTCGGACAATCCAGGTAACAGCATGCGCAGCAGCAACGATCTCGCCAAGGGGGATCCCAGCGAGAACCTCGAGAAGCCAATCGTGGCGGTACGCGCCATGGCAGCCTCTGTGCGAGAGCTTATCCGGAAGCTCCAGGAGGACGGGAACCCCGTTTGCTGCATGATCACCGACACCTTCAACGGATTCACCCAGGATCTGGCGGACGAATTCGGCATCCCCAGGGCGGTGTTCTGGACCTCCAATGCGATCAGCGACATCTATCACCTCTTCCTGCCGGAGCTCATGTCCAAAGGATTCGTGCCAGTCGCGAGTAAGTTCTCCCTCCCCTGTTTTTAGGGTTCTAAGGAAACTCTTCTTCTTCCAGCCAGGAAAACGGACGAGCTCATCACATTCCTGCCTGGCTGCCCGCCAATGCCCGCCACGGATCTGCCGCTCTCCTTCTACTACGATCACCCAATCTTGGGCATGGTCTGCGACGGCGCGTCGCGGTTCGCGGAGGCGAGATTCGCGCTGTGCAACACCTACGAGGAGCTGGAGCCACACGCCGTGGCGACGCTGCGCAGCGAGATGAAATCCAGCTACTTCCCCGTCGGCCCGTGCCTGTCCCCGGCATTCTTCGCGGGGGAATCCACCGCGGTGGGGCGATCCAGCGAGCTCCTGTCTCCCGAGGATCTGGCGTGCCTGGAGTGGCTCGACACACAGAAGGAATCCTCCGTGATCTACGTCTCCTTCGGCAGCGTGGCCACCATGTCCGTGGAGCAATTCCAGGAGCTCGCCAGGGGCCTGGAGCGCAGCAACCAGCCATTCGTACTGGTGCTGCGCAAGACCCTCGTCGCGGATCCATCGGTTCACGATTTCTTCGAGGGATTGAAGCAGCGGATTGGCAAGCGCGGGATCGTGATCTCGTGGGCGCCGCAAATGCACGTCTTGCTCCACCCGGCGGTGGGAGGATTCCTGACGCACTGCGGATGGAACTCGACCGTGGAGGGGATCTGCGCGGGCGTGCCGATGCTCGCCTGGCCTTGCATGGCGGAGCAGAACGTGAACTGCAAGGAGCTTGTGGAGCACTGGAAGCTGGCGATCCCGGTCCAGGATGATCGGGATAAAAGCTCCACGGTCTCGGTCTCGAGCGAGAGGATCGCAGATCTAGTGGTGAGGCTGATGAGAGGCGACGAGGGTCGCGAGATGCGAGCCCGGGCTCGGGAATTCCGCGAGGCTACCGCGGCTGCCATAGCCGAGGGAGGATCCTCGGACAGGAACCTCAAGGCCTTTGCCCAAGCTCTGAGAGATTTCGTGTGATCTCTTGGAGGCTAACAACTATTATGTAAAGTCAATATTTCGAAGATTAGAATCAATCAATGGGTCGTGATTCATGGGCCTACATTTCTGCAAGTCCTTACAGACAAGAGAATCTGACACACTCCACTCATTAACTTTTGGTTTGAGAAACTAGGTTTAAAAGTAAAAAAGATTAAGAATCAACATTTCTAGAACCAAATATACTAGCATATTCTAAGCTCAAAAAGTCTTTCACGTTGCCGTCACCTTTTCTTATTAGGGTTTAGCTTTCTTCAAGTTTCAAATGCACCGCTCACCGTCCTCACCTAATCTTCCCCAGCCACATGTTTTTTCATTCTTATCCATGGTGCTGCCTAGCATTTTTCCTCGACTTCCTGCCCAAGCGCAACAAAGAGTTTAGTATAATTTTGATTGATTCTGTCTGGAAACCTTGCAAGCAGCGCACAACAAAAGGAACCACCGATTCTTGTGGAAGCAAGAGGTCGCGTTACAACACGTCCCCAAGCCACCTGATTGTGATGCTCCCGTCACTGTCCGCCTCCATGTGAGAATGATCTGTTAATTCTGTTTATCTGGGACGGGATGATTCTCCGGGAAAGGATCTCAGAAAGGCATGCCGCAATTGCCAACTCCAAGAATGTGAAAATCCCTCTCTTCAAGAGGGATTGCACTGCCACCACGCACCCTCTGAGCTTTAAAATGAATAAAATCTTAATGCAGTAGCTAAATTTATTAAATTCCAATCAAAGTCATCAGTTCAGTCAGGCTCTCGTGGCAACGAAATTATTTTTTCCATTCAAAAAAGGTATAGCATGACAGTCATCGGTCAAATGTTACCAATGGATGAGGGTGCATAAAGGTCAGTAATGAAGTGAAGATTTCTTTTGCTCAAACTTTTCACAACCCTAAAACAACCTAATGCTTCCGGTTCTTGAAACCTGTGTGATGGAGCAGCAATTGCACACAGATGTCATTGCAAGGCCCCTCGGGGAGTCCGTACTTGTGCGCAGCTTTGCAACAAACCACTCCAAGATGCAAAAGATGGTGCCACTGGTGAAAACATAAGCAGTCGATGGTATGCAGCTCCTTTGCAGGCCATGAGCTATTGATTTAAAGATCTGGCAGCAAAAAATTACCTGCCTTGGTCCACAATGTTGGCCATGCGCCAACAAAGCATACACCAACTGTGATTGTGAGAAGAAAATAAATATGGCTCGATCAACTAAAAAACTTACAAGAGGGGCTATCCTCTGTGCAGGAGGCCAGAATTCAGGGGAGCTCCGGGTCCGTAATTACCTGGTTGAGATTGGGATAAGCAGCGGGACGGCCTTCGTTGGTGAATTCTTTCTGCTGCTTGCTGCGTGTAAGTGTATAAGTGAAGGCCATGGTGTTGTTGTGCTTGATAAGGAATGATCGATCGATCAATCTGTTGAGAGTCGGAAGGAAGAGCTGACATGAGAGAGAGGGAAGCCAATGGGGAAATGGTCAAAGTCTTTTTTTTTTTTTTTTTTCCTTACAAATTAGGATTGAAAATTTAGTGTTACTGGATATGCCTGGAATACTTTATCCAAGTTCGCAATGATTCAGGCGATCACAAACTAGGTTGAATCCGGCTTGATCATAGGAAATCATGATAGCCAAGGATGGCTGGACGTCGCAATGGTCGCCATTGTCGACGCCTGGACGTGGAGAATAGAATAGTGTTGGGCACAGCCAGCTGGCACGGCGACAGTTATGAACTGGTTAAGAGGGGGATATTCTATCTATCTATCTATCTATCTTGCGGTGTCACCTCCCCGGTCCTGCTCCCTTGCTGCTCCCTCCACTCTAGCCACTCCACTCGCTCAATCCTTATCCAAGTACGTTTGTCACAATGTGCCTCAGTGTTGTTTAATCATAAGAACTTAGGTATACCATTGTCTTTAAACCATGATTTGTTAATGCCAATTCTAGAACCAATTTATCAAAAGAAGCAATCTGGTAAATCTCGCCACAAAAGACTCTTGAGTCTTTCTTATGGACACAATAGTTCTCAGGCCACTTCCACCGTCTTCCAAGCGACCAGCTTCCTTCAAGCCGATGCTTCGAGCTCCATGGATGCTCCCTTAACATGTTTTAATTTAATGCGCTGTCACCTCTTCTCTCGCAGGTGTTTAGACGCAAACTTACACCCTTTGCCTTGGCAAAAGCAGCGAGACACTATCCTCTTGCCGGAGATTTAGCAGGAGAGCAGCGACATGGCATGGTGCTTCGTGATACCAGTCAGCCAAGTGGTTAAGTTCTAGGTCTTTGTTGCCTTTGCAATTCTTTTTCTGTTGCTTCTGAGCAATGGCTTCTTGCGGGAACTTCTCCAACACTTATGGGTAGCAGATTCCTGAGCCATTGCAGGTGGTGGAATTCGATGCTGGAGAGCATGAGCGCTGGGGTGGAGCGGGGAATGGAGCTGGTGGACAGATCGTGCAGTGGCATGGTGAGTGATGGCAAGGAAGGAGCTGAGGAGGGAACTTGGGCGCTTGGGAATTAGGTAGGCCATTAAAAATTATTTGGTGAATGGAAGGTTACTCTAATCACGGAGAAACTTTCTCTTTTGTTACTTTAATCAGCTATACCTCTTTATACTATTCCAAAAAAAAAAACAATTCCGTCGCCGGGAATTGAACCCGGGTCTCTCGGGTGAGAGCCGAGTATCCTGACCGACTAGACTACAACGGATGACTTGTTTCTTACTCTTCTTTTATTTAAATTTAATGATTTTAGCTAACTACATTAAGATTTTTATTCATTTCAAAGCTCAGAGGGCGATGGAATGCCTCTTGAAGAGAGGGATTTTCACATTTTTGGAGCTGGCAATTGCAGCACGCCTCGCTGCAATCCTTTCCTGGAGAATCATCCCGTCCTAGACAAGAAATTTATGATATTTATGCTCCAGTGGCAAGGAGATAGAAGGATTTAACAGAACATTCTCACATGGCTGATGCACGGCTCCGGAGGCGGACAGTGAACGGGAGCATCACAATCAGGTGGCTCGGGGATGTGTTGTAACGTAACCTCTTGCTTCCAGCCAAGAATTGGTGGTTTCTTTTCTTGTGCGCTGCCTGCAAGTTTTCCAGAGAGAATCAATCAAGACAAAACCTGGAGGCACCACAAATTATACTTAACTCCTTGTTGCACTTGGGCAGGACGTCGAGGAAAAATGCTGGGCAGCACCATGGATAAGAATGAAAATTCATGTGGCTGCGGAAGATTAGATCTTATTTGTGAGGACGGTGAGCTGTGCATTTGAAACTTAAACCCTAATCTAAAAGGTGACGGCAACGTGAAAGACTTTTCGAACCTAGAATATGCTAGTATATTTGGTTCTAGAAATGCTGTGTTTATAAATCTTAAACTTGTTTACCTTTAAACGTAGTTTCTCAAGCCAAAAATTCATTCATTAAAAGAGAGGAGAGTGTCAGATTCTCTTGTCCGTAAAGACTTGCAGAAATGTAGGCCCATGAATCACGACCAATTGATTCATCTTAATCTTCAAAATATTGACTTTACATAATGGTTGTTATCTTCCAAAAAATCTTTCAAAGCTTAAGCAAAGGAGGATTCTGAACGGCGACAAGGGTCGCGAGATGGGAGCCCGGGCTCAGGAATTCCACCACGAGATCCGCCAGCCTCTCGCTTGAGACCGAGACCACGGAGCTTTTATCCCGATCCTCCTGGACCGGGACCGCCAGCTTCCAGTGCTCCACAAGCTCCTTACAGTTCACGTTTTGCTCCGCCATGCAAGGCCAGGCGAGCATCGGCACGCCCGCACAGATCCCCTCCACGGTCGAGTTCCACCCGCAGTGCGTCAGGAATCTGCGGGTGGAGCAAGACGTGCATTTGCGGCGCCCACGAAATCACGATCCCGCGCTTGCCAATCCGCTGCTTCAATCCCTCGAAGAAATCGTGCACCGATGGATCCGCGACGAGGGTCTTGCGCAGCACCATACGAATGGCTGGTTGCTGCGCTCCAGGCCCCTGGCGAGCTCCTGGAATTGCTCCGCGGACATGGTGGCCACGCTGGCGAAGGAGACGTAGATCACGGAGGATTCCTTCTGGTGTGTCGAGCACTCCAGGCACGCCAGATCCTTGGGAGACAGGTGCTCGCTGGATCGCTCCACCGCTGTCGATTCCCCTGCGAAGAATGCCGGGGAAGTAGCTGGATTTGACCAGCGTCGCGTGGGGCTCCGGCTCCTCGTAGCTGTTGCACAGCGCGAATCTCGCCTCCGCGAACCGCGACGCGCCGTCGCAGATCACGCCCGGGCATCGGCGGGCAGCTAGGCAGGAATGTAAGGGAGTTTCCTTAGAACCCTAAAACCAGGGGAGGCACGAATCCTTTTCCGGCAGGAAGATGTGATAAATGTCCTCACACTGACTATTAAACAAAAAGTTATATTATAATCAATAAATAATTTGTTAGGCTCGATTTTGCTTAATAATAGTGATATTCTTATTTTTATTAATATAATTAATCAATTAGATTTTTTAATTATAAACATGTTTATCAATTATTAGAATAAACTAGAATAGACTAAGAAGTGTTTAGGAAAATTTATAAATTATAAATACAAAGTTAATCTAAATAATTAATAACCGTTAAATGGTAAAATATCCTAGAATATTTAAATATATTCCACTCCAAAAATATAATTTATCTAACTTCTTAAACTAGCCAATGTTTTAATTTAATGTGCTTAGCAATCACCAAGGAAGGGAGGGCTAGCTTCTTGTCATTCAATCCTCTTCTCTCGCAGGCAATATACACCCTTTGCCTTGGGCAAAAGCAGCGAGACCCTATCCTCTTGCCGGAGACTAGGTACAATTTCCACATTGATTTAGCAGGAGAGCAGCGACACGGCATGGTGCTTCGTGATACCAGTCGCAATCCTGCACAGGGCCAAGTGGTCGGGTGCGTGTAAGTTCTAGATCTTTCTTGCCTTTGCAATTCTTTTTTGAGCAATGGCTTGTTGCGGGAACTTCTCCAACATCTATGGATGCATTCCTGAGCAGATTCCTGAGCCATTGCAGGTGGATTCGATCCAGGAGAGC